TGGTCACCACAAGAGATGAGACATGTGCACAACATCCAGAGATGGTCACCACAAGAGATGAGACATGTGCACAACATCCAGAGATGGTCACCACAAGAGATGAGACATGTGCACAACATCCAGAGATGGTCACCACAAGAGATGAGACATGTGCACACCATCCAGAGATGGTCACCACAAGAGATGAGACATGTGCACAACATCCAGAGATGGTCACCACAAACTGAGGCATTTAGACGATCTGGGATAACCAGAGTCTAAAATGAGTTATTTTCAAACATTAATAAGTAATCACCACTGGCATGATTGACTGCATGGTTTGAAATGTTTTAACATTGCCTTTTATGTGAAAACATTCCCATCACACGCTAAATCAAGTGATTATCTATAAATTGATTATCAATTGGTTGTACTTGTGACAGCGCCTGTAGGAAGGTCAATATAACTTGTCTAAAGTATTGGAGATATGTTTTACAAATATGTATATATGCCATGTTTGTGAAACGTATAGTTATGGAAGGTTGTGTCTTGCAATACCAAACAGCCACGACAAATTAACTATAGTCATGTGAAAAAATTAGGTGCTCTTGAACTTTAAGTAGTATATTTCACTTTATTGTATTTGTTTCTAACCACCATAATGATTCCACCAAATAAGTCAAGGTTGGCATCTTTGAACATCACTTCAACAATTTTATGAAAATTTTGGTACAAAATGCTCATCAAACATAATCAAAAACCTACTCCTCTCCTGAACAAAATTGATTAATGCTTTTCCATTATTTAAAGAAAATATCTACAACTATATCATGTCATCAGTTTATGCACTGATTTGCTCTAAGCTGAAGTCCAGCACTAAATATTTGTCAAGGCACAGCCCAAACACTTAAATGCTGTACTGCAGCACTTGTGCTGCACCTGCGACATTCATTAAAATATTTCCATATCTCAATGGATGTAAATACCTACATTATTACGTAAGCTAACACTTGCTTTCCATATGCTCAACAGAAATTAGGCTATTTAAAGAAAGCCACTGCAATAATATGGATTTGTGAGCAGACGTTCTGTACAGTTTCACACTTGCACTCTGGGAATGAGATCACGGGTTATTAATAAAACGTACTTGTTATCCCAAATGGGAACAGCAATTTGGTGGACTTCCTTAATAACAATATGCTAAAGTGCAATGTTTATTATCATGTGTCATTATTAATGCTCTGACGCCACCAACTAGTGACAACATTGCACCCAAGCACACCTAACAAACTCAAACATTGGTAAGGCTAAACTGTAGTATTAAATGCTTTATAGATTCTGTAGTGAGTGAGTGGGTGGGTGGGTGGGTGGGTGAGTGAGTGAGTGAGTGAGTGAGTGAGTGAGTGAGTGAGTGAGTGAGTGAGTGAGTGAGTGAGTGAGTGAGTGAGTGAGTGAGTGAGTGAGTGAGTGAGTGAGTGAGTGGGTGGGTGGGTGGGTGGGTGAGTGGGTGAGTGTCACATCAGCAATATTTCAGCCATATTGTGACTGTTGTGACAAAGTAATGCAGATATATTTTGTAAAACCCTGTCACCAGTACAGTATATCAACGAGTAACAACACAGATCGGTTCTAAACCTTTGTTTGAAAGAATATTTAGAACAGACTATTAAATAATGACACAATAAAAAAAACTCTCGCCCGCATCCCCAAGTAGGCCACCTTACTAGGGACCATGGGGACTTATCGTACCTCTGCTACATGCATGGTGCCCCAGAAGAATTTACACCATCCCTCTACCTGCTGTTAATTGTTTGAAAACTAAGACAAACATTAAAATAAACAAATATTCTACGATCAACAGTGTGTGGATATAAAATATCTTTGAATGACATGGTCCTACAATGCCAATAATGTTACACTGCAATGACCACGTCGAGGGCACAGCCAGGAACACCTCACTGAGGCCACACTTTTGGCTATACTTGCTTTATGGAGTTTTTACAGAAAATACCTGTCGGTAGGTTGTAAAATAAAAAAATAAGCAATTCAAACTTGTTTTCACAACAGGTCGGTTTGGCATAAAAAAAATTAAAACTGGTTTAATGTGGGAGATGAGCCTGCAACAGCTGTTCCTTTAAGCATTCCATTTATCATTTCGCAGTAACCATGGAAACATCTACATGTAATCTTTTACTTCTGAAAAAGCTTTGTTCTCTTTCATATAGGTGGATCGTAATGACCCAAAACTACTTATGTACACTGCAGATGCTCATTATTCAAATACTACAGTTGCAATTTGGTTGGTAAGATTGTCAATGTTATCAATTTAACTCACTGAATTCTTAAGTTCATACATACTCTAATGTTGTATGCTTTTTAGAGTTGTATCTTTTTATTTTTGCAAACCATCAAAGATGAAGCAGTCGGTCAAATACAAATAATTTTTAACTATTTATATTTTTGTTTTCTGATTATTGTATTTCGGTCGAATCAGTAATCCCCCTCAAAATGTAGACTGTTACAAAAACATGGGTGGTCGGGTAGGCTTGTGGTTAAATCGTTCGCTCGTCATGCCAAAAACTCGGGTTCGATTCCCGACATGGGTACAATGTGTGAAGCCCATTTCTGGTGTCCCCCGCTGTGATATTGCTGGAATATTGCTAAAAGCTGCGTAAAACCAAACTCACTCACTCACTCAGTCACTCACTACAAAAACACATGGATCTGGAATCTACTTCCTAATATGTATGTGGTTGTCACCTGCAGTCTCAGTGTAGTTACATGATAATGGTTGTTCCCAATCTGCTGTAAAGGTCATCATGTATCATTTCTGAAGCTAGTTTACAAATTGCTGTCATATATACAGCTCATTTTCAAAAACCATTTTCAAAGTGTCTGCATTGCATCTACACTGAGCTTCTGTTCAGGTGATATCAAATATCTATAAGTCTATCTTCACAAGATCAATTAGCAAACCAATGCTATATATACAACTCAAAAGAAGTTCATATGACTATAGTTAATCTGTCATGCCATGAAAGATCATTTCAGGGCACCATCAATAGCCCTGTTATATACTTTCATATCATCCCATAATTGACTTAATTGTACAATTTATTGTGTCAAAACATACTCTTTAACAAGCAGGGTTTTATCTAAGATACCAAACTAAGTTCCCTTGTCAGGCAAATAGGGTACTGGTAAACAGTTATTTTAGTAAAAATAGGGTTTTGTACAGTTTTTATTTTCAGAGGTTTTTTAACATTATATAAGATACAAAACAATTATTTGGGAAGTGTTACTGACAATTGCTGCAGACTTGTTGCCAAATATAGGCCTCTGAGCAGGAGTAGATAACTCCCTGACAAGTGACATGATAATGAGTTTTGAAGACACCTGACCTGATCAATGCAATCAAACGACATAATTATACCCTACCTTGAACATCAGGAAGGATTCGTTTGTATTTTAGTGACATACAAGTCACCATGAATCCACACATAACAATGAACTTAAGAGAGCGATGCTAACAGAAAACTTTATATTCTCTGATATTTTCTTCATTTTCCAAAATTACAACCCTCTATTAGAATTCTTTCCATAATTAGTATCTTTGAAAAACTATTAAACACAAGATGTTTTGTTTGTTTGTTGTTTAACACCCCACTCAGCAATATTATAGCTATATGACAACAGTCTGTAAATAATTGAGTCTGGACCAGACAATCAAGTGATTGACATCATGAGCATCAATCCATGCAACTGGGATACGATGACATGCATCAACCAAGTCAGCAAGCCTGACCACCCGATCCCGTTAGTCGCCTCTTACGACAAGCATAATCACCTTTTATGGGAAGCATGGGTTGCTGAAGACCTATTCTACCCCGGATCTTCACGGGCAAGATTTTTAACAAAACAATCAATTAGACATATAAATTTGAAATGGATTCAAACAGATGCGATCATCTAATCATTTGCTAATATCAGTGCAAACTCGTTCCCTTCCATCCTGTTTATTTTGTAACTAAGACATACTGCAAACATTCATGAAAGCAATCAAGTATACAGAGTAGATAAATCAAGAGTTTGAAAAGAAATGAGATGGATTTTACACCTCGAGTAGTGATTTTGCAGCCTCATCTCGATAGGAAGCACAAAAGATGGCCTTACCACACACTATGATACAGTTTGTGGGCGCACACCATGGCCTGATTCAGCAGCTCATACAACTGGCCTACCCCCAATGTACTATCTAAGCGATCCTGCACACTTCAATATTTGGGTGAAATAACAGACTGCCAAGAGAACACTTCCCCTGACAATCAATAACCCCTACATATATAGGAACTCACAGATATACTTGTTGTTTTGGTGTTATAGTAAAGAAATAGGTTTGCTTCTAAATCGATAGTGAGTGAGTCTGGTGTAACAATGCTTTGAACAATCAAACCTATGCGCACTCAAAAGGTGTTTGCATCAACTGCATGCAGAAGTGACTAAGCTTGGGTGGTCAGAAAACGTACATAAAAAGCCTATCCGGGGTAGAATAGGTCCTCAGCAACCCATTCTTGCAGTAAAAGGTGAGGTGAGGTGAAATTGGGTTTAACGTCGCGTCCAAGATTATTGCACTTATATAGTGACGTGCATGCACGTGTGTGTGTGTGGCTGCTTGTACCAGTCCGGACTGATGCCGATTTATAGTGCTAGCCCACTGAGATACCATGACACAGTTTAACATGAATACCCCACTCAGACACAGTATACTGACTCCAAGCCGACCAGTCCTTGTTTTAGCCCCTTAATGCTGAGCGCCAGACAGGGTAACAACAAGTACCATCTTTTAACGTCTTTTGGTATGACGCGGCCAGGGATCAAACCCCAGACCTTCCGCTCTCCGGGCGGACGCTCTACCACAAGACCACGGAGGCGGCTCTGGTCTTGAGGAAAGTCCTTGAGTGTGTCACACTTATCAAAGAATCATGGTAAAAAAATCTTCCTCAAAAGAAAAGACTACTCACCAAAAGCATCTTCGTCCACCTCCCCTGAGTAGTACTCTAGCACCCTCCTGTACACACTGTATCCTAGTTTCTCATACATTGCATACAGGCTTATTTGGAAAATGGAGCCCAATGCATTGATGGCAGTACAAGTTATCTCCCTTGCCAGTTCCACTTAATCTTCTAAGACCTCAACATTTTCTGTTGGAAACTTTTAAAATTTCCTCATCTGATGGGAGTATCAATTAATTTCATATTATTGATTTTGATTTTTGTCCTTTGTTTGTTCACATATCTATATTATTCATGATTTTAAGTGAGTGAGTTAGGTTTAACGCTACTTTGAAAAGTATTCTAGTTATATCGTTTTCAGGAGAATTTAATCTTAATATGAGTGAAGTACCAGACTGCAAAGGATTTTACTGCACTCGGCTTCAGACTAGTGGCTTAACACATGTCAAAGTCCCAGACAGCCATCTTCCCGAGTCAAGGGAGTTAACTGACTATAAAAGTCCAGTTTCCAACCTTGCCGAAGTTGGATTTTGGCTGGATTATGCAGTCCAATCAAAATCGCGCAATGAAATCAGAATCCGGTTCGTAAACTGTCATGTAAATTTCGTTCGATTGCAGGATTTGCAAAGCACGTGCACAGCCAACTCGGTGTCAATAGATATTTTCCGAATCTTTTCATGTTTTTAATCAAGGTGCTCACGTGTTTTGATGCACTTCGTGATGTAGATCCGTTTTATCACAATATAGAACTTGATTATCAATCAGATCATCTTGACTGGGCAGCGCCATTTTGTTTGAAGCAAATGCAAGTGATAAAAGGCGTGGAATCTGATTGGTCAATAGGAGAGGCATAAAAGGGACATAACTCGTAATAGCCACTGGTGGCGCTACGATCGAGCCAAGGAATTCCAGCCTAGTTCAGGAAGGGTGGAAACTGGACTTTCAAAGTCAGTTAAGTCTCGGGAAGATGCAGGCAGCTGGTACATACCAAATATGGCATCGACCTGAAAATTAATGGCTGCCTGTCCCTTTGCAGAAAACCAGTAAATGTTTGTACTTGTAAATAAATAAACTTGTAAGTAAACTGACCAGCTGACCAATAAAGTAAACATCTTTCACCTAATCATCAATCTCATTAAAATCAGATCAAAGTTCTCGCTGCCGCTAAACAAAGATCTGAGGACATCCCATTACGGGTCATGTCAGAACGACCTTTCGCGAACTTTGACAGACTACTGAAATGACCAACAAGAAGTCGACATCAGCCAATTAGAAAGCAGCTTTCTCGAGCTTTACGGCACCTGTTTCAACCTGGCGACATCCATGTCAGACTATGCTTGAAAAATATGTTGACACAGTCCCGATTAAAATTTTGAAAACTGAACAAACGAACATTCCGGAATGTCTAATATACGGTTGAGATTGTATGGCAGTGCTTCCCACGTACCATGCAACGCCTCTTCCGTTCAAATATTTATCCCGTGGAAGCGAGAGATAGACGATGATTTTGACGGAACCAGTCATCAGGCCGTAACTGTCGTTCGGAATACCCCATGTTAACATTTTCGAGGTTGCATTTATTAGAAAACACATTCCGACTGTCACTTTCATGATCTGGTAAGCAACGCCTTGATTGGTCGGATGGAAGGTCCTTCTGACGTGACCCGTAATGGTATGTCCTCAGATCTTTGTTTAGCAATAGCGAGAAAGAAGATCTGATTTTAATGAGATTGCCTAATCATTTGCTAATGTCAAAACTGGATCACCAAAGATAACCATGCAGGGATTGCCCCGATGTTCACAGGTAATCTAAGAATAAACATGAGTTTGACAAATTCATTGGGGTGGTTTTAGTAATAATAATAATAATAAGTGCATTTATAATACACCAGATTCAATTCACCAAGTGGATGCTGATTGCACTACACTATTATTACCCTGGTCAATGGATCAGTGAGCACTCGATTTTACATTCTCAGCTCCCTTGGGAGTATAGAACCCAAGGTGACTGTGAGGTGCTAGAAGGTTAACAGTCACATTACCATCCTACCAGGTACCCATTCACTGCTGGGTGGACAGAGGCACATTTTGAACAAAGTCCCCTGCCAACGAGACACCACATGTGCTACAAGTCATTCAATGTGGGGAAGGACCAAAGCCCTAGAAACTCTCAGGAGCCAAGCCCCTCACCCATTTAAAGACTCCCTACAACCAACATTGCTTAACTTCCCCTGATTTGTGACCTGTGTGCTGTACACAGGACCATGTGTAATTCCTGACTGCATTGATTTTTTCATAGATAAATGACACAACAGATATGAAAAAAGTGCATACTTTTGGGGGTCTTTCTTCAGGATTTATTGTGTGCTTGCATTTGATTCCTGCTGTATTTACATGCACAGAGGGGTGTTTGAAGTAAAAAAGACATATAGTAATATAGTTAATCAGAACACATAAGATTCCTCTGGTCATAACAACTATACTGGTGCTTGTACTCCCTCAGAATACTCTAGGTGGAATGGAGCTTTGAAGGGTTACCTCCCTTTGACTACAACTTTTATCTGGTCTTGAGGTAAGATAAGGTGAAATTGGGTTTAACATTGCGTCCAAGATTATTGCACTTATATAGTGACGTGCATGCACGTGTGTGTGTGTGTGTGTGTGTGTTTGTTGCTGCTTGTACTAGTCCGGACTGATGCCGATTTATAGTGCTAGCTCACTGAGATACCATGCCGCAGTTTAACATGAATACCCCACTCGGACACAGTATACTGACTCCGAGCCGACCAGTCCTTGTTTTAGCCCCTTAATGCCGAGCGCCAGACAGGGTAACAACAAGTACCATCTTTTAACGTCTTTTGGTATGACGCGGCCGGGGATCGAACCCCAGACCTTCCGCTCTCCGGGTGGACGCTCTACCACAAGACCACGGAGGCGGCTCTGGTCTTGAGGAAAGTCCTTGAGTGTGTCACACTTATCAAAGAATCATGGTAAAAAAATCTTCCTCAAAAGAAAAGACTACTCACCAAAAGCATCTTCGTCCACCTCCCCTGAGTAGTACTCTAGCACCCTCCTGTACACACTGTATCCTAGTTTCTCATACATTGCCACGGCAACCTTGTTAGATACCCTCACAAACAGGTCCACGAAAAAACAATGTTTCCTGCAAGATAATCACATTGATGCATTAATGTACAGCACAAACTTCAGATACTTGTCCTCAATATATTACCAACTGCACTAGTGATGAAACTGATGAGACGGCGGACACAATGTTTCTCTCACTGTTGAAGGACTGAGTGAGTGAGTGAGTCGGGTTTATCGCTGCTTTTAACAGTATTCCAGTTATATCACGGCTTGTCAGCTTAATGTGGGAGGAAAGCCCGAAGTGATGCAGACATGATGTCTCAGACGTTTACCACTTCGTTGAAACCCACGAGCACGGGTATGGTGCTGACAAACCAAGAAACATAATCAAGGTGAACCGGGATTTGAACCCACAATCATAGGTTTCTGGCGTGCCCAGGGGACGCAACTCTGCACAGCGAATCGTGGCGCCTTAGACGACTGGGCCACCCGTTTTGAAGGACTGTAAAACCGGGTTTAATCAAACATGGACATTCTGCTTCAGATGGAACTTACTTCTCTGAGATTTCTTCCAGTATGTTCATGAGCTTTGCTGCCAGACCCAGTCTCCGGAAAACCGGGGCAACCGTCAAGGCTGTCACATGACCATGCCACAGGTCGCCAGTTCCTTCCGATTTCCCCATGACTGAAAGTGTACACACTGATTAAAGATGACTGCCCTGTCACTACAGGGCACTACATAACTTAGTGCAAAAACTGTGTGAATTTATGCCATTGTGTTAATCAGCAATCAACAGAAAAAGCAGAAACTTAACGAAGCGCTTGTAAAATCTCAAACAAGTCAACAACATCTATATTTATTTAAACATTTCGGTTTCATTATCTGGAGATCACAACCCTACACCTTTTTCATCATCTTTTTCTTGTCACAAGAAGCGACCAACGGGAGTAGACTCACTGACTTGGTTGATGCATGTCATCTCATCCCAAATGCGTAGATTGATACTCATGATGTCAATCACTGGATTGTCTGGTCAAGACTTGACTATTTACAGGACCAGTGTCATATAGCTGGACTATTGCCTAGTGTGGCCTTTAACAACAAACTAAAATAATTTTTCCCCTGAGTTGCACCACAGTATTGTTGTCAGTATTTAATGCCACTTCCGGAAATATTTTTGTGCCAATACTTACTATATCCCATGATCTCGCCGCTGGGGGACTCTGCGATCTGGAAGTACTCCGGCCAGTGAGCCAGGTACTGCATGTAGAAGGGCAAGCCATACTGGGACAGTGTAAGGAAACAACATGGAATACTGTATTCAACGTAATAAGCGCCCCGCTCTAATAAGCGCCCACTGCGATATTTGCTAACATATTGGCGAGTGAACAATCCCAATTGGCACCCCTTCTGATTGATCAATGTACACAAGACTTATTTTTTCACGTATAATACGCACTCGTGTATTATATGCACCCTTAATCATGGGCAATTAAATTCTGGAAAAATATATCTGTCGTACATAAACATTTGAGGCTGTCAACATAAACCACGAAATTTATCTTTCAACACTGTTTTTTTTTCTCCAAAATAATATTCTAATAAGAGCCCCCTATTTCCAATTTTGAGAGCGCCCTGGGCGCTTATTACGTCGAATACGGTAGCTGCTATGTCATGACTTTTTCAGTTATCCATTCAAATAACCTCCACCACTATTTTACCTTTTACGCCAAATGGAATCTGTTTTGTTGGATAATCGAGACTGGTATTGACATTTAATATCTAAAAGTGACAAGTCAACAATCATTCCTTCATTTCAGGAAGAAAAAAAGAATAGCTTTACATATTTTCACTTACAGACTTGTACTTTTCTTTTTTATATAATTATCCATCTATGTTTAATATAAGTTGTCGTATGAGTGGCACGTCCAGTGTGCATGTGACCAGGCCTTTGTCTGGAAACAATCTGGAACCTAGTTCATAAAGACAACCACCCTATTCCTGAATACTGAATATGTATTTACTGAAATTATTTCATCAGAAAACTTTGATGTTGTATATAATACATGTTTATATCTATATAAAGTCCAGTGGCTAAGAGAAACTGAAATCGATTACTTCCTTGGCATGCGTGGTTCATGCAATCAACCATTGTCTGTATTATGGGCCTATGGCCTTCTTACTGAATAAACTGTCTGTCTGACAACCCTATTCCCCCCTGCCCTCAGTATCAGCTTACATCGGGTACAACTAATAAAATACCATTCAAATCTATCCAAGACAAAAATTGCCTTTAGTGGTTTCCACTATTTGGATTATTGTCTCGGGATAGATCCTTATATTGATTTGGTTGCCACATTATCATTTAGGAAAGGATCTTCTTTACCAACTGGCAAACTTAAAATGTATGAAAAACTTTGAAATGTTGTCCTAACATATTCGTGCATGTTCACATGACTTTCCACTTGACATTGTTCTTAAATACAACTATGAGCCACTTTGTGACCCAAAATGGTTTTATTATTTTACTGTCTGTTTTACTCTTTTACTGTCTTTGACCTCGCCAACATCTCCAAGGAAAATCTGCTTGAATCAATGACTAGCTCATGTTTCGCCATTGTTCACGATTCACTCATTTAAAAAATTATGCAGATCAGATCTTTTTTAACATTAGTTATATTTGGGATAACACTTTCTTAGTTAAGGGTACAATGTGTGAGCCCATTTCTGGTGTTCCCCGCTGTGACATTGCTGGAATATTGCTAAAAGCAGCGTAAAATCAAACTCACTCACTCACTTTCTTAGTTAAATACAAATTCTAGTACTTTTGAGTTGAGCCTCATCAGGAATTCGATCCGACACTCTCAGACTGAGGCACCTTATCGCCAGCACACAAAGGCAGCGATCTAACCCACTCAGCCACCAAGGCTTCCACAAAAAATGAAAGTCTGACAACTGGTAGTCTAGATCACGTACTTTGTGTACCCATCTGACAAGTGTAAATTAGCACGGCTCCCCTGGCCTGAAGCTATGAATACACAATTCCAATAAAGTGGTCAAATGTAAAAAATGTTATATTGGGATAATACTATCTTAGTAAAGTACAAATTCTCGTACTTTGGGGGGTTGAGGCGAACCCACACTCTTAGAGTGAGGCACCCACTTCTCGGGGGCGTACACAAGGTATGTGACCTAGACTACCAGTTGTCAGACTTCCAGTTTTTGTGGAAGACTCGGTTGCTGAGTGGCTTAGATCCCTCATCCCAGGACTAGGAGCCTCCCGCTGAGTGTGTGGGTTCAAATCCAAGATGGGACTAAACCCCCAAAAGTAATAGAACTGCCATTTTGATTAGATTAGAAGACAGTGTTTATCAAAGCCTAGATCACAATATATATGTGCCTTGCTTGTATGAAGCCAATCACTCTCCTACCCAGATTTCCTTGCGGCCAGCCTAGTAACTCTGTCACATTGTCAAATCTTTTTTATCTGTTTCATTTTGTCCGAGTACACATTTAGATAAACGTCATGAAATATTTCATTGAGAAAATATCCTAAGACGTGAATATCCTATTTCCATTTGCATATTTTTCCTCCATGTGCTGTCATTGAAGATCACGGAGAGCTTGCGATGCTGTCACTTTCATGTGTAAAGCTGTATTGTCATGCACATCACTGTCGCAGTTGCAGTAGTATATCCATATATGCACCAAAAGGCTTGCATTTTATTTCAAAATAGGAGTGTTTGTTTAGAAACAAGAGAAAAGACTGGTCACACGATAAGCCTACAACCATGGTGTGGTCACCAGAGCAGAAGCTTCTCTCGGAATAAGGCTCTCTTGGGTTATCGGCTATTGTTTACAGACAATGCTTCAGGACGATCAATGTACTGTCCTTTTAACATGTTTAAGCATCCTACAAGCATGACAAGTGTAATTGTATCAAAAGTCTGATACTACTTTCATGGAATACACATGACTTAAAACATTTTCAAATCCGAACAAAGAAAATGTAAGGATACTGTTTCTGTGAGTGGATCCAAATTCCTGCAAATAAAATTAAATAATTATTTTGCATTGTTGCTTTTATTTTGATAATAACATTGTTTTTCGTGTCTCATTTTGTTTTTACGACACTTTGAGGTTCAAATACGATAAAGACACATTTTCATCGATATTTCTGTGAATATTGAAAGGTTCCGACAGTCAAGACATGACCCTAGATCTATATGCCGGGCCGTTACGTAGGACTACAAGGGCCATGTCTTGACTGTGGGACCCCATCGCGGCCCTCGGCTAGGCTGTATGAGAATCATCGTCATACAATTTACAACGCATATCGACTAACAAGAAAGCTATTTTCGCAAATCCACAAAACACTTTACTTACACATTATTAAATCTGAACAGATCGTCACAGGTAAACGGTCTTATTGTCGTCATGTTTGTCGCTGAAAGCGTAAAACGCCTTGTTGACACCCTTACAGGGTCCCCGTTTCAGTCCATGCTTTACCAAGCTCCTCACAGCGATAGTCTGTTCGGGCAGCTCTCTATACAGAGAGTGTAACGAAGGTGTCACGCGCTGGGAAGGAGCTTGGATGCTTTACTCCTGAGGGGCGATAACTCTTCTTTTGGAATGATATAAGCGATTGTCGCTTCCTTGACTGGGAGCCTGTCTACTTGCTAGTCAGGCGCTTCGTCAGGAAATTCGCTGGGTTCTGCGGTCACGAGGAACTACACGGAAAGAGAAACATACACATGAAACCATATCGAACGGCGTCAGGTGCCGCGCTTTATTTGGTTTTGAGAAAGATAGAAAGATGTAAACAAACTTTTTAAAGAACTAATGACATGCGTATAATAATTATTAACATTTCTAAATGTAGATTATGACACTAAACATGTTGGTGTACAAAGGAGGAATGCTCTGTCCTAGACTTGTTTATCTGCTCTAGAGCGCTTGCGCTCCTCGCCTGCTGCCGCTAGGAGGTTAAGGGCCGAGTACCAGTATAGCTGTATCCGAACTATTTACCCATCATGATCACACAGCATTTCGCTGCGGTGAAACGTTGACCCATTTCCCTCTAGCGAAATGTCTGTCGAGCTGAAATGGGGACAGACCTACAGCTTATTGCTATGCGGGAAACGTTGACCCAGCTTCCGAGTAGCGGGAGATTAGCACTTTTGGACAGTGTGAACAGTACAGGAGTAAACATATAAGCTTTAGGGAGGTAACTCTAATAGAGAAGTATGGTTCATGGTTTAAAATTACGTGGGTTTCGATTTTAACAATATCTGCATGTCTCCACTGATCTACTTCATTATAAAATATTACAACAATATTGCTATTACTATGAAAAGATCAATTATGAAAAAATATTTATAACTTCACCACTGTGGATATATAAATGTCAGCAGTATCACCTATACGACTATGATTGTGTCAACTTCATACTCCTAATAATGTTCCTTGATAACAATAACAAATGTTTCAGGAAGTCATTGAACATTGTGAAAGCACATTACTTGTTTTGTAGCAACCCATGCTTGCCGTAAACGGTCACTATCCTTGTCTTACTGACTTGGTTGATGCATGTCATCGTATCCCAAATGGGTGGATCGATGCTCATGATGTCAATCACTGATTGTCTGGTCCAGACTCGATTATTTACAGATTTATACGTACATTTTCCTATGCTTCAGTTCTAAATCATTCAAAACATCCTTATAACAAAAAAAGAACTTCCTATAAAAATCCGATATGTAGATTGCAGTCATTCATTTTGCAATATTGTGCAAAACAGTTATACACGTTTAATGTGAATTTACCCATGTTAAGGTAGACGTGTGAAGATCCGGGGTAGAATAGGTCTTCAACAACCCATTCTTGTCGCAAAAGGCGACTTTGTTTGTCGTAAGAGGCGACTAACGGGATCGGGTGGTCAATCTCGCTGACTTGGTTAATGTACGTCATCCTATCCCAATTGCGTGGATCGATGCTCATGATGTCAATCACTGGATTGTCTGGTCCAGACACGATTATTTACAGACCGCCGTCATATTGCTGAGTGTGGCGTTTAACAACAAACAAGCAAACAAAACTTGTTTTGTTTTCATAATACATGTATGATTGTTTCTACTTTTAAATAATTAATATTTAATCTGAAATGTGTCAAATTATCATTCCTGATTCTCTCGTCACGATATGGCTGAAATATTGCCGATGTGACGTAAAGCATTAACTCACTCACTCACATTCCTGATTCTGAAGGTACCACGTGCAAATTAGAATTTCTTTTATCTTCAGGGTTACACATAAGTAGTATAGAACGGGTCCGCAGAAGGCCATTTTGGTTGATCCGGTTGATCCAGGCGGATGCGAAGGTGATTGGTTGATCCAAGTCACGTGATCGGATAGGATGACTCATGCATCAACAGCGCGTCACAGGTGTGGGGGAATGAAAGGTGTGTGTGTTTATAAGGCAGAAAAAAATTCGTAAGAAAACAAAAGTAAAAGGTTATGAATAGGGCTAAATGTATAGCGTGCTGCCTTGAATAGACAGACCGTACCCGTCAGCCCAGTTTGAATTGAGCGCGCTTGACAAATCACGTGACCACATATTTGTATAGAAGGCGTTCAGCCCTGTCCCGACTTGCATAGTTGATGTTTCAACGCTAGCGTTTCCATTTAACGCGATGACAAATAAACCGTGCGGTTTGAGTTTTAACCGTGTAACATGATGTGCACAGTTTTACTTCAGAACGTGCTATTTTGAAAATAGATAGAAAACTGATAAGTACATGTAGCAGTGTGACGGCACGAAGCTAGGTTTGTTGGGAAAGTGATGGAAGCAATCTATAGGACATTTTCATGTTTACAATACTCACCCTTAATTCGAAGAGAGAACAGAGTTTATCATGGAAAAATGTTTCACGAGGAAAATGTTTTATTGGAAATATAGGTTTATTCATAGCTAATGTATAGCAGAGAGACTAAGCCACCGACCGCCCATAACAATGTCAACATACCCCGGCCTTACAATTAATGTCAACATACCAGCCTCGCCTGAAGCTTCCCATTCATAAATTGTGTGAGCAGTGTCCCGTATTTATGATACGTTAGGGAAGATGTGTTGTACATTTGTTATTTTAAAAGGGAGTTATTTCAGAGAGGATATATATGGGTATTCCCCCCTCATTAAACTTTTCTTTCGTTGGTGTCTATTAAACGTATCCGGTATTTAATACATTTGAATGATGTAGGAAAAGTATGTGCGTGAAGATGTTGTACCTATATCCGAACACGAATGTATGACACAGGAAGGGTGTGTGGAATGCACTCGTCCTTGTAAGGGTAAAATACGCGTTTAAACTCACCATTTAAATGATGATGACATTACTTTTTAGATGTATAATTGGTATCAGTGAGTGAGTGAATTTAGTTTTACGCCCCACTCGGCTTTATTCCAGCTCTAGGACGGTGGTCTGTCAATAAACGAGCTTGGACCAGACAATCCAGTGATCAACAGCATGAGCAGCGATCTGTGCAACTAGGAACCGACGGCACGTGTCATCCGAGTCGGACCAACCGATCCCCGTCAGTCGCCGATAAGCATGGGTTACTGAAGGTCGATTTTTATAACCCGGGACCTTCACGGGTGTAGTATGACGAAGACTATATACTAATATGATCGCTTTTTTAACATACTCACAAGTGTGCTGTGAAGAAAAGAGTGTCTTCCAAGAATCCCTGCACGTGTAAGACAGTATAAACTCTACAGTAGTGTAGCCCGACAAACAGTTTTACTCTCGCCAGCAAACGGATTGGACGTGAAGAACATGAAGAAAGCATCAGAGATTAGACTTGACCCTAGAGATATATTTAGGAAGACTACGTTGAGAAAATCACAACAGAGAAAGAAACCACAAGCAGCCAAGAAGTCGACGCTGAAGATAAAGAAGAGACAGGTAACACCTAAAATGAAAACGATGACAACCAAACAGGGATCGAAGACAACACCCCAACCCGTAAAAATACAACATGTGTCGGAGGTGAAGGCTGTGGTGGAACGGGCACTTGCTGCCTTGAAGCGTCAACAGAGGAGTCAAGGGTATAAAAGAAAGCTTCATACCCTCTAATCGCACACCGTATTGGATCACCATGGGGGTTGCCACCTGTCCGGACTGTGAAAAAATGTTTTCAAGGAGAGATGTCATGTTACGACACAGGAGAAATAAACATAGCATACCGCCGCCGCCGTTACAAGCCCACCCGCCGCCGCAAGTCCATTGGCCATTACAAGCCCACCCGCTAACGCCGCCGCCGCAAGCCCATCCGCTACCGCCGCCGCCGCCGCAAATCCACCCGCCATTACAAGCCCACCCGCTAACGCCGCCGCCGCCGCAAGTCCACCCACCGCCGCCGCTGCGTCAAGCCAACCCGCCGTTACAAGCCCATCCGCCGCCGCCGCCGCCGCCGCCGCCGCCATCGCAAGTCCACTCGTGGCTGCCTCACTTACCATGCATATCTGATCTTCGAGAACAATTCAAGTTCCTGATTCCCTCAAATGCGCTCGTTGTGGGACCCAGTGGTTGTGGAAAGTCTGTGTTTACCTCTCATGTTCTCCGGCATGGCCTGATCCAACCCCAACCTACCCGCATCGTTTGGTGTTATACTCAATGGCAGCCATTATATAAGGACCTCGGTGAGCAGCTGCCTCAGCTGACCTTTGTCAAAGGAATTCCCTACGATATCTTGGACGAGGATTACTTTGATGCTCGTCAACAGAACGTGTTGGTCCTGGATGATTTCCTGGCCGAAACAAAGCACGACAAGCGTATTTCGCGGTTGTTTACTCAAACCTCACATCACAAGAATGTATTGATCTTTCTCTTGATACAAAATCTGTTTCCGAGGGGTAAGGAATCGAGAGACATTGCTTTGAATGCGCATTATGTGACCCTGTTTCATTCCCCCATAGATAAACAGCAAATCAAACTCTTCGCTCGTAGAATTTTCCCCGAACATATGGATCACTTTATGGCTATGTATGAAAAGGTTACTGAAACACCCTATGGACAACTCACCATCGATCTAAAACCTACCACCAAAGATAAGGATCGACTGCATGTTAACCTCATAAATGAGGAAAACAGGAGAACAACAGCACAGTCTGAACCTGATCTGCGTAGGGAGAAGTTGACTACAACAGAATCTCTGGATCGTCCTCTGACACAAGAAGAGAGATTGCCCCAACATCAGCTCACGCCAATTGAAACCGATTCAGACACGAGTAGTGAGACATCATTGACTATGGCCACGGCTTGCGCAGATTGCGGGGTGCTGATAGATAACATGCACGATCTACAGCGACATATCAAACACTGGTGTCCGGCCAATAGCCTTCAACCTAAGAGAAAGCGTGCCAGGCTCGAGAGTGATGACGATGACAGTGACTTTGACGACCTAGCCTCTTCCCAGAAAGGCAGTGGTCTTGCCGTCAAACCTCCACGTGGGAAGTCAACATTCACTAATATGGAAGCCGAGGAGTGGCAAAATGTAGGCTTACAACGCATCTGGAAGCAGGTGTACGATACGTTTCATGTCAAGATGAAACTGCAGAAAAAACAGTACAAGCGACAGGGACGAACGCAAGAATGGATTGAGAGAAGATTGAAACTGAGGTGGGAGGATCTAGTGCGTAGTACTCTCAACTATGCGATGGAATATACCACGTACTTTAAAGAGGCACCTCTGTTTCAAAACATGCTATACAACCTGGGAGACATGAATCCTTCCACGGAACAATCCGTTCTCAAAAATAAAATCAAACTCCTCCTAAAACCCAAGATGAAAGAGATCCTGCCTTTGATGGATATGCCGGAAATAGAAAGTGAGACTGAATCTGATAGCGTTGCAGAGGATAACGACGGTGATGACGAGGAGGAGGATGATGACCGTGAGCAGAACGATTAGGCATAAATACCCATCACTACTATATCAGTCTAACAGTCAGAAGAGAATGCCGAGTCAACGCCACGCGTCTAGTTTGATTCATATTTTGAAAACACCTCGTAAACTGAGGCGTTTGAACGATAAGAAACGCCGAATTTCCCTCTACGTGAGAGGAATGGTGAAACTGGGACCTCCTGGACGGAAATCGTTACAAGCAATGGATAAAGCATAGACTATAGACAACCATTCAACCTTAAAACAGCGTAGAAAAGGAAACATTCAACAGTGCGAAATGTGTTTCAAAACGTGGACTCGCTGTTTAAACAATAGGGCCTTCGAGCAGCAGCAGCAGCATGTGTATATGAGTGACTAAATAATGTTCCAGAGTGAATACTATTGTCCATTCGTATATCACGGCTTTGTATGGAACCGATTGACTCGAATCAATAAATGCTACGAATGAATTGTTTGTTTGTTTTTTCTCAGTTTTTTGGCATATGAGTATATAGTCTTCGTCATACTACACCCGTGAAGGTCCCGGGTTATAGAATGGAGCTTCAGTAACCCATGCTTATCGGCGACTGACGGGGATCGGTTGGTCAGTCTCGCCGACTCGGATGACACGTGCCGTCGGTTCCTAGTTGCACAGATCGCTGCTCATGCTGTTGATCACTGGATTGTCTGGTCCAAGCTCGTTTATTGACAGACCACCGTCCTAGAGCTGGAATAAAGCCGAGTGGGGCGTAAAACTAAATTCACTCACTCACTGATACCAATTATACATCTAAAAAGTAATGTCATCATCATTTAAATGGTGAGTTTAAACGCGTATTTTACCCTTACAAGGACGAGTGCATTCCACACACCCTTCCTGTGTCATACATTCGTGTTCGGATATAGGTACAACATCTTCACGCACATACTTTTCCTACATCATTCAAATGTATTAAATACCGGATACGTTTAATAGACACCAACGAAAGAAAAGTTTAATGAGGGGGGAATACCCATATATATCCTCTCTGAAATAACTCCCTTTTAAAATAACAAATGTACAACACATCTTCCCTAACGTATCATAAATACGGGACACTGCTCACACAATTTATGAATGGGAAGCTTCAGGCGAGGCTGGTATGTTGACATTAATTGTAAGGCCGGGGTATGTTGACATTGTTATGGGCGGTCGGTGGCTTAGTCTCTCTGCTATACATTAGCTATGAATAAACCTATATTTCCAATAAAACATTTTCCTCGTGAAACATTTTTCCATGATAAACTCTGTTCTCTCTTCGAATTAAGGGTGAGTATTGTAAACATGAAAATGTCCTATAGATTGCTTCCATCACTTTCCCAACAAACCTAGCTTCGTGCCGTCACACTGCTACATGTACTTATCAGTTTTCTATCTATTTTCAAAATAGCACGTTCTGAAGTAAAACTGTGCACATCATGTTACACGGTTAAAACTCAAACCGCACGGTTTATTTGTCATCGCGTTAAATGGAAACGCTAGCGTTGAAACATCAACTATGCAAGTCGGGACAGGGCTGAACGCCTTCTATACAAATATGTGGTCACGTGAGTTGTCAAGCGCGCTCAATTCAAACTGGGCTGACGGGTACGGTCTGTCTATTCAAGGCAGCACGCTATACATTTAGCCCTATTCATAACCTTTTACTTTTGTTTTCTTACGAATTTTTTTTCTGCCTTATAAACACACACACCTTTCATTCCCCCTCACCTGTGACGCGCTGTTGATGCATGAGTCATCCTATCCGATCACGTGACTTGGATCAACCAATCACCTTCGCATCCGCCTGGATCAACCGGATCAACCAAAATGGCCTTCTGCGGACCCGTTCTATACTACTCACATATGCTCTTTATGACAGTGTACGTACTTGCATTCTTTGCGCCGTGTTAAGTTATCTTGTTCCGTTGTATGGGGAATTTTGTCCCTTTATCTAATCGGGCTAGCGGCGGAAACGAGCGAACAGAAAGTGGTTGTTGGTTTAACTTCTTTTTTTCAAATGAATGAATGAATTTAATTATTGAACTTTTCAAAAACGCTATTTACATGTTAATGCACTTTTCACGGCACATTCCAGACCAGTAGACATACACAAGTGTTCACTAAAGCATAAATAAAGTTTATATAATTCTATCAACGGTTCATGATGAGAATGTTAATATTCTATAAAGGAAAACATGAATAATTTTTATGACAACTGTTCAGAATGAGAATAGACCAACCATGCCAACGGACTTCTAGAATGATACTAATTATGTAGATTACCCAGTGGGGCATTATATCTGAATACAATATAGAATCAATAATTCATTTAATGATATCACAAATACGATTTTAGATACCAGTTAATCCAGGGAATCTATATATCGTTGTATTATTTCCCTGATTAAACCGATGTATTTATAAATATAATTAGTGATAAAAAAAACGAATTATAGTTAGATATCTCAAATTCGAAATATATTATTGATATCACAAATTCGATTTTAGATTTCAGTTAAATCAGGGAATCTATATATCTTCGTATTGTCTCCCAGATTAATAGATTTATACGTACATTTTCCTATGCTTCAGTTCTAAATCATTCAAAACATCCTTACAACTAAAAAGAACTTCCTATAAAAATCCGATATGTTGATTGCAGTCGTTCATTTTGCAATATTGTGCAAAACAGTTATACACGTTTAATGTGAATTAGACGTGTGAAGATCCGGGGTAGAATAGGTCTTCAACAACCCATTCTTGTCGCAAAAGGCGACTTTGCTTGTCGTAAGAGGCGACTAACGGGATCGGGTTGTCAAACACGCTGACTTGATTGATGCACGTCATCGTATCATAATTGCGTGGATCGATGCTCATGATGTCAGTCACTGGATTGTTTGGCCCAGACTCGATTATTTACATACCGCCGTCATAAAGCTGGGATATTGCTCAAACAAAGTAAAGGAATTTTTGTAACAGACCGACAGATTGACTTGGAAATACATCATCAGGACTGCAACAGTTTACCGTTGATAAAGTCATGTTATGTCTAAATTCAGTGTTTCAGGGTAGGAACTGAGTTCAGTGTTTCATGGTAGGGAATGAATTCAGTGATTCTGGTTTGGGGCTGAAGTCAGTGTTTCAGGAACGGTTCTGCATCACCACTCACAAATACTGGTTGAACAATTTTAGACATTCAGAATACACCATCAAGGTGACTGCATTAACTGGGAAGGCCCGCATGCTCATAACTAGAGCACCTTTGAAAAAAATCTTCCCTCCGCCTGCTTTATAACTCTTCATGGCGCAATCCCACAATCCTCTGTACAACTTCCTCTCTGGGTCTGACTGTAGCCGGCTCTTGAAAACATCAAAAGGTAGGATACAAAGCCAACTGACGATGCCGCTAATTCCTCCGGAGAAGAAGTTGATGACCTGAGATGGAACTGTGGGCATCACACTGGTCGTTGTGTGGGTTAGGACTTCATAAGTAGTCATGTAAATACCACTGGCTGGGATATCTCTCAAGGCCTGTGTGCTTAGTCCCCTGTACAAGCCTTGTATCCCCCGCGTACGGATTATGTCCTTAGCTGCTGCAAGGGGGCCATTATGGAATCTTTTTTGTGTATCTGAAAATTAAACGGAGACTTTAAATATATTCACACCCCTTCCCAAACTCGGAAAAATCAGAACTGTTACATTCACGATATGAGCAAGTGAAGCATTTGGAGCATCACATCTGATGCATTTTGAGGAAATTAGGAGCAAAGTCAAAGAGCAAAGGTAAAATAATTGTAAAAAATCATAACAATACAAAAATTCGCAATAAATGGAATATATGCTACTAGCGACACATGTACCAAAGTTCATTACATTTGAATAAGATGGACCGCCTCCGTGGTCTAGTGGTAGAGCGTCCGCCCGGAGAGCGGAAGGTCCGGGGTTCGATCCCCGGCCACGTCATACCAAAAGACGTCTAAAGATGGTACTTGTTGTTACCCTGTCTTGCGCTCGGAATTAAGGGGCTAAAACAAGGGGGGACACGGGTGGCCCAGTCGTCTAAGGCGCCGCGATTCGCTGTGCAGAGTTGCGTCCCTTGGACACGCCAGAAACCTATGATTGTGGGTTCGAATCCCGGTTCGCCCCGATTATGTTTCTAGGTTTGTCAGCACCATACCCGTGCTCGTGGGTTTCAACGAAGTGGTAAACGTCTGAGACCTGCATCACTTCGGGCTTTCCTCCCACATTAAGCTGACACGCCGCGATATAACTGGAATAATGTTAAAAGCGGCGTTAAACCCAACTCACTCCCTCACTCACTCACTAAAACAAGGACTGGTCGGCTCGGAGTCAGTATACTGTGTCTGAGTGGGGTATTCATGTTAAACTGCGGCATGGTTTCTCAGTGAGCTAGCACTATAAATCGGCATCAGTCCGGACTAGTACAAGCAGCCACACAAACACACACACGTACATGCACGTCGCTATATAAGTGCAATAATCTTGGTCGCGACGTTAAACCCCATTTCACCTCACCTGAATAAAATGACTGAGTAATGGCCATACGAAGTTTCAGCTTGTACGGTCCAAGTGGAAAGGTCAAATCAAGATCCAAATTTGAAATATAGCACAAAGAGAGAAACACATCCGTTCTGCCCCACTATTAACGATAAACAAGAAAGGGTCCTACATAGGTGTAATAATTATGATAAATATTGGTAACTTATTCGAACCTCTTGAACAAATTCAGAAGTAATCTTTGGCATGAACAAGTATGGGGTGTTTCAGCTTTATTGGTCAAATGATTTCTGCGGAGATGATATTTACAATGCCAGAAAATGCATCTTGGGAAGATTTAGGAGCATGGCCCAAGTGCAAAGGTCAATAACGTAAAACAATCTCCACTTTTAACTACACATGTATCACATTGTACTACATTTTGAAAACAAATGGTCGCAAATTGGCCATAAAAAACAAAACAAACAAAATCTGATCAATATCAGATCTTAGTTCTCGCTATCGCTAAACAAAGATCTGGGGACATCCCATTACGGTTCACGTCAGAACGACCTTTCGCAAACTGACTGACTGAAACGACTAACAAGAAGTCGATATCAGCCAATTAGAAAGCAGCTTTCTCGAGCTCTACGGCACTCGTTTCAACCTGGCGACTTCAATTTCAGACTATGCTTGAAAAATATGTTGACACATTAAAGCAAGTGTTTTCTGTATCTATGTTCTCCATTAAAATGTTGAAACTGAACAAACGAACATTCCGGAATGTCTCATATATTGTTGCGATTTTATGGCAGTGCTTCCCACGTACTGTGCAACGCCTCCTCCGTTGAAATGTTTATCCCACGGAAGCGAGAGATAGACGATGATTTTGACGGAATCAGTCGTACGGGCCGTAACTGTCGTTCGGGGTACCCCGGCATGGGCGGATACAGCTTTTTTTAAAAGGGAGGGTGGTAATTTATACAGAAATAAAGATTTTCGAAATAAAAAGGGGGGGGGGGGGGGGGGGGTGCGCTTTGGGGTGTCAACATGCCCTGACATAAGCTCACTTTTATACTTTCAAAATGTTTTCGGAATATATCGAATACATATCGAACAATGGTGTGTGTGTGTGTGTGTGTGTGTGTGTGTGTGTGAAAATGCAATTTTCCATTCAATAACATATAAACAAATGTACCATTCAGATTTGAAATACTTTCCACTTTTATCTTTTTAGAGTGGGCAATTGATTAAAATACCTCCTCCTAAATATCCCTACCTAGCTTGCCTCCCTGTGCATGGATTATCTGAGACTGTAGTACGACCTTCAGCGAATCGACCGGGCATGACAAAGGTAGTTGAGAGACCCCTCCAATACACCCTGCAGCGAAGATTGTCGAATAGTAGGTGGTGCTGCGCTGTGAAGAGTCCCCCTGGTGACCAAGAAGAGAGAGAGCTGTCCCATACACCCCAAAGAAGATGGAAGTGAGGCCTACACTGGACAGCAAGGGCCATGACAAGCCGCGGAAGAAACCCTTTGACTGAAACGAAGTTTCGTCATTTCTTATAAAAGTTTAAGTGAGTCTAGTTTTATGCCACGTGTAACAATAAATCATTCAATATGAAGGCACAAAACACAACAAAGGGATCCACACATTGTATCCGTGTGGGGAATCAAACACCTTTACCTCGAGGCTGCTTGTACTCTCTTTAAACAAGGAATGCAAACAGTAAATGATGTTTGAATACTGACATAATTCTACAGCTCAGTTCATAAATGTAACAAAAACGTTTGTACAAGCTGATATAACACCAGTTATTTTACCAAAGTGACAGAGTAGTATTTCTGGCACAAACTGACATCTTTATTTTGATATGTGTCATGCTGTAGGCTGTTCTTATTACCAATGTTTGTGTGTGGACACTCCTGACACAGTCAAGGATGCTCTTGTAGCGTTCCCCGCCTCCCTGAATCTGCAGCAGTACCTACAGACAGAGAGTATAATACAACAATGGGCAGTACCTGCAGACATATAGCATAATACAACAATGTTCAGCACCTACAGACATAGAGCATAATACAACAATGGGCAGTACCTGCAGACATAGAGCATTATACCACAATGGGCAGCACCTACAGACATATAGCATAATACAACAATGGTCAGCACCTACAGTCATAGAGCATAATACAACAATGGGCAGCACCTACAGACATATAGCATAATACAACAATGGTCAGCACCTACAGACATATAGCATAATACAACAATGGTCAGAACCTACAGACATAAAGCATAATACAACAATGGTCAGCACCTACAGACATATAGCATAATACAACAATGGTCAGCACCTACAGACATAGAGCATAATACAACAATGGTCAGCACCTACAGACATAGAGCATAATACAACAATGGTCAGCACCTACAGACATAGAGCATAATGCAACAATGGGCAGCACCTACAGACATAGAGCATAATACAACACTGGGCAGCACCTACAGACAGAGAGCATAATACAACAATGATCAGCACCTACAGACAGAGAGCATAATACAACAATGGTCAGCACCTACAGACATAGAGCATAATACAACAATGGGCAGTACCTACAGACATATAGCATAATACCACAATGGTCAGCACCTACAGACATAGAACATAATACAACAATGGGCAGCACCTACAGACATAGAGCATAATACAACAATGGGCAGTACCTACAGACATATAGCATAATACCACAATGGTCAGCACCTACAGACATAGAACATAATACCACAATGGGCAGCACCTACAGACATAGAGCATAATACAACAATGGACAGTACCTACAGACATATAGCATAATACCACAATGGTCAGCACCTACAGACATAGAACATATTACAACAATGGGCAGCACCTACAGACATAGAGCATGATACAACAATGGGCAGCACCTACAGACATAGAGCATAATACAACAATGGGCAGCACCTACAGACATATAGCATAATACCACAATGGGCAGCACCTACAGACATAGAACATAATACAACAATGGGCAGCACCTACAGACAGAGAGCATAATACAACAATGGGCAGCACCTACAGACATAGAACATAATACAACAATGGGCAGCACCTACAGACATAGAACATAATACAACAATGTGGAGTACCTACAGACAGAGCATAATACAACAATGGGCAGCACCTACAGACATAGAGCATAATACAACAATGGGCAGCACCTACAGACATAGAACATAATACAACAATGGGCAGCACCTACAGACATAGAGCATAATACAACAATGGGCAGCACCTACAGACATAGAACATAATACAACAATGGGCTGCACCTACAGACATAGAGCATAATACAACAATTGGCAGCACCTACAGACATAGAACATAATACAACAATGTGGAGTACCTACAGACATAGAGCATAATACAACAATGGGCAGCACCTACAGACATAGAACATAATACAACAATGTGGAGTACCTACAGACATAGAGCATAATACAACAATTGGCAGCACCTACAGACATAGAACATAATACAACAATGTGGAGTACCTACAGACAGAGCATAATACAACAATGGGCAGCACCTACAGACATAGAGCACAATACAACAATGGGCAGCACCTACAGACAGAGCACAATACAACAATGGGCAGCACCTACAGACATAGAACATAATACAACAATGGGCAGCACCTACAGACATAGAACATAATACAACAATGTGGAGTACCTACAGACATAGAACATAATACAACAATGTGCAGTACCTACAGACATAGAGCATAATACAACAATGGGCAGCACCTACAGACATAGAGCATAATACAACAATGGACAGCACCTACAGTCAAAGAACACAATACAACAATGGGCAGCACCTACAGACATAGAGCATGATACAACAATGGGCAGCACCTACAGACATAGAGCATAATACAACAATGGGCAGCACCTACAGACATAGTGCATAATACAACAATGGACAGCACCTACAGTCAAAGAACACAATACAACAATGGGCAGAACCTACAGACATAGAGCATGATACAACAATGGGCAGCACCTACAGACATAGAGCATAATACAACAATGGGCAGCACCTACAGACATAGAGCATGATACAACAATGGGCAGCACCTACAGGCAAAGAACACAATACAACAATGGGCAGCACCTACAGACAAAGAGCATAATACAACAATGGGCCGCACTTGCAGTCATCCACTAACTGGGTCTTTTAGTTCAGGTAAAGAAGGAATCTAACAAATAGGTAATTAACTTGTAGCTCAAAGAAAATTCTTGGATATATAGTTGAAGTGTACTCCATTTCTCTGCTGTTAGAATATTACCTTAACTGTGTCGAAGGGATGACCAACTACCATTCCAGCACCACCTGGGAACAAAATGCAAACAGATCACAATAATGTGCACAGAGATTCTTGTTACGTTTCTTTCCATGCAGTAGAAACTCCATGTCAGAGTATTTGCGACTGACGTACGCGATAATTCCTCGTGCATGTGAATCAAACCTTATGACAGTAACGGTTTGTTTAATAGAAAAGAAAACAAAAAAAAGAAATATGCCTCCTTCCCCACATATGTTAAAGATTTGGAAGAAAGTCTAATAGTTTGTTTATTGCGACCTTACCCAATGAAAATATACCGTTAGTGGAGGGTTACTAGTGTGTATGCAATTGACTAGAAGGACAATTCCACGTCTGTGTAGACACCCAAACACGGTATTGGTACAGAACTCAGCAACCATTCCTTCTTGAGTCCTTAGGGGAACACTTATAGATGCAACTTTTTTATCATAATGATCATCCTTGATATATGTGTACATTAATACATGCTAGATACTTACACATATGCCGGGAATAAATATACTAACATATACTCAACTATATAGGATCATAAGTAATTTAGGATTCAAAATGATGATCATCGAATCCTAGCACGACCAAGGGACAAAACCTCCTCAGGCACATTGTACCCTTAAGCAACCAGTGCTGTTGGTAGAGATCAATGATTATCGTACCTGCAACTGCTCCTGCTGTATAGTCATGGAGGACTGTCCGGTCCTTGACCCCGGAGTTCCCCTCCAGCCACTGGTCATCTGCTAACTGACAGTCTGCCATTAGATCATCCAGGACAGTGTATCATCCTCAGAATGTCCTGCAGGAAATGTCAAAGATGAAGGGTCATTGCCATTAGATCATCCAGGACAGTGTATCATCCTCAGAATGTCCTGCAGGAAATGTCAAAGATGAAGGGTCATTGCCATTAGATCATCCAGGACAGTGTATCATCCTCAGAATGTCCTGCAGGAAATGTCAAAGATGAGGGGTCATGAATTCTGTGGAATGATCAATACAGGTGAAAGAGAGTCTGTTGTCTGTTTCCAGTGTATAGTTCTAGACATTGATTGTAACTTGGTTACACTTGACACATTGTCTGCACTCTCTGATCCCGAGTCCCTCACCTCCCCTGTGTTTTTCAGGACACTAACTGGGATGACGTAACATGACGACACATCAACCGACTCGGGTTTCGGGGAAGAATTTAGGTCCCCAGCAACCTTGGCTTGTCGCAAGGGGTGACTACCAATAAAGGACTGGGTGGTCATGCTCGGTGACACCGTTGATTACACGTCATCGAATCTCAATTGCGTGGACGGATGCTCAAAAAGTAATTCAGTGGTGTTTCTGATGCACTTGTTCCCTACCATTAGTTACACATGTCATTTGTCACACTCTCCGACCCACATGGATACAGTGATCAGTCAAGGCAACACCTCGTACTATAATGGGAGAGTGAGTGAGTTTGGTTTAACGCCTCATTTAACAGTTTTCCAGTTATATCACGGCGTGTCAGCTTAATGTGGGAGGAAAGCCCGAAGTGATGCAGGTCTCAGACATTTACCACTTCGGTGAAACCCACGAGCACGGGTATGGTGCTGACAAACCTAGAAACATAATCGGGGCGAACCGGGATTCGAACCCACAATCATAGAGTTCTGGCGTGCCCAAGGGACGCAACTCTGCACAGCGAATCGCGGCGCCTTAGACGACTTGGCCACCCGTGCCCCCTTTTCCTGTGGAAGTCAGGGTGGTTCACCATAACAAACCAAAGAAAGACCAGTTCCAGCAAATCCAGAAAACTGTATTTGCAAAAGTTGCAGTAAAAGGTATTTTCCACGTGAAGAGATATAGTGACCTTGTGAAGAAACATTTATACACGTGATCATGCTGCCCTAATGGGCACTATTCAATCTTATTGCCCTATTTCATATGTTATAACCAAGACCTAGATTTTAAGAATATTCGTTTAGACATACCCATAACTCACTTCATGTGTGTGGCCATACTATATTCCTTGTCATGCCCAAACCGAAAGAAAGGCCCATCGTGGAGTCACGTACCGTAAAAGCTGTAAAAGCAGTGTCAACTAAGTATAGGTTAGGCCACGAGGACCCAGTGTCTGATCGTTGAAATGGTTGATTAAACCACGAGGCGCGCAGTGGTCTAACATACTTAAATCATGTCCAACACTTATGGCACCTAAAATGCTTATAAAAACATTGTTTTATTAAAGGTATTTTGAAAGATATTCAGGAACTCTATGCTCAACTTAGGGAACACTGTGTGAGTTGGCCCTGTGTGAAGCACGTGAAATGTGTTCCCCGAGCCTTTTGCACGTGCACCTCCCACTTTGACGATTTGGGTTATGAAATGCATGTCCCGGGGCAAGTATACCATTCATTTTGGACCAACTCGAGCACATTTATCAATCAACTAAATATTACTTTCCCATGCTGATGGGCCTATTATGAGCAAATATAGCCCTGATCAATATAATAGTAATTTCTTTTCTATCTGTTCATTTCGTTGAGCGAAAAGCTACAAAATCACAAGTACTGTACAAAAACTAGAATGCATAGAGTAACATACTGTATAAAAATGCTTAAAACACATTTCGCCGTTCATAAGGGGATAAGCAATTGGTACTGATGTAAGTAAATATTTAGTTGTTAATTCCATACCCTTTCTCACATGTCGCCGTGGCAGAAGACTACATTCGTTGGCCTTCAGTGCGGACTTCGCGGGTTCGAATCCCGCTGGCGACAAGCGTGTTTCATGAAATAGTTCTGTCATCAAGACAAATTATAGGGGGGAAAAGAAGTTCCGTCATTGCCAAGTGGTGTTTAACTAACAATTCAGTTTGTTAGACCACGGTGAAAGACAAAGGAGCCATGGTTTAGGTTTCTGTTAAATACTGGTTTTCCACATGCGGCTTATCCTGTGATAATTTTTGCCTCGTCGAGCCGGGCTTGCGGATGATGATAATATGGATTACGGTATAAACTAAATTACCTTACTGAGCACAAAAATTAAATCGGGAAAATTGAATAATAATAATTGAAACTTTAAAAAATGTACCTGTATAATATACGGTTAACTAAATATGAAAAGTATGTTTTAAAGTTAATTACTTCTTCTAAAACACGTGTGCACGCATTTGTAAGCTGCCAAAGAAATTAGCGTTTCAAATTTTCAGTGTCTATCGGACGGGACATGAGTTTCTCCCTTTGAGTGAGTGAGTGAGTGAGTTGGGTTTAACGCCGCTTTTAACATTCCCCCTTTGACCTTAACATATGAGATGATAGTGTTGTGACACCCTTTGTAGGTCACCGGAACGTCGTCTGTCCGTCGTTAACTTTTAATTTGTAAACATGTCCTCCGAAACCAGGCATAGGCCTAAAGGTGAAACTTTGCATGGGAGATCACAGCAATGGTCTTTCTGTGATGGCTGCGTTTCTGGAAACACCACGGCAAGTAATTAGAACGTTCATTTATAGGAAATACGTTCGTTCAAGTTAACCTCTTTTTCCTTTTCACTCTCAACTCATCTAGTCCCATATGAAGCATTTGGTCCGACCGGATTCAGGCGACCAATGTCGTAGATTAATCATGTAATATGTAATTACAGAGAATACGATATTATCTACAAATGCATTGCTTATTAATGTAAAATGGGATCATAGTCAACCAAACACGTCCCTATACAAACGCTCGACATATATATATATATATATATATATATATATATTTATATATATGGCGACCAACGTCGTAGATTAATCATGTAATATGTAATTACAGAGAATACGATATTATCTACAAATGCATTGCTTATTAATGTAAAATGGGATCATAGTCAACCAAACACGTCCCTATACAAACGCTCGACATACATACATACATACATACATATATATATATATCCACTAGCCTATATCAAACCCCAGTGGATACAAGACTTTGATAAAAAGGCTAGTGCACGCTTCTTCCTGAGGCAGGAACGTCCACTAGCCTTTTTAACAAAGTCTTGTATCAACTTGGCTTTGATATAGGCTAGTGGACACGCTTGCCTCTGGAAGATGATATATATCTGTCATGAAGTGGGTGTTTGGTACGTCTTAACTTTACCGTTAATACCAGTAGGCATGTAATCAAGGCGAGGAGATGATTAATTCTTACCCAAAATAATCACAAAACTCGCAGTCGCACAATCGTAGGTGGACACCAAAGTATAAGAGCGGATGTAAATGCTACGATAGTATTAATACCCTCTTGGTAACAGCTGTATGCCAGATGAATGGTATATTTCACATGTCATTACCATAACAACTGACCTGAACTAAACCGTATTAAACGCTAACAGTATGCATTGAGGTCGATATATGGTATTTTTCATAAACTCACATTGGTTAAAGCGTTGCTCGATTTCTCACATGGGTACAGCCTCTGGTTCCACCATCTTCATACTGTTAGGATATTGCTAACCATCTGCGGCGTAAAACATCATCCCATCGACCACCTACAGCCTGTTTTGGGGTAGGTAGTGTTTGTCTTTCACATACAGTGAACTACTGTTATAGCGAACTCAACGGGGCCAATAATTCTAGTTCGTTATATAACCGTATACAATTCGTTTTCAGCATTTCGACATCAGTTGGACAGATATCAGACATCTTGGATCAGGTCACGTGACCACACCATGTTACTATACACATGTATATCATACATGTACAATCAATATAGGCAATTACCATTCCGTCAAAGCAATTAACATAATTTAACAGGCATGTTACACGAACTGTATGCTACATAATATTCGCGTCGTTATTTCACTTCCACCTCGGATAATTTTGATAATTTTGCTTATTCTCCACTATATGGAAAGTGACGCTCGAGTAATTGCAAAGAAGCAGGTTGTGTGGTTCAACACGTAGTAATGATAAACCTTAATTGGGTGTTAATCCAATATAAAAAAGACGACTGTCATACTGATGGGGCTCTTATTTATGGTGATAGGGCCACGGTGTTTCAAATAATTCCAAGAATATATTTGGCGCCATGTGTTGTTCTTCGGGACTCATATGACAAAGTATCAGTTTACCACTTTGGGGAAACCAATGAGCATGGGCATGGTGCTGATAAGCTAAGAATCGTGATCACAAGATTCTTACCTGCTTAAGGGACGCAGCAACAAATGTGGCGTATATGATTTGTTTGTTTGTTTGTTTATAATTTAACGCTGCACAATATTCCAGCTATATGACGGCGATCTGTAAAAAAATCGAGTCTGGACCACACCTTAGCGATTGACATCATGAGCATCGATCCACGCAATTGGAATATAATGACATGCATCAACCAAGTCAGCGAGCCTGACCACCCGATCCCGTAAGTCGCCTCTTACGACAAGCATTGTCGCTTTTTACGGCAAGCATGGGTTGCTGAAGACCTATTCTACCCCGGATCTTTACAGGGTTTGCGTATAAGACCACAGGAGGTTCCAGGGAGTGCGTCCTGGGCCAAGACACTTCGTCACTTGGACATTGTGTGCACACACCCCTCTTTCAAAAGCATGGATCCGCCTCTGACGACTTGGCCATTTCTCCCTGAGCCAACAATATCATATCATTTTAAGTCAAGAGGAAAATTTTATTGAGGAGGTTATAATGCCTTGAAATGATTTAGAATATAGGTTTGTTTGTTTGGGGGTTGTTTTTTTTTTTGGGGGGGGGGGGGGGGGTTACAGGCAGGATAATATACTCAACAACAAAAGTTCCTGTGACACCAATATTTTAGTGTATTTTTCAAACAAGTAAAGTTTGGTTTTCAATATTGTAGTACATGTATGGAATCAAGTCACAAAAACGCAACTGCTACAGAAAAGCATGCATTCCATGCAAAAGTTGACTTTTATGCAAGCCCCGTGCATTTCACTACCCAAGAACGGGGATAAAAACATGTGCGTTAACGGGATTCCATATGCATTGTTTAGCATCGTGCTGACAACAACCACTCAGAAAAAAAAATTATGCTAATATTCAACATTAAGAAATGCCACGCCTGTCCGAAAATGAGCGTCCGCGAGCCATTGGTATGCTTGAAGCAGGATCGAGTTAACGTGATGTTGCAAGACAATTTAACGTCCACAGAAAAACCATTTGGTGTTTATGGTAACGTTGGCAACAGACGAATGCAGTCAGAGACCATCCTCGGAGTGGCAGGTCACGCGTAACCAATAATCGACAAGACAACTGGATTCGAACAACTCACCTACGAAATCCATTCCAACCATGCAGCAACAGTGACTGCAAGAAGCATCCCTGGCCTTCGAGGAATATCTTCACAAACCGTACGTCGTCGCCTCAGATATGCAGGGATTGTCGCGAGAAGACCCGCCAGACGTCCCATTTTGACAGGAAACCACCGTCAAGCACGTCTACAGTGGTGCAGACAGCGTCTACGCTGGACGGCCATGCAGTTCTATTCACTGACGAGTCTCGTTTTCACCTCAGCCACACAGCGATGGACGGATTCGAGTGTACCGACGTTGAGGTGAACGTAACGTCAATCAATGTGTCATGGAAGAAGATCGGTTCGGGGGCGGCAGCGTTATGGTATGGGGTGTGATTACAGCAAGACGGAGGACCCGTTTGATAGTGGTAGAGGGAAATCTCAATGGACAGCGCTACCGCGACGAGATCATCGGCCCTGTTGTTCGACCGTTTTTGCGTCGTCATGGCCCAGGCATTACCTTTCAACATGACAACGCCTGGCCTCATATTGCTAGATTTTTCCAGGATTCTCTTCAACAAAACAACGTGAATGTCATCCCCTGGCCGGCTCGCTCCCCTGATCTCTCACCAATGGAGCACATGTTAGATGAGATGGATCGGCGCCTTCGACGTCAACCACGTGTTCCACAGACACTCCAGGAACTTCGAAACATGCTCTAGCAGATATGGACAGATATCCCACAGGACTTTCCATGAGACGAAGATGTGTTGCTTGCATCGCAACCAGAGGTGGACACACACGCTATTGATTTGTAAATTGACATTTTGGCATGTTCATGTTGTTCATCTTAGTTTTGCTATCGCTAAATAAAGATCTGAGGACATCCCATTACCGGTCACGTCAGAACGACCTTTCATCCGATCAATCAAAGCATCGGTTACCAGATCATGAAAGTGACAGTCGGAATGTGTTTTCTTATCATGCAACCTCGAAAACGTTAACACGGGGTATTCCGAACGACAGTCACGGCCCGCACGACTGATTCAGTCAAAATTGTCGTCTGTCTCTCGCTTCAGATCCATCAACAGCGACGCTTGCGTTACCTTACAGCCTTGGAATTTGAGAAACTGGAGACGAGTGTGTTTTAGCGATGAATCACGATTTCTTCTTCACCGGCGAGATGGAAGAATGTGTTTATCGTCGTCGAAATGAGCGTTTTGCCCCACATTGTGTACATGAATTCGACAATTTCGTTGGCGGTAATGTCATGGTGTGGGAGGCCATATCCTACACTTGGAGATCTGACTTGGTTGTGATTCAGGGAAATTTCACAGCAAATCGCTACATGAATTAAATTCTTCAACCTCACCTTCCTCCAATCATTGACCGCCAGAGTGAGCTGTTTCAACAGGACAATGCCCCACCACACACAGCTCGTGTCACGGTAGACTACCTTCATAATGCCAACATCAACGCTTTGCCCTGGCCGTCGAGATCTCCAGATCTCAACCCAATCGGACACCTCTGGGATGAACTCGATCGACGCGTACATTAACGTCAGAACACGCAACAGACACTCCCACAAATGGCCAACGCTTTAAAAGCAGAATGGAGCAAAGTTCCGCAGGACAGAATTCGTACACTTATCCAGTCAGTGCCGAGGAGCTGCAGAGCCGTGATTGCTGCCCGGGCGGACACACGAAATACTGAGTTCAGCGCAACCTTGTGGCCTTATGTGACATGACAATGAGGGTTTTCAATGCCTTTGTACAACGACAACATGTGATTATCGAGCTCCAAAATTTCATATTTGTATCTATGATATTAAATATAGCGACTTTATTAGGTACAATAAATTTACTAAAAATCTACCCGTGCGTTTCTTTGGGCGGCCATTCGTTAAAAAAAATATAAAGATGGAGAAAAGGACAAAAGTACACGATAAAGGTTAAATATTACGAATAAAGAACTTCTTGCAGTCACTGTTGCTGGCTGGAATCGATTTCGTAGGTGTGTTGTTCGAATCCAGTTGTCTTGTCGATTATTGGTTACGCGTGGCCTGCCACTCCGAGGATGGTCTCTGACTGCATTCGTCTGTTGCCAACGTTGCCTTAAAACACCAAATGGTGTTTCTGTGGACGTGAAATTGTCTTGCAACATCACGTTAACTCGATCCTGCTTCAAACATACCAATGGCTCGCAGACGCTCATTTTCGGACAGGCGTGGCTTTTCTTAATGTTATATAATTGCATAACTTTGTTGTTTTTCTGTGTCGTTGTTGTCAGCACGATGCTAAACAATGCATATGGAATCCCGTTAACGCACAGGTTTTATACCAATTCTTGGGTAGTGAAATGCATGGGGCTTGCATAAAAGTCAACTTTTGCATGGAATGCATGCTTTTCTGTAGCAGTTGCGTTTTTGTGACTTGATTCCATACATGTACTTCAATATTGAAAGCCAAACATTACTTGTTTGAAAAATACACTAAAATATTGGTGTCACAGGAACTTTTGTTGTTGAGTATAGTACAATGTAATTGGAGTAAGATTGAACACAGTTTTGAAAACTGTGTTCAATTTTACTCCACTTATTTAAATATTACTATATTGTGCCTGAGAGTTAGAACTTTGTTCTTTCTTTTCTTATGACGTCTTTTCGTAACATTTATAATGTATGTATGTATAATGTATAATGTACACATTATGTAATCCGACATCTGCCTTATTAGTACAATTATTTTTCATACAACCTTCAATAAACATTCATTTACGCTGAACTAGGATTTATCTACATTCATCCGATTAACTCTTCACGTACGGTGCAACACGAGGGTGCTACGATGCCGAGTCTTGTTTCAGACGCACCTGTTATCATAACATCTGAACAGTGTACGTTGTGAGAGAATTTGTTTTATTTAATAGCTTTTCGGAAACTGTGTCCGAACAAAATGCTGCCCAATATCTGAACGTCAAAAATAAATATCAAATAGATTTGTATGCATAAATGTATAACGTTACACATTCGTTAGGAAAAATAACTTGCCATAAATAAAGAAAATCGATTTTCCTCTATGACGCCAGCGTTCGTTTTCAAACCAGATTTATTTCGCTTGTTTATATTTGTGACAAGGACAAGTTGTAAGTTGATGCCGAAATGTATGTATGTGAAATAATATGTGATGTATAGGGGTCTCATAACCGGCATACGTGAAACGTGACTTTGAAAACACTATCCAATATAGCGGAAAGTTCGCCTCGGCGTTCGTGTTTGCTTATTTTCTAAAACATTTTAAACGAATCTAGGGTCAATAAAAAATGGCATATATATACCGACGCCAGACGGTGAGTGCACGAGGAATGACGTAATACATTGTGCACCTCGGCATGCAGTTATCATATACACGGCGGAACAAGCCGATTAAACTCGGAATGTTTTACAAATTGCAGCGCCATCTGGCGTTCTTTATTGTCAACGTCCTTTCGTGTTCACTGACGTTCTTTCGTACACATTGTTCTTTCTTTTCTTATGACGTCTTTTCGTAACATTTGACTATTAATATTGCGTACTTTTGACATTTATTTCAACTGTATATGTTTAACCGGCGTCTGTTTGTTTTGTATTTTGACCTTTAGTAGTAACATTTAGTTCTTTATTCGTAATATTTGACCTTAATTGCGTACTTTTGTCCTTTTTTTCAACTTTGTATTTTTTGACCGAATGGTTTTTGCGGCGAACAGACGACGTTCAGTTCAGGTGAGCTACAAAGGTTGTGAGCTGTCACGTCATATGTTAAGTCAATGGGAGAAACGCATGTCATGTCTGATGGACATTTTAAGCGCAAGGTTGATGTGCGTCGGTTATCAAATGCATGCACAGACGATTTACCAGGATTAAACAACATGTTTTATGTTTAGGTAACCGTATATTTGAAGATCATGCATACCTACATATGTATCCTTACTTAAAATGTTTTAGTACTTGAATAATCACAGTGTTGTTATTCTCTATATTGTAGCACTATTTTTAGTTGTCCCAAACCAAACACAATGCCAATTGATAGTCTCTCCCAAACAGAGTAATCGGGTTGGTGACGACACGCTGAGCCGTGGAGAAACCACTCATGCATGGTCAGACAACCCAGGCACAGGGAAGCTCTATGACATCAGAGACCATACAATAGATCTATTATATGGTCTCTGATGACATTAGACGACCCGTGTTGTAACCGATGGCAGTTGGTGTGTTTGCGCGCTCTGTGCCATGCATTCCATATCGAGCTTGGACCCAAAATAAACGAGCACCGGGTGGTCCTGGGTGGATGTTTCTACTGCAGGAACGCTGGAAAGGACTGGGTGGATGGAGGTAAAAAACAAATTCTATTTTGGTCCTGGTTGCGAAGCTGACAAGAGTTCGTTCCCCTGATCGGCCCTTCAGTCAAGATCCACGATTAATGAGAAAGATAAATTGTGAAAAATTCAAACACAATGCGATAGCACAGAGACAATTTGTGCTATTAGAAACAAGGAATGGCAGTATTCTTGCGCCTTTCAGTTTAGACAAAATATGGCAGCCAAACAAATGTTCTCAAATCTTTGATCAGTGATAAGAAATAGTGGCATTATTCTGATGTGGTACTGATAGATTCTAAGAGGCCCAGTTTGGGTTGTGTTAATTATTTGGTGTTTTTTTACAGGTTCGTTTTGAGAACCAAGAATAGGACCACGACAATATATATTTTTGTCTACATTAAACAATTTATTTTGATTAATATGCAAAATATTACTTGATATGCAAAACATGTTATTCTGTCATAGACGCCTGGTTTATATTGGCTAATTAGAATACATCAAGTCATTCAAATAACACGTCACTAATTTACTAAGTGAACTTTTCGGAGCTAGACTAACTGGAGCAGTGTGCTAACCAAGGTCAAGTCACAGAACAAGACAAAACAACAGTAGGAGGAGCATGGGATGGTGATGTGGTCAGTCTAGTCAGTCTGAGGAATCCTTATGGTTGTTATCTGTGCCTTGGAGATTTGTCTGACCAGTAGGAATGTCCTTCTCTCAAACCCAGCCATAGTCATTTAGTCAAAAGTCAAAACTGTTTATTTGTGTGAATACAAGAAATGTAATGCCAATAATACAATTTGAAAAATTTTACATGTACTTTCCAACGTCATGTCTTTTCTGTATGAATAACATACATAATATTGTAGATGTTTTAATACATCATCCAGAGTTGGACAGAATTCAGTTTTAAATTTAAAAATAGCTGGAATCTAATACAATTCTTGCAAATAAACATTATCTATCTCAATATAGGGTTTTCAGATCAATAGGACTGCAAACAAGACAACACTTCTATACTGAGCAAGAAGATCCAGGAGTGTTATTTCATAGTTAGTTTAAATATGACAGCCGGCAAAATTAGAGTGTGTGAGTGAGTGAGTGAGTATGGTTTTACGCTGCTTTTAGCAATATTCCAGCAATATCACGGCAGGGGACACCAGAAATGGGCTCCACACATTGTACCCATGTCGGGAATCGAACCCGGGTCTTCGGAGTGACGAGCGAACGCTTTAACCGCTAGGCTACCCCCCCCCCCCCCCAGCCCAGAGTGTGTGACAAATGGTATGTGTAACTAATGGGAGAGAATCAAGAATCAAGTACTCCGGACAATCCATTGATTAACTTCATGAGCATTCAATTGAGATTCGATGACGTGCAGTCAACGGTGTCACCGAGCATGACCACCCAGTCCTTTATTGGTAGTCACCCCTTGCGACAAGCCAAGGTTGCAGGGGACATAAATTCTTTCCCGGAACCCGAGTCGGTTGATGTGTCGTCATGTTACGTCATGTTAGTGCCCTGAAAAACATAGGGGAGGGGAGGGAATCTGGATCAGAGAGTGCAGACAATGTGTCAAGTGTAACCAAGTTACAATCAATGTCTAGAACTATAGGCCTACACTGGAGACAGGCAAAAGAATCCCTTTAACCTGTATTGATCATTCTACAGAATTCACGACCCCTCATCTTTGACATTTTCTGCAGGACATTCTGAGCATGATACGCTGTACTGGATGATCTAATGGCAATGACCCCTCATCTTTGATATTTCCTGCAGGACATTCTGAGGATGATACACTGTCCTGGATGATCTAATGGCAGACTGTCAGTTAGCAGATGACCAGTGGCTGGAGGGGAACTCCGGGGTCAAGGACCGGACAGTCCTCCATGACTATACAGCAGGAGCAGTTGCAGGTACGATAATCATTGATCTCTACCAACAGGGGGCACTGGTTGCTTAAGGGTATAAGGTGTCACAACTTGCTTGCTGTAATGAGTTTTGTCCCTTGGTTGTGCAAGGATTCGATGATCATCCTAAATTAGTGATGATCCTTGATATATGTGTGCATCAATACATGCTAGATATGCCAGGAATTAATGTTCTAACCTGTGGCTTAGGGTTCATCAAATTTTCATCAAACATGATCATTCTCAATTTAAAGTTGCATCTCTAATTGTATTTGTGTGTCTACACAGATGTGGTATTGTCCTTCTAGTCAAATGCATACACACCAGTAACCCTCCACTATCAGTATATTTTCACTGGATAAGGTCAGTGAAAACTAATTATAAAATTTTCATCCAAATCTTTAAAAAATGTGAGGAAGAAGCCATGTTTTATGTTTTCGTTTCTCTTAAACAAACTGTTTCTGTCGTCAGGTTTGATTCACATACATGACAGGAAAGACGAGTAATTATAGTGTATTTCAGTAGTATATATCTCTGTGCACATTATTGCTTGGTTGGGTAGGTCAAATATGAACATGTTCATGTATGGAATAGGATAGAGCATGTTAGCCCTACATTTGATGGACATGTGTGTGTATATTTGCTGTTTATAGTCTTTGTCAATGAATCCAGTCACAAGAAATCCTCATTTGATCTCATTTTGTTCCCAGGTGGTGCCGGAATGGTAGTTGGTCATCCCTTCGACACAGTTAAGGTAATAATCTTATAACAGAGAAAAGCAGTACAGTAAACCACATCTCAAAGAATATTCTATGAGCTACAAGTTAACTACCTATTGGTTAGATTCCTTCTTTACCTGAACTAAAAGACTATTGTGGTATTATGCTATATGTCTGTAGGTGCTGCCCATTGTTGTATTATGCTCTATGTCTGTAGGTGCTGCCCATTGTTGTATTATGCTCTATGTCTGTAGGTGCTGCCCATTGTTGTATCATGCTCTATGTCTGTAGGTGCTGCCCATTGTTGTATTCTGCTCTCTGCCTGTAGGTTCTGACCATTGTTGTATTATGCTGTAGGTGCTGCCCATTGTTGTATTATGCTCTGTCTGTAGGTGCTGCCCATTGTTGTATTATGCAAAATGTCTGTAGGTGCTGCCCATTGTTGTATCATGCTCTATGTCTGTAGGTGCTGCCCATTGTTGTATTATGTCCCATGTCTGTGGGTGCTGCCCATTGTTGTATCATGCTCTATGTCTGTAGGTGCTGCCCATTGTTGTATCATGCTCTATGTCTGTAGGTGCTGCCCATTGTTGTATTATGCTCTATGTCTGTAGGTGCTGCTCATTGTTGTATTATGCTCTATGTCTGTAGGTGCTGACCATTGTTGTATTCTGCTCTCTGCCTGTAGGTTCTGACCATTGTTGTATTATGCTGTAGGTGCTGCCCATTGTTGTATTATGTTCTATGTCTGTAGGTGCTGCCCATTGTTGTATCATGCTCTATGTCTGTAGGTGCTGCCCATTGTTGTATTATGCTCTATGTCTGTAGGTGCTGCCCATTGTTGTATCATGCACTATGTCTGTAGGTGCTGCCCATTGTTGTATTATGCTCTATGTCTGTAGGTGCTGCCCATTGTTGTATCATGCTCTATGTCTGTAGGTGCTGCCCATTGTTGTATCATGCTCTATGTCTGTAGGTGCTGCCCATCGTTGTATCATGCTCTATGTCTGTAGGTGCTGCCCATTGTTGTATCATGCTCTATGTCTGTAGGTGCTGACCATTGTTGTATTATGCTCTATGTCTGTAGGTGCTGCCCATTGTTGTATCATGCTCTATGTCTGTAGGTGCTGACCATTGTTGTATTATGCTCTATGTCTGTAGGTGCTGCCCATTGTTTTATCATGCTCTATGTCTGTAGGTGCTGCCCATTGTTGTATTATGCTCTATGTCTGTAGGTGCTGACCATTGTTGTATTCTGCTCTCTGCCTGTAGATTCTGACCATTGTTGTATTATGCTGTAGGTGCTGCCCATTGTTGTATTATGTTCTATGTCTGTAGGTGCTGCCCATCGTTGTATCATGCTCTATGTCTGTAGGTGCTGCCCATTGTTGTATTATGCTCTATGTCTGTAGGTTCTGCCCATTGTTGTATCATGCTCTATGTCTGTAGGTGCTGCCCATTGTTGTATTATGCTCTATGTCTGTAGGTGCTGCCCATTGTTGTATTATGCTCTATGTCTGTAGGTGCTGACCATTGTTGTATTCTGCTCTATGCCTGTAGGTTCTGACCATTGTTGTATTATGCTGTAGGTGCTGCCCATTGTTGTATTCTGCTCTATGTCTGTAGGTGCTGACCATTGTTGTATTCTGCTCTCTGCCTGTAGGTTCTGACAATTGTTGTATTATGCTGTAGGTGCTGACCATTGTTGTATTATGTTCTATGTCTGTAGGTGCTGCCCATTGTTGTATCATGCTCTATGTCTGTAGGTGCTGCCCATTGTTGTATTATGCTCTATGTCTGTAGGTGCTGCCCATTGTTGTATCATGCTCTATGTCTGTAGGTGCTGCCCATTGTTGTATTATGCTCTATGTCTGTAGGTGCTGCCCATTGTTGTATCATGCTCTATGTCTGTAGGTGCTGACCATTGTTGTATTATGCTCTATGTCTGTAGGTGCTGCCCATTGTTGTATCATGCTCTATGTCTGTAGGTGCTGACCATTGTTGTATTATGCTCTATGTCTGTAGGTGCTGACCATTGTTGTATCATGCTCTATGTCTGTAGGTGCTGCCCATTGTTGTATTATGCTCTATGTCTGTAGGTGCTGCCCATTGTTTTATCATGCTCTATGTCTGTAGGTGCTGCCCATTGTTGTATTATGCTCTATGTCTGTAGGTGCTGACCATTGTTGTATTCTGCTCTCTGCCTGTAGGTTCTGACCATTGTTGTATTATGCTGTAGGTGCTGCCCATTGTTGTATTATGTTCTATGTCTGTAGGTGCTGCCCATCGTTGTATCATGCTCTATGTCTGTAGGTGCTGCCCATTGTTGTATTATGCTCTATGTCTGTAGGTTCTGCCCATTGTTGTATCATGCTCTATGTCTGTAGGTGCTGCCCATTGTTGTATTATGCTCTATGTCTGTAGGTGCTGCCCATTGTTGTATTCTGCTCTCTGCCTGTAGGTTCTGACCATTGTTGTATTATGCTGTAGGTGCTGACCATTGTTGTATTATGCTATATGTCTGTAGGTGCTGACCATTGTTGTATTATGCACTATGTCTGTAGGTACTGCCCATTGTGGTATTATACTATATTTCTGCAGGTGCTGACCATTGTTGTATTATGCTCTCTGTCTGTAGGTACTGCCCATTGTTGTATTATGTCCTCTGTCTGTAGGTGCTGACCATTGTTGTATTATGCTCTATGTCTGTAGGTGCTGCCCATTGTTGTATCATGCTCTATGTCTGTAGGTGCTGCCCATTGTTGTATTATGTTCTATGTCTGTAGGTGCTGCCCATTGTTGTATTCTGCTCTCTGCCTGTAGATGCTGCCCATTGTTGTATTCTGCTCTCTGCCTGTAGTTGCTGCCCATTGTTGTATTATGCTCTATGTCTGTAGGTGCTGACCATTGTTGTATTCTGCTCTCTGCCTGTAGGTTCTGACCATTGTTGTATTATGCTGTAGGTGCTGACCATTGTTGTATTATGCTATATGTCTGTAGGTGCTGACCATTGTTGTATTATGCACTATGTCTGTAGGTACTGCCCATTGTGGTATTATACTATATGTCTGCAGGTGCTGACCATTGTTGTATTATGCTCTCTGTCTGTAGGTACTGCCCATTGTTGTATTATGTCCTCTGTCTGTAGGTACTGCCCATTGTGGTATTATACTATATGTCTGCAGGTGCTGACCATTGTTGTATTATGCTCTCTGTCTGTAGGTACTGCCCATTGTTGTATTATGTCCTCTGTCTGTAGGTACTGCCCATTGTGGTATTATGTTCTATATCTTCAGGTGCTGCCCATTGTTGTGTTATGTTCTATGTCTGTAGGTGCTGCCCATTGTTGTATTATGTTCTATATCTTCAGGTGCTGCCCATTGTTGTATTATACTCTCTGTCTGTAGGTACTGCTACAGATTCAGGGAGGCGGGGACCGCTACAAGAGCATCCTGGACTGTGTCAGGAGTGTCCACACACAAACACTGGTAATAAGAACAGCATGACACATATCAAAATAAAGATGTCGGTTTGTGCCAGAAATACTACTCTGTCACTTTGGTAAAATAACTGGTGTTATATCAGCTTGTACAAACGTTTTTGTTACATTTATGAACTGAGCTGTAGAATTATGTCAGTATACAAACATCATTTACTGTTTGCATTCCTTGTTTAAAGAGAGTACAAGCAGCCTCGAGGTTAAGGTGTTCACACATCACACCTGAGTTTGATTCCCCACACGGATACAATGTGTGGATCCCTTTATTGTGTTCTGTGCCGCCATATTGCTGAAATATTGTTAAAAATATATATATGGCATGAAACTAAACATTTTTTCTTTGGTCAATCTCATTTTTAAAACTTTTTTATGAAATGTTAAAACTTCATTTCAGTCAAAGGGCTTCTTCCGCGGCTTGTCATGGCCCTTGCTGTCCAGTGTTGGCATCAACTCCATCCTCTTTGGGGTGTATGGGACAGCTCTCTCTCTTCTTGGTCACCAGGGGGACTCTTCACAACGCAGCGCCACCTACTATTTGACAATCTTATCTGCAGGGTGTATTGGAGGTGCTGCTCAACTGCCTTTGGCATGCCCAGTTGACTCGCTGAAGATTGTACTACAGTCTCAGATACCCCATGCACAGGGAGACAAGCTAGGTAGGTCGTCCATTGTAAACATCTTCTTCTAAGAAACCACAGAACCAACGCAGCTGAAATTCACATACTCGTTCCCACCAATGGTGACCCTCCAAATGTGTTGTTCATGAGATTTGAATCCAATTTTCAATATGTTCAATAGGAACTGTGGGTAGGAGAGTGTTCTGCAACGTGATTGGCTTCATACGAGCCATTTATATATTGGCTTTGATGAACACTGTCTTCTAATCCAATCAAGCTGGCAATTAATATTTTGGAACATATCCGTGAGAAAAAAACACAAAATTTCTCTTCAATTTGTCTCCGTACAAACATGACTGAAGCTGGTAAATCTGCACAGTGATTGAGTTGTCAGCTACGCTGTGTGGTGATCTTCTTCTTTTTTTAAGAATTGAATCATGCACTAAAGGCGTGATGACACTCTCGGAATATATTTCATGCATGATTTAAGAAGACCAAGAACTGTTGACCTAGCCATTTAAAGCATTCGCTCGCCATGCCGAAAGCCTATGGTTCGAATATTGCTAAAAGTGGCATAAAACCATACTCACTCCCTTCATGGAGGAGTTGATAGATAGAGGATTGGAGTCAGATTGCAGCTTACTTCAATGGGGTTTGGGAAGAATGGAAACATAGCTGAAAACAATGTATTTGTTGTTTTTAGCATATACATGGCATAGTGCAGTTTTTCTATTTTCCATTCAGAACTGCCCATTTATGTTTGTTTTCAAGATACAGAATATCAGATTTGCTGCTCCAAATACTTCACTCACATTTTTATGAGATTGGGACAGGCATGTGAGTGTATTATAAGGCTCTGTTTTTTTCTTTTCAGGTGCCAAAAAACCATTCCACCGTGGCCCCCTTGCAGCAGCTAAGGACATAATCCGTACGCGGGGGATACAAGGCTTGTACAGGGGACTAAGCACACAGGCCTTGAGAGATATCCCAGCCAGTGGTATTTACATGACTACTTATGAAGTCCTAACCCACACAACGACCAGTGTGATGCCCACAATTCCATCTCAGGTCATCAACTTCTTCTCCGGAGGAATTAGCGGCATCGTCAGTTGGCTTTGTATCCTACCTTTTGATGTTGTCAAGAGCCGGCTACAGTCAGACCCAGAGAGGAAGTTGTACAGAGGATTGTGGGATTGCGCCATGAAGAGTTATAAAGCAGGCGGAGGGAAGATATTTTTCAAAGGTGCTCTAGTTATGAGCATGCGGGCCTTCCCAGTTAATGCAGTCACCTTGATGGTGTATTCTGAATGTCTAAAATTGTTCAACCAGTATTTGTGAGTATATCCTGAAACACTGAATTTGATTATGTTGTTTAATGGCAAACATTATCTAGAACTCTATGGTTACACTAAAAGTGACAAATGTTCGCATTTCATTCTGACTATACACACGTTCCTTCTGACTTTATAGGTTTGCATAATGATATAACATCAGTCAACTTCAGTGTATGCATGACCAGATCGGTTTATACATGTATCTAAATTTATTTTGACAGAAGTTCAGTAAAACATTTCCCAATCAGACATTTTGTACCTATCTCTTGAGACCTGCAGTGGGTCCCCGGGTAGGGTCAGGTTATAGGGGGGTGGGTACCTGGGTAGTAAAGTTGGTCTTGTCCCAGCCCTATTCCCAACCCTGAAACACTCAATTCATTCTCAATCCAAAATCAGTCAATTTGTCTTCACCCTGAATCTGTCATTTCATACCCTACCCTAAAATATTGAATTTAATGAATTAGGTCCCTACAATAATTCAGTGGATTCAGTTTCTCGCTAACTGAATTCATTCTCTACCGTACAAGGTTGATGATTTCACCTCATTAACTGACCAAAGTCAACAAGACGGTCAGACTGGAGTCTCCAAAGAGATCTCACAAAATTCTAAGCAGATTTTAAGTATAGCCTTCAGGTCAGCCATATTGGAAATGCCATTTCTGCCAATGATACCATTTCCTCATATATCGTTATGAAGTTGATATGTAATAAACAAGTGGTTTGCATAATACAGATTTGTTCACCTTTTGGTCCCTAGCTGCTTAGGGCATGGTTCCTAAGGAGTTGTATGTTTTACAATTGCCTGAATGGATAAAACTCATGATTGATCATACTGGTGCAAAACTCTCTGAAGCTTATAGGTCCGACATGTATTTTCCACCGTTTGTCTTCTTTGAATAAAACAAAAGTAGCGATATAGTGTTTTGCCCACCTGACATGCTTTTTCTGGTGCCCTGCGTCTCCTCAGAAACCACTGGACCAATGAAGCTGACACTTCACATACTTGTTTCCTCCCACTAATGATGGATCAAATCCGATTTATAGTGGTAACGTTATTTACGGCCATTACTGTGTCATTTTTATGCATTTTTAAAGTAAAGATCAGCGGTAATAAAAAAAGGAGTAATATTTTAATATATTTTTTCAACAGTTGGACTTTGAAAGGGCAGCACATCCGTAGACCAAGAAATAAAAAAAATGTGGCCTTATGGTATTTGATCTTCATATGCCCCAGTTTCTTTAACACATTGGGTTAAAAGGTGTAGATTTCCTTGATATGATCATAGGCACATTGGCAGCAATATTTAAAATGTCGGTTCTACACACTGTCTGTCTTTTCCACATGCATCAGTATGAAATTTGATATGCAGCATGTGGTATGGGAAATAATATAATCTAGTTTTTGGAGTATTTATATTTAGAATAACAACCTTTGTTGAACATGTTATTTCAGTCCTTTATTTAGCCTTTTATGCAAGTATCTGTGTAATTTCATGTACATGCAGTAAGAATGTCGGTTGTGTGGGGACTAATGTTTTTTGGCTCAACAATGTTTACCCCCTTGTATGAATATGATCTTATATTCAGGTGAGCTACTGAGATTGTGTCTTCTTATAAGCTCAAAATCCTCCATGAAAATGTATGGAATTATCCAAACTTAAGACATGTTGAGTGTCGATATTTTACTTGTAGATATATGTGCTTATAACTATATGACGTAGAATGTAATCTGTTTTAGATATACCTATTAATGAAGATCAGAAGGGTTTCATGGCTGGGTGATACATTGGAGAAATAACAAGGCAGATATATGATCTAAAGCAATATACTGAAAATTATCAAATTCCAGACCTACAACTGTTGATCAATTTTGAAAAAGCAGTCAATCCTGTTGACTGGAATTTCATTAATGAAACACTGAGTTACTTTGGCTTTGGAGAATCAATTAAACAACTAAACAACAAGTACATACTTTCTACTTGGGCTGGGACGGGTAACTCGAGTACTCAGGTCAGGTGTGTCCTGAGTAGGACCCGTGTACCCACAGGACTACCCAGACCCGTGGTTTGTCACGTGATATATTGTTTAATGACAAAAACTCACCATTGTTCAGTGGATAAAGCTTCAGTCAACTTCAGTGTACACATGATCTGATTGTTTGATGCATGTATCAAAATAATTTTGTCCAGGGGTGCAGTAAAAAAATTCCCAATCATACATTTGTTCCCAACTTTTGAGACCTGCAGCGGGTATAGGGGTTAGGTACCCGGGTAGTAAATTTGGACTCGTCCCAGCCCTACTTTCTACAATGGAATACAATCAGAAGTTCTTGCGATGGTTTTGGTTCCTCATTCTTTGATCGTGGCCCAGTCGTCTAAGTCGCCGTGATTTGCTGTGCAGAGTTGCGTCCCTTGGGCACGCCAGAAACCTATAATTGTGGGTTTGAATCCTGGTTTGCCCCGATTATGTTTCTAGGTTTGTCAGCACCATACCCATGCTCGTGGGTTTCACCAAAGTGGTAAACGTCTGAGACCTGCATCACTTCGGACTTTCCTCCCACATTAAGCTGACATGCCGTGATATAACTGGATAATGTTAAAAGTGGTGTTAAGCCCAACTCACTCACTCATTCTTTGACATATCAAGAGGATGCCATCAAGATCCCTTATTACTGTATATATTCATCCTATCTGTAGAAATACAAGCAATACTTATTAGAAAGAACCAGGATATAAAGGAAATAAAAATTGGTGACATTGAGTATTTGACATAATATGCAGACGACACAACCAGCTCGCTTGAGGGTTCTGAATGATGCCTCTACACTGTTTTGCATGTATTTACATTGTTTGTGCACCTGAGATATGAAAGTAAACACAGATAAGACAAATGTAATATTTATATGGCCAAAGAAAATATTCAAAATTAAACTCTGCCCGAAATAGTATTTAGACTGGACAGAGGAACCTTTTGAATTATTGGGCATAAAATTCTGTCTTGATCCAGGTGATATGGAGGATATTTACTACGAAAACAAGTTTAGATTTCAATACATGTGTATGTGAAGTTTTTCAAATATACATGTATGTGCCAGTTCCAGCATCTGTGCTGTTCCATCTTTTTGTCAGTTTTACATGTATCATGTTTATTTACACCTTTGGTCTCTACTGAATAAATGAATGTCCATGATAACAAAGAGGTCTTTCATGGGTAACAGTTTATGAAACAGTGATGCTCATGATATCAATCACTGGATTGTCTGGTCCAGACTCGATTATTTACAGACCGCCGTCATATAACTGGAATGTTGCTGAGTGCGGCATTAAACAACAAACCAACCAGTCAACCAAACCATTACTCAATCATGCCATATGTGGTTGTGCAAACTGACGTGAAGTAATTATCCTGGTGTGCCCAGTAACGTTACATTTTGTTGCATGTTTCAGGGTGACCTTTTACCTTTGTGTAGCTGTGATGTTGAAACTGCCTGGTTGGTCTTCTAGCTAGGCAGCTTATTATTTGTTTTCATGTTATTCATAATAATGCAATATACAGTATATGCAGTTAAAATGTTGATTACACTAATTGTATATTCTAGTCCCACCTATGTTGTGTCTTTTTATGAACTCATGATTATAATATTTGAGAATAAATCAGTTGTACTGTAGAGCCTTGTGTTTATTTACAGCAACAGTTCTGATTTTCTCCTCCTTTTTTTTATTTATTTTTTATTTTTTTTATTTATTTTTTTTTGTAGGGCGGGGGGGGAGTTTATTACTGTCTTTATAAGGTCCAGGCCTGGAATTAATGTTTCTTCACTGGAAGTACTTGCTAGTACATTCAGACTTAAAGCTTTGAGGAACTGGCGGTGACGACGGGGTTGCTGCTGTTTCTCCTCTAGATAATAGGGGGCACGGGTGGCCCAGTCATCTAAGGCGCTGTGATTTGCTGTGAAGAGTTGCGTCCATGGGGCTCACCAGAAACCTATGACTGTGTGTTTGAATCCGGATTCGCCCCAATTATGTTTCTAGGTTTGTCAGCACCATACCCACACTTGTCTAAGACCTGTATCACTTTGCGCTTTCCTCCCACTTTAAGCTGACACACCACAATATAGCTGTTCAAAGCAAGGTCAAACCCAACTCACTCACTCACCCTAGTGTATACAGCATTTGATATATAGAACATGTATGAATAAGATACCTGCCACATTATCCAAGTACAATACTATTTGGGATCGAAGACTGAACCCGGAAAAAAAACAATTATTTTACCTTGCACATTTAAAATGATCAGTTTCTCCCAGCAGACACAAGTGGCTGACGCAGACATAAAATCTTTGCACAAAATATGCCATAAGTTTCGGAAGGATCCAAGTAGGAATTTCAGACAGCAGATATTCTTGACTTTGATTTAATTCATGTTTATTTATTTGTTCTTTAACGACACCTCAGCAATATTCCAGGTATGTAAATAATCGAGTCTGGACCAGGCAATCCAGTGATTGACATCACGAGCATCGATCCACACAATTTGGGTACGTTGACATGTAAGGAAACTGAAGAAAACAATTGCATACATGACCTTGGAGAGCGTAGGAGTACCTTTATAAAGAATCTCCATCGATAACTGAAATGAGAGATATATCAGTGAAAAGAAAGATGGATTCTTTTCAAATTTAGGGAACAGTTTCCATACTAAGAGAAAAGGTGCATTGAAAAGTTTGATTTTGATATGTGGATTTTCCAACAAAATTGTTCTCAGCTGATGTTGGAGTCGAGGTCAGGGGTATTATTGAGCCTTGTACACTTTTTGCCTTGTTTATAAATTATGTGGACAATTATACAACTCTAAAACACACTGACACACAAAACTTGAGGATTTGTTACGTATGGAAAAGACTCGTGAAAAGCCTTTCCCTTCTCAGGACCAAAAGTGAGGTATAAATATGTGAAGTCATTACACATTTTTTTCAGATAGTGATCAAATTAACATAGATAAAAATTCAGCTGTTTATCTACTGAATTAAATTAAATGGAACTTTGTATGACTGCCATCAAATGATTCACCTATGCACTAATAAAAAGTATGGATTTATTAAATTCTCCAAGGGCATCAATTATGACAAGGTCCAATTTTTATAAAAAAAATATAAACTAAAATGACGTTCAAAGTACTCCACACTAATTTCCATATAGAGAAGAACTGAAATTTATCTTTCGTTCAACATTTAAAAGATTTTTTTTTTTTTTGAGAAACTAAAAAAAGATAAGGGCCAAATTACACATTTTTTAATTTTGAAAATTGCATTTATTGAAGATATTAAATTGGAAAGGCAACGCGATATATTTTACAGGACTGCTTCCGTTTTTTAACGATTCCATCTTCCAAATTATTAACTTCCGGTCACAGTCTTCCGGTTTCAGAAAAGAAAGACTTGTTGTGTCCAATTTGCATGTTATGACGCGGGAAATACAACAATCAGACGGACAATGATATTTAAAACAATAAGTTACGTTCACAAAAGTCTTAAAGATGCTAGATAGCGAATGTGGACGTCACCCGTGCAGAAAATGGCCAGTTTATATCAAATACAGACACCCAGTTTCAAAGCCGATACAGTGTTTTGCTTTGTTATAATTTTCATATTCATATGGCCGTCGGTGTATATGCATTGTTGGCACGATTTTGTGCAGGAGGATATTGTCGATTCTACATATCTTGAATATGAAAATGACCAAGATTTATCATTTCACCCGGGGAATTATGATATAGGTCGAAACAAAAGAGCATCCAAGAATCAATACAAATCAATTAGGATAAAACCCTATTTTGAAAAGGGCCTTTTTGGAGATGAAGTCGATGCTTTGAAAGATATCATAGACAGAGCAATACAAAAAACAAGTCAAATTCTATCAGGTAAGTCATTTATTTGGTAACAATACACCGGTTGAAACAGTTCACAAATACTTTCCCACTTTGTTGTGGGTCTACAGGTGTCTTGGCAATAGCATAATTTCAAGGTCATAACTTCATTATAGTGTTTTCTACCAAGTTTATCTTCTTATAAACATGTCAAATGGTATTTTGTTTTACAATCTTGTTTTATCACTTGCAAGTGTTGTTTTGCATTGTTTTTGTTACCTTTTATAATGATATTAATAAGAAAAAGTAATCATAATTTATTATCTATTATATTGGAACAGAGTGGTCTCTGAAATAGCAAAAAACATTTCTTAGAAGACAGAGTTGACACATTTATACAGCTAGGAAAATAAAAATAAACATTACTTACGTTTGAGAACTCATTTTGGTTGATTATGTTTTACCATGTTTTAGAACATATTCTATGTCTAAGTGAGAACAGTTATCAATAATCTGCCTGATGAACTATTTTTGTACAAAATGCCTAATATGATAATTGGTTTTATAAGATTATTTATATATTTTATGTACAAAAGATAAAATAAAGGCAACATTGCCTGAATCATATGTGTGAATAGCACATAATGTATTGTTAACAGAACTTTATCATGTAATCTAAATATGATTTAGGTAAATGTTTAGAGTAGGTTTTAGGTATATATAACATATTTTATGTCTCATGAAACTATGTAATTTAGACCATGTAAACCAAGTCATGTTTCAATCATGTCAACACGCTGCTATGCAGATAGGCATAAAACAGCTAACAGTAACACACAACATGGTCAAGCACACATTACCTTTGCTCCTTATTCACTGCTATACACTATCTAGCGCTTCATGTTCAGTGCTCAGAGTATCACTGTAAAGAGCTTGAGGTAACGTGAAGATGTAATTTTTTATAAGTCTTTCCTTTACCATATTCACAGTTGTTTCCTGCGCCAGCTTCAGAAGCTGTGCATGTATGAATAAACATTCATCGATTACATAACATTGCAGTATTTCAATCAAATCTCAAATTCACTCACGCCTTAAGCATACAGTTTTGTCTGTGACATGTGTATCAACACAAATGTTTGTTTGAAATGTATTTTCCTATATTTAATATTGAAATAGATACTGAACAAGCTATTTTATTGCCAGAGAGCCTGAAAATATTTGTTGTAAAGAAGGAAACGTGTGGGCAGAATCATTTGTTAACGCATCAATACATCTCCTGTCTCACTTTCCAAACTGATAATTTTGATTGAAGAAAGTTGTCTACACTTGTTTATTTGTTTATGAAAGGTTACATACAGTGTACTCAAGTTATTTAACCCGAAATCTTGGAAATGGAAAACACATAGACTAGTTAACATGGTTAAACCTCAATTATAATATTGATTATGAAATTTATGGATTTTTATTATCAGTTACAAATTTAGAGGTCAATTCCCTAGTAGTGTCATGATGCATCGATGTATCTTCCCACCCATTGTTAAAATGAACAGTTTTCATGTGCTTTTTCCTGTTTATCAAATGATGTGTGTGTGTGGTGTGGTGGGGTGGGGTGGGGTGGTTTTGTTTAACTCCAGTCAGCAAAATTCCAACTATATGACAGCAACCTGTAAGTAATTGAGACTTGTCCAGACGATCCAGTGACTGATATAATGAGCAACAATCCACACCACAACCAAGTCACAGAGCCTGAGCCCATGAATTTGCTCCTTAAAACCAGCAGAAGTTGTATGGACCAATTGTAACCTGGAATCCCAACATGGTTCCCAATATAGACACCTCAAACAGCTATCAATGGGGTGCTGGGAACACCTTCTCTCCAAGTCCCCACGGTCCCAGCATGATCATGTTGATTACCGATATTAACCGTACCGTCTTGTTCACAGTCAAACCCGTGGTGGGACCTCTCCTGCTGTCAAGGACACCATGCACCAAAACATGGCCATCAGGAATCAACAAGGGAAAGTAAGGAATTTTGAGATTCATTTTGACAGAACTGACTTAATAGCATTATTAGTGCCTTGGGTATTTTATTCATTTCAGATTCAAAAGTGGGCACACTTTTGCTTAAGTTTTTCGGGCCATCTAAGATAGCATGTATTATGTATGACATTGTGTACCCTATTAGTAGAGTTAATACCAGAATGTGGATGAAATGTTTTCACTCTTGATTGGTCAGTGATAAGATGTTGTGATGACTATCGGTGTCTTTAACCTGATTCAGTTAAGGATTGACTCAATGAACTGGGGAAGATATACAGGTTCAATCCTTATAGTAATTAAATTCCACAACAGAAACAATGATATTGTAATGACAGACGAAAACCCCTACAACCCAGTTCCCCTACAATTAGTTAAAACAACACGTGGCATTTACCTGTCTGGCATTATGAACTGACCTAAAGGAGAGATTAAGGTCTGGAGTAGAGGTAGTAGAAATGAAAGGGGTAGAGCTTTAGGGGATTAGGGGACTTAAAGGAAAGTTTAAAAAAAAGAAGAAATTAATGTAAGTGTAATGAAAGATGCCTGTATGATGAGAAGACAATTTTTAGACATTACAAAAATAACAATAGGAAGAAACAATTATTACACTGAGAAACTGAGATGAGACGATTTACAGTTGAGATGGCTAGGTTTAGTATATAGATACTTGAAACTGACTAACATGTGAATAACAAACTACCCAAATGAACACCAAATTAAAAATCTTAAACAAAACTGCAAACAATCAAATATCTTCACCCCTAAACTTAAAATACTCAAAATAGACACAACACTAGCTAGCCAAATAAATTAACAAACCGACCCAAACATAGCTAAAACCACCACACTAGCATACATACACGAAAATGTGGACAAATTGGTGTCACATTTACACGGATGGATCTTCAGATCCGACCCCCAAACACGGAGTCCATACCACACAACCAACTAAAACCACACAATCCTTCCGACTCCCAAACAACCAATCAATATTCACGGCAGAACTAATGGGCATGGCCTCAGCCCTCCATAATCAAGAATCCAAAAACCACCAAAAAAAATCCTAATACTTACCGACTCCCTAAGTGGACTGCAAGCCCTCCATAACAAAAATACCAAAAACCGACCTAAATTAATAAATCAAATACTTAAAAGCTCCAACGACCTAACTAACGCAGGCAAACAAATAACCTTCTTGTGGATACCCGCCCACGTAGGAATATACGGTAATGAAAACGCCGATAAGGCAGCCAAACTATCCCTCAAAATCCCAGAAATAAGCTTAAACTTACCCATCTAAAATTAAAAGCGTAAACAAGCAAAAAATCACTAAAAATGGCATAACCTATATCTAAACTCAAATAGCCAAATCAAAAAAGTACTCAGCAAACCACTAACCAAACCAAAAATTCTCCATCCATCAAAAAAAATCGACAGAGTAATCACTAAACTCCAAACAGGACACACCAACCTAAATAACCACCTAAAAAAATAAAAAAACACACTACAGGTAACTGCCCACACTGCAAACAACTAGAAACCCCAGAACACGCACTCATCCACTGCACACACTACCTAACACATCGAACCGCATTACAAACCACCCTCAATCTAAACAAGGCTCTCACTCTAGAAGCAATACTAAACCCACAAAATAAACTAGAAAACTTCAAGGCCTTAGGCGTATTCTTAATCAAAACGGAACTAATAAAACGCATCTAAAAACACTATAATCTACCAAATCAAAATCAAATAAACAAACAAACATCCACCATACCCAGCTCCCTTTGTTCTACTCCCCAACCCCATCGGCATCTATTCCAAATCTCAAAATTCCCAAATTCTATATAAGCAACCCCTAAAGCCCCCTCTTGGGTTGCACACACCACTATCGCCCCTTTCGGAAACACATTAAATGGCCTGGTCGGGCCCGTGTGCGAAATACGCATCAGTCGGAAAGCGCACGTTAATTCTCCAAAGTAAGTAAGTAAGTAACTAACATGTGCGAAATACGCTACAGTCGGAAAGCGCACGTTAAATCGTCTATATCTGTCAGACTAACATGATCCGTGTGCGAAATACGCATCAGTCGGAAAGCGCACGTTAAATCTCCAAAGTAAGTAAGTAAGTAACTAACTAACTAACATGACATCAACATGGCTGGTCTTCGCAATGTTGAGTTTGTTATGTCACAGAGAGGAAAGCCCTAAGTCCTATTTGATGGTTATCTTCACACTAAGAACATCGAGAGACTGACTCCTTTTTCGTTTTTCTTGGGTTGTTCCATTGTATGAAATAGGTAACAGACTAGGGATTAGCAGTGCCATGGACCGTGAACTTTGTTGTCTTAAGCTGTAGGGGAAATGGGATGTAGGGGTTTTGGGAGGTGAATCAACACAGGTACATAATGTGATCATGATGATAGGTCAATAAACATTGCCGTGGGAATACATTGTTACATGACTGTTTAATTCAATAACCTTGTTACTAACATAGAATTAAACAGTCATGCCTCAAAATGTATTCCATTAAATGTTAAACATAAAGTGGGGCACCTCTAAAATCAGTAGCCAATCAACACAGAGAAGGGTCTAACAATTTTCTTAGTGCCTGTCAATCAAGACAAGAGGCGAGAAACTATGCATAATGGAGACAAGTGACTAAGTTCCTCTATGTTGCAGTGAGCAAAAGGTGATTGTTGCCTTGGTTATGTTTATCAACTTGCTTTGGAGGACAGGCATCCCAGTTGCCTAAGGTGTACATAGTTGCGTCACTCGGGCACGATGGAAATATATGATTGTTGGTTTGAATGCTTGTTTGCCCCGATTAAGTTTCTTTCTTTGTTGGCGCCATACCTTTGCTAATGATTGGTTTGGTTTGCTTGTTATTTAACTCCGCACTCAGCAATATTCCAGCTATATGATGGTGGTCTGTAAATAATCGGGTCTGGACCAGACAATCCACTGCCAGGGTTAGAAACTAAAAGTTTTTGTCCACTAGTCCTTATAATGGTAACATTTAGCAAAACCCTTAAAATGGGCCAATTTCTACTAGTCCTTAGGATAATTTTACTATTGGGCAGTTTGGTAAGGACTACAGGACTAGTGCCAATTTCTAACGCTTGTCCAGTGATAAATATCATGAGCATCTATCCACGAAAATTGTGATCGATGACATGCATCAACCAAGTCAGAGAACCTGACCACCCGATCCCGTTAGTCGCCTCTTACAACAAGCGTAGTCGCCTTTAACGGCAAGCATGGGTTGCTGAAGACCCTTTTGCTCAAGGGTTTTAGTAAGTGGCAAACATCTAAGACCTGCATCACTTCAGGCTTTCCTCCCACATTTAGCCGACACGCCATGATATAACTAGAATACTGTTTAAAGTGGCTTTAAACACCATGCACTCACTCACTTTTAAGGTGTTGTCACTATGTGCATGATACCAAAACAACACTAAAAGTTCAAGAATTCTTCATGAGTATACCATGGGGCTGCATGCAAAGTCTCTCTACTTTCATTGAGATTGGGTGAAAGTAATCAGCCTTGGTAGAGGTGGCTTTTTTGTTTGGGAAATGAATGCAAAAGAAAGTGACACATTCGGCAAATCAGATTGCAGGAACTACAATGAATACCCAATATTGCTTTTGACCACCTGACGCTTAAATATTATGATTCATATGCATGTTACAGGTTTTGGTATCTTGGTGACATGATACAATTAAGGTTTAACTTATTTTAAGTATATTATTTACAGACAGCAGACTGAAAATATTGCTTAAAATGCTCAGTACATGTATTTTACTTATGTTCAAGTCATTATGTCCATAACCATTCATACTTTACTCTTGTAGGTGTTCCCAACTCGATGGCATAAAACAAGACTATTGCATGGATTATTTCAAGGTATTACCATGGTTACAATTAGCATTATAAGAACTAGAAGAATAGTTTCTGTTTGTTGGTTAATTTTGTCTCTGTTTACAGTTCTTCTTGGTCAACATGCCACAAGCCTTGACAAGGCTATTGGCAAAATAAGAAACAACCTTTTACCCCTAAAATCAAACACATCCTTTTAAAATATCTTTTAAATTTTACTAACTTTAGTCTCAGCTCTTGGATAAAACAAGAAATAAGATTTGTGTCACCTTGAACATGTTGAAAAGATGTATCTTTTAACTTTGCTTTTGGTAATGTGTTATGTATGTGATCATGGTGATATAAATCATCATGATCAGTAAGTGTATTTTTTAAAAGATTTTAAGCAAATGTTTATGACAAAAATAACATGGCAGAAAATAGTCAATATTACTGTCAGCCATCTTCAGGTAACTTATTAATCAAGTATTAAAGGGTTTGTCAAATTGGAAATTAATTCACAATGTGGTGATCATGGTGATAAAGTTATGAGGCAACAATTGCAGATACCAAAATCCCATTTGAGGGGTTACTCCGTCTACAGTGGAAAGAGCCAGTCTGTACCATCCCACCACGAACCTGATGGTGCCGGTATAGAGAAGGCGGACTATGTTCTGTATGTCACTGCACAGATCACCAGTGTCTGTACTGGCTCTGTGAGTATTTATTAACTGTTAATAATTTGTTTGATGTAGAGTGAATGAGTGAGTGAGTGAAACCCTGTTTATGAACTATGTTACACCCCCATTACACCATCAAAACTTTTATGTAAAGCTTGGTCAGAGAAAACTTTGACCAAATGTTTTGGTCAATGATGTGCTGTTTACACTCCTGAAAGTTTTTGCAGGAATTATCTTGCCAAGATAACATGACAGGAAGATTGTTTTGTTGTTGTTATGTGTATTTTGTGCATTGTGCTCTATTGTAAAATTGAGGAGGCAGCATCCATGTATCAAAGGAATATATGGTGGCAGGATTGGCTGCAGAGGAGGCGTCAGCTTAGTGCCTACAATACTCTTCTCCAAGTGTTGGAGGGGCGGTCGCCTAGTGGTTAAAGTGTTCTCTCGTCACGCCGAAGACCGACATGGGTGCAATGTGTGAAGCCCATTTCTGGTGTTCACCGTCGAGATATTGCTGGAATATTGCTAAAAGCGGCGTAAAACCATACTCACTCACTCACTCCAAGTGTTGAACTGAGAGTATTCCAGTGTCTATGTCAACTAGGAATGAACACGGGAGCGTTCAGGTTTCTTCTTGAAAAAGTGAGGCCCTACATTCAAGGGCAGGACACAAGACTGATGGTCTCTTGCATTCTGATTGGCTAAATTACATCAACATCAATCAAAATTGGATGAGACATAGGATCAGTTTCTGTGACAAACTTTGACAAAGTTTTGACAGTATGTTCCACCATAAGATGCAACTAAATCAGATTAGATGGTGAGGCCTAATGGCTTGGGGATGTTGCTCATAATATCAACCACTGGTTTGTCTGACCAAGAGTCGAACATATACAGCTGGAATAATGCTGATGGTAGCATAAAACAACATTCACCCTCTGCCGTTGTTTCCTTCCAAGCTGGTGTTCCCTGGGTGATATTGCTGGAATATTGCTAAAAGCGGCATAAAACCAAACTCTCTCACTCCCTTTTCCAGCAGTTCTACAATAGCTGGAAAGCTGAAGGAAAAAGAATCGTATAGTGTAGTTTGAAGTTGTATTTTATGATTACCTTGTATTCATTGTTTTATGATAGTATAGCATATTACATCCACTAATATTTCAACAGGGAGACACTGTGTTAGCTTATGCGTCCTACTGCCGAGTGGACCAGACGGACCGTCCTGTGGCTGGACATGTCAACTTCTGCCCATCAACACTCAGAAGATTTGGCTTCAACAAAGAAAAGATATATTGGGTACAGTAATAGAAGAGTAGATGAAGTTCTTTTATAGATAATTCACAGCATCATCCAGTCCCTGTTTATCAAACATGCGTCCTTCTCCAGAGACTGATTTGGTTCGTCCTTGCTGTGCTCACACAGGATGTAAATCTTGCAACATATTCAGGGTTCATACACACTTGAAAAGCACTTCAGTTTAACTCTGCTTAATGGAAAATATTGTACATGTACTTAAGTTAACTATTTCGCAAATAAAGTGCTTGAAAACAAACTACTGGAACTGAATTTTGAACAGTCAAGAATCAGTGTGGATGAGAAGGGCTTCATTTCAGCACAGTGACTATACAAAGAGGGAGTGGAGATTACCCCCTTATCTACAATATTTAGTGGAACTGCTGATTAGTGTGTGCCTTGTTGGCAGGTTGTCTCGCTCTAGTGTCATTATGAGGGGCTTAATGCAAAGAAGAAAAACAAGTATCTGATCTTAGAAGTATGCTTAACATGCTTAAAGAGGAATATGTTGAATTACAATTATTAATGAATTTATTTGATATGATTTGGTGACAATAACAAAAGCTTACACATCAGTTGTCATCGTTTGGAGACTGTTATTAATCCGAAATTTCATGTTTCAGAGTGCTCTGCATGAAATATTCCATGCCCTGGGTTTTTCAAAGAAGCTCTTCAATAAATACAGAAAATGCAATGAAAATGGTCAGTATAAAGAAAGCCTTCTACATTAATTGAGAGGATTTTAATTTTTAGCTCACCTGACAGAGTCAAGTGACCTTGTGTCATAATGTAGTGTCCATCTGTTGTTAACTGTTGTACTTTCAACATCTCCACTGAAACCTACAAGACCCTACCCTGGGCGGAAGCCCATTTATGTAACAGGTGTGTCTTTCTAAAAAAAAATAAAAGAAAAAAAAAAAAAAAAAAAAAAAAGAAACCTACAAGACCTATGAAACTGAATGATCCCAGCTGTAGTGTCTCTAAACCTTGCTCACACAATACCGATCTGATTTTACACATGGCCGCCATGGCAGCCATATTGAACATGTGTTTTTTTGCCAATACTCCGCCATTACTGCATGTATCATTATTGTTTTGATATGCAGCAAGTGTGTGGTTTTCGATTATAACATATACTATGTTATTTGGTTGGTTTTTTATCCATCTGGCATGTGACTTTCAACTATCATTGTTTTTCAAGCATTGCTGCATTTTCAACATCTCCTAAGAAACTTCAAGGCTGAAACTGTTTCAGTGATCTTAGCTATGACGTCTTAAGCACCTGCTCACTGATTTTTGATACAACGTTTAACATCCAATTAGAAACACATTAACGGCTATTAATCAGTCATCTTTTCAAAATGTACTAAAATATGGCATGGGTGTAGTTAGTAATGGGGCCTTAGGTATGTGTTCCATTTTTGTGATATTATGAATATTGACCTTGATTCAACTGTTGCAGCATAATACTAGACAGTGTCACCAAACTGAAAATGCTGTCATCGGGTCATAGGCAATAAAATCAAAGTGCAAAATTTGAAAACCAAATTTCATGCCCCACTGCACACCAGCCTGCCACCTTCATCAAATGTTATGTATTCATTGGGTGCAATGCCAAAAGGTTTGCAGTAGGTTTGCACATATATGGTTGCCATGGAAACCAAACATGACTTTGAAATGAAAGGGGGTTGACCAACATTGGGAGGGGCTGTCGGTAGGATGGTCCAGGCCAAGTTTCACCATCCGTCACCTTAGAGGTAAACAGCAAAGCAAAGCTCAAGAAGGTCCTCACTGTCCACAGATGACAGGCCTGCATTCAGGCTAATTTGACTTGTGTGTCAGTTACCCTTTGACTGCTAAAGTCAAAACAGCCATTTCTTCGGCCATCAAGGCAAGGGTTACTGCACTTCAAAGAGGGCCCTCTGTAACTCACTATAGATGTTGCTTCATAAAATTATTTCAGCCTAAAGTCAGGTGAGCTACAGAGCCATGTGACTCTAGTTTGTCAGTTATGTTTCAATAATACCGTATTCGACGTAATAAGCGCCAAGGGCGCTCTCAAAATTAGAAATAGGGGGCTCTTATTAGAATATTATTTTGGTTGAAAAAACAGAGTTGAAAAATAAATTTCGTGGTTTATGCTGACGGTCTGAACTGTTTATATACGGCAGATATATTTTTCCAGAATTTAACTGTCCATAATTAAGTTGCATATAACACACGAGTGCGTATTATACATGAGTAAATAAGTCTTGTGTACATTGATCAATTGGAAGGGATGCTAATTGGGATTGTTCACTTGCCAATATATTAGCAAATATCGCCGTGGGCGCTTATTAGAGCAGGGCATTATTACGTCGAATACGGTAATAAAGATAGTCAAATTTATCTTATGTTGATTCTTTTCTAGAAATGATCACCACAAAGGAAAAACTAATTTTATAGCATGAATTTCAAAGGCTGAGCATGGATTGTTTATCAGTCAGTCAATGATTTGGTTGCTAGCCCTGACATGATTTACTTACAGGAAAATCTGGGTAAGAATTGGTCTCAGCAACCCATGCTTGTCGTAAGAGGCGACTAACAGGATCGGGTGGTCAGACTTGCTGACTTGTTTGATCCCAATTGCGTTGATCGAAGCTCTTGATGTCAATCACAGGATTGCCTGGTCCAGACTCGATTATTTACAGACGGCCGTCATATAGCTGGAATATTGCTGAACAAACAAAGTGACAGGATGTTGTAATATAGCAGTTGATGGCAGTTGACTTGGAACATTTACGGTTCTCACTGACTGCTGGTTGTTGTAGGCCTGAACTGTACCGTCCATCCCTCGCCAGTTCTCCGTCTTGAAGATAACGTTATGCGGCTGGTGACACCACAAGTTAAAAGAATAGCTCAAGAACATTTCCATTGTCTGGATAAGACAGATTATGGAGGGCCGATGGATATCAGAGTAAGGACTTCTTATCATGCTTATCAGTATGATGGTCATTATGATGAGAATATAAACATGATTATTATCAGTCTCTGTTCAGGTGAGGAGTTTGCATCTGTCCATGTTTGTCAAAACTTGATGGAATCTGTTTTAAAGTTAATGGGGCAGTGGGGTAGCCTAGTGGTTAAAGCGTTCGCTCGTCACGCAGAAGACCCGGGTTCGATTCCCCACATGGGTACAATGTGTTAAGCCCATTTCTGGTGTCCTCCACCGTGATATTGTTGGAATATTGCAAAAAGCGGCGTAAAACAATACTCACTCATTTTAAGTTACTGTTCAGTGTTTATAATGTTGAAAGTGTGTTTTATTAAAATACTTCACAATGTACCGTTCTGAATTTGTAAATCACAAGCTATTACTATCCTACTATGACAGTGTGCAATTTACTTTGATTTAAATACCTGAGTGAAAACAGCTCACCTCTTGCTTCAAATCATCATGTGCCAGGCAGGTTTGGCCAAGCTAATGGCATCCTTTCTAACTTCATCTTAACGTGGGGCGGTCGGGTAGCCTAGTGGTTAAAGCGTTCGCTCGTCACGCCGAAGACCCGGGTTCGAATCCCGACATGGGTACAATGTGTGAAGCCCATTTCTGGTGTCCCCCGCCGTGATATTGCTGGAATATTGCTAAAAGCGGCGTAAAACCATACTCACTCACTCACTCATCTTAACGTAGGGACACGGGTCCTCCCAACTCCCACAGGCCCAACCAGCTTCTTCCACTCCTGTTTTTGACTGATTTCCCTGTACAATTAAAGCAAGAGAAGTCTTAGTGCAGCTAAAGCCAATGTGTGACCAACCAGGCAGCCAGTTTACATTCTGTGGTAGCGATATCAAAGATAACAAGCACATTGCACACTGTCATAACAGGCTAACTATATAACAAACAGAATTCTCCGATTCACATAAAATGCCTTCTTCTATGGCCTATGCTGATATTTCGAGGTCTCTATACTTAATTACTTGATACTTAGTTAATTGTCTAGCCAATCAGAATTTGAGTGTATGACTTCAGCTGTGTACTCCTTGTTTTCTCCAGAACACGTCCCACTGGGACTCTCGTACAATGCAGGGATCAATAATGGCTGCCAAGCAAGGCATGGTAAGAGAGATGGAAGGCAACCCCGCTATTGTCACAACTACTGGTATTAACATAAAACATAGACTTGATCTACAGTTGTGAAGTTGCATATCACCATTATCAGGACATAAGTACTTATTTTTTTTTAAACATATTGTTACTTGTATTTTAATTTTTTACATGCATTTGTCCTTAATTTCTCCAAACAGCCATATCATTCTGGAGGTTGATTCTGATTTACTGACCTCCGATCTGATATTTTTACATGCACTGAGACCCATGAAGATTCAGGGTTAGAGTAGGTCTTCAGCAACCCATACTTGCCGTAAAAGGCGACTATGCTTGTCGTTAAAGGCGAGTAACAGGATCGGGTGATCAGGCTCGCTGACTTGGTTGATGCATGTCATCGATCCCAATTGCGTGGTTCGATGCTCATGATGTCAATCACTGGATTGTCTGGTCCAGACTCGATTATTTACAGAACGCCGTCATATAGCTGGAATATTGCTGTTATATATGGACTTTTACTTATTTGTCATTCATTTGTTGGGGCAGTGGGGTAGCCGAGTGGTTAAAGCGTTCGTTCATCACGCCAAAGGCCCAGGTTCAATTCCCCACGTGGGTACAAAGTGTGAAGCCCATTTCTCGTGTCCCCCGCCATGATATTGCTGGAATATTGCTAAAAGCGGCATAAAACCATACTAACTCACTCACTCATTTGTCTGTTCCAGCCTCACCTGACTTTCATTGACTCGATCACCCTTGCCCTGTTTGAGGACTCGGGGTGGTATAAGGTGGACTACAGTCAGGCTGATGTGTATCTGTGGGGGCGAGGTGGGACTAAGTGTCGTAAAGTGCATGAGTTAGCTAGCCCTACTGTAACAAGTGGTCAGCATGTGCTGCATGTTGCGTGTTGACCTCATCAATGTTGTGGCTTCCTGCAAGGTAAGTTACAGCTTTTGTATTTCTTACACACTCAACAGGAAACTTTCTTTTTGTGTTTTGTCCACCGTCCCATATCTTCAAACACCTACTGGAGCATGACTGGTCTTAAAGAGCCACACGTTGTATTGAGTTGTCTCCTCTTACTATGCCAGGATCCTGGGTTTGAATACTGAATTCACTATGATTATGATCCTTGATCTGTCAGCAGCATATGCTAAAACACATGGATTTCACACAATCAGTAAATGTCTACAGTCTGTGTCACTTTCCTCCTAATTTTAGCTTTCATGCCATGATGTGAACAAAATAATCATTAATATGCTTTAGATAACCTTGTTTATTTCAATATATCGGCCAAAACTTCACCCAACTTTGCATATGATGCAGTTTGATGTAAAGTAACAAACATTACTTGCTTCTTGTCTTGTCACCATTCTTTTTCATGGCTTTTTGGAAATATCTCAATTTCACTTTGCACATTATGAAGTATTATTGGTTTGCTGATAATAGTGACATTGCTTTGCTTCTTTGCTGGATTGTCTTGCAGTGCAAGATCAGAAAAATCAAGTTCAGCATACATAGTATTTGCATGAATGTTGTGTATCGCCTTGCCAAGCAAATATCTTGAAACATGCTCCCAAGACATTCTTCTCTGTTCAGTATTAATGACTTGTCAGCCTGCCTGCCTGCCTGTACCCTGACAATTTTTGCACAACTTTCCTAGATCTGTTGGCCTGTTGTTGCTATAATGTTTTCATGAATTCTGTAAATTGTTGTATAGTTTTCCTCTTGCCTTCGTGAATGCATCAGCATCTGCTGAAGCTTCATCAAAGTTTTTTTAGCTCACCTGACTCATCATGCTAGTGTCATGACGTGATGGTCGTCCTTTGTTAAGTTTAACATATTCAACACCTCCTCTGAAACTACAAGGCCTATGGAGCTGAAACTGTGTATGAATGATCCCAGCTATGGGATGTCACTGCTCATAGAATTCCGATCAGGCAGTAGACATGTATATATGTTTTCTCTGACATGAACTTAGACATATGACCTCGTCTATAAAGGGAAGTAACTCTTTTCCCATTCTTTGCCTTATTCACTCCTCTGTCCGGCATCCAGACTTAACTGAATAGGAATTTATCTTTAATCAGAGTAATTTTGAAAGGCAGATTGTTGGAAGTCCTATCAAAGGCAGTCATTGAAATTAATCTTTCCCCATAATATGTCCGGTACAACTGTATTTTTATCAGGCCTCAAGAAGATGTTTCCATCTTCACGTTAAGTACTTGTGATTTATACATTCGGTGGCTATATTTCTTTTATCAGACGATCAGGCTGGTAAATTTAATTTGTTAATCGGACATTTACAGTCTTTACCAGGTTCAGCCAGACGTTACAAAGTACAGGCGAGGTTACTACTCTAAACCATTCTTTGATGGCTCTTTACTGCTATTGATTGGATTGTGAAACTTGGATGATAAAATATGAACAGAATTCAACATTACAACATGAAGTACCAGGATGTGGTGTTCTGTTTCAGGGGCTGGGTGTAGCTTTGGACTCCCTTCCCATTGTAAATATGAAGTGGAATATTTCTGTCAGCAACGGTGAGTGAAGTGAGACATCATGCATATAGCAGTCTTCAACTGAAGCCACAAGTCAAAAGCCTGAGTCCATATGCACACACTAAAGCCATCATGCGTTTCCTCTGTCATGATCAAAGTGTAGCTGCATGATTAGTTTATACAATTGTATAGGTTTTGTGTTTTGGAAATGATGAATGATCCTATTGCTTTGTTTATTATAGCAACATGCCAGATTTTCATTGCATTCAGAAAGATATCTTTGGAAGACCTGAATCCGCTGATAATCACATAAGTCTTATTAGCATGTTTGTATCATGCTGTCTCATGCTTCTCCACAGGGCCCCTGGGTGTCACTTCCTGCACTGGGACAAAGCAAAATGTAGCACCAACCCACATCTCACCCCCTGCCGAGTGTTCGAGTCCGAGCCAGGGGTGAGTAGACTGCTACCTATAGAGTTACTATCTTCAGGTTAAAGCGCAGTTTGGTAGCCTAATAGTTAAAGCATTTGCTTACCATGCTAAAGACATGAGTTTGATTCCCCACATGGATACAGTCATCATTCAGGTTAAAGGGCAGTTTGGTAGCCTAATAGTTGAAGCATTTGCTTATCATGCCAAAGACCTGAGTTTGATTCCCCACATGGATACAGTCATCTTCCTGAGGCAAGGGTCTTAACTAACTATAAAAGTTCAGTAACCACCCTTGCCGAACTAGGCTGGAATTTCCAGGCTCGACCGTAGATGCCATGTTGCTAAGAAATGACAGGGTGGTATATGTCTACAACATTAAGTTGGGCCATTGTTATTTTATTCACCATTCAGAACTGCCTGTTTATGTTTGTATTTGAGATCTCAATTGTATGGAGATTTAGCCAATGTTCAATGAGGATTACAAACGAACTATACACTTGTATTGTTTTGAGCCATTGGAATATGTTTGTCAACAGGATGAGTGTTGGAAGGTGCCCTCAACAGATCCGTCCAACATCACGCTGGAGGTGTTCTCTAAGGACAGCCGATGTTTTCTCTCAAATATCTCAAAGGTCAGTTTTCACTTACCATAGCACAGGACCATCATCTGCTTCAAATGTACTCCAGTGTGGAGGTGAAAAATGTATGATATTTGTTGTCTTGTTTAGTCTGAGGGAGCCCCACCAGTCCTCACACCCAGATGTTTCCACGCCCACTGTTACGACAGGAACCTCATGGTCAGGGTCGATAACTCCAGCTGGATGCGTTGTCCACCGGGGACACTGCTGCAGGTAGGTGTTTCATATTTTACGGTTGTAGAATCTATGTGATACTTGTTTTTATGGTCCCGTAAAGAGCAAGGTCGATATTTGTTGTTGTTTCTCGGGTCCATAAAAACAGGTATTATCATATAAAGTCTATAAATATTTTTTACATAATAAAGAGAGAAAAGTTCACATAAATGGAGATTGATTTGCGTTGATTTGGAGAGATACCACTTTCAGGTACTTCCCATTCTGTTCTTAGTAAACTCAAGTCAGTACTGAAATTATCAATATTGGTTTCTGTTGAATGACATCTGACTACTTCTCGGCCAATACATATGGCGGAAATCTTTGAATTATATAATATTCAGGTACGTGGAAGAGTACCAAGCAATATCATTAGGAAGAGTCAATCCTGAGTCGTTTGTCCTGATTTATTGAAGCCAAACTACTTACAGACTGCCTTAGTCATAGTCCTGCACCGCGACTTGCTGAATATCTGCCTTTAATCAAAATCAGTCACACATTATATTTGTTTTATTGAATAGAATTTATTGTGAATTGAAAGATTTCATTGACTAAAAATTATCCAATGATCCACTTAGAGTGTCTCCTATTACAAGACGTTAATGTTACTGTTACAGATTCCTGGTTATGTGGGCTCGGTGAAATGCCCAAGTCATGCAGCACGCATCTGTTCCAGTGTACCTCGACCTCTCACCAGCACACAAGCAACGACCACAACACAGATTGCTCACACAGTGCCCTACATCACTCACAGGTAAAGTGTGACATCACTCTGTGCTCCCACACTCACAGGTAAAGTGTGACATCACTCTGTGCCCCCACACTCACAGGTAAAGTGTCACATCACTCGGTGCCCCCACACTCAAAGGTAGAGTGTGACATCACTCTGTGCCCCCACACTACAGGTAAAGTGTCACATCACTCTGTGCCCCCCCACACTCACAGGTAAAGTGTGACATCACTCTGTGCCCCCCACACTCACAGGTAAAGTGTGACATCACTCTGTTCCCCCCACACTCACAGGCAAAGTGTCAATCACACTGTGCCCCCCACAATACAGGTAAAGTGTGACATCACTCTGTTCCCCCCATGCTCACAGGCAAAGTGTCACATCACTATGTGCCCCCCACAATACAGGTAAAGTGTCACATCACTATGTGCCCCCACACCCACAGGCGTTGATGAGGTTACATATTGTGTTGGCAGGGCCAGCACCACTGCGGAAAACTCCGGCCAGTCTTCCTCTGGTACACTCTGCTCAAGCGCCACTGTTGCCGCCATCATCCTCGTCTCCCTGCAGCTCCTCCACACACTTCCCAGATAGGCTGCTGCCGCCACCACCACCGCCGCCATCATGGCTGGGCTTCCATCGGCAACTGGCTGACAGTGTCTTAGATACATGTTTTGTATAGATAGTTGAGTTATCCAACTAGAATTGACTGGTTAGTGAATATTTTCCCATCTGTTTCTAACAACAGATTCAAGTTTTAGGTTGTAAATTTCAGCAGAAGGTAACTTGAAGTGTGGATACAGTCATTTGCTATAGGACAATAATATGCTTGTTTGTATTGTCTAATATTTATTTCAAATTGCATTGAATGTCTGTATTTGTAATTGAATAGATACAAAATAATTGTAAGACTTTTTTGTTAATTGAACAAGGTGAACAAAACATAGGGCATTATATTGGCTGACTACGAGGGTCCCTTTTAATTGATGTTATGATACATTTTATGTAGTCCATCTCAGCAAACTGCTCAGCTAAATGAACCTATGTTCACACAAAAGCTTGCCAGTTCATGTCAGTTCATGTGGTTCCAGGCTTAAAAAAATAGCATACTGTTTTTTGTTTTGAATTTATATTTAATAGGGAACTTGAGTCACCTTGTGGCTCAATACCCCACCTGGGTACAAGTGTAAAGCCTAGTCCTTTTATCTTTTGGTGTGATATGGCTTGAAATGTGAAGAAAGCAGTGTAAAAACATATTCAATCACTCTTAATTTTGTGGCAGTGAAAATATTCTTCCACAATTCATGGCCTGGAAAACTTGAAACATCTTCAGCTATTGCAGTCAATGTTGTGACATTCTATGACTCTACAGTGTGAATGTTTATCATGCTCATGTGATTCAAGTTTATTCAATACATCACAATTGGGATTTGGTTAAGACATGTACCAATAGGGTCATAAAGCTAAAACGTGTGACCAAGATTTGTGCCATAAGCGTCTCAAGTCCAGTGACGACTATTGAGACAGCCAACTGATCTAGTTGCCTAAACAACAATGTCCATATTGCACAACTGTGTTAACTTGTCTGTTACTTAGACGGGTGCTGAGAACGTGTTTTTGCACCACAAAATATTTCTCTCTTTTTACAAAGCTTCTGCTGATTCTTATATTTGCCTCTTAAAATTGCTTCAGATATTTCCCACTGTGATTCTTGAGATAACTTTCTCTATCCCTGGGACCAAGGGACCCAATGTTGTTGATTGAGTAAACGTCAATTATCAATTTCTTCTTCAAAACCAATGGTAAAATGGTAACTGTTTTTCCTGATGCTGTTATTATTTCAACATGAAATGCTTGATATTAATTGATTGTATACAAAATTAGGATTGGCACATAGAGCTACTGGACCAGCCCTTATATACTACTCAAAAGTTAAAGATCACCCATGACATGACAGATCAACTATAGTCATATGAGAAAATTGGGTGTTCTTGAACTTTTTTTGAGTAGTATATGTTATTACAATCTGATCCCGCTGGGATTCCAGGTTGAAATAGGTCCCCAGTAACATTGTCATATGTGGTGACTGAATGGATGGGGTGGTCAACTTAGCTTGATTGTATGCCATCATACCCTGCCTACCTGGGACAAAGCTAATGGTATCTGTCGCTGGTGGTTTGGTCCAGACTTCATTATTTACGGGCCACCGTCATACAGCTGGAATATTGTGGCATAAAACAACAACCACACGAACACATCTTGCAATCAGCGATAATGAATAACAGTACATAGGCCATGTAGATAATAAGTGAAAGTGCACAATGCTTGATCTCTTATTGAAGCACATTTACCAGAACAACTGCCACTACAAAGTACGAATGAGCTAGTTTTCAAGACTACATCAGGATCAATGTTTGCAACGAACGGGATCGGGTGGTCAGGCCCGCTGACTTGGTTGATGCATGTCATTGTATCCCAATTTTGTGGATCGATGATGATGGTATTAATCACTTGATGGTGTGGTCCAGACTTGATGATTTACAGACCGCCGTCATATAGCGGGAATATTGTTGAGTGCTGCGTTAAACAACAAACAAACATCAGGATCAGTGTCCTGTGGTCCCATGGATAGAAACAAAGTAAACTGTCCTTTTCTTGAAGCTTTCGGACAGAATTTATCATGCCACGAAAGATAATCTCTTAATGTAATCGTCTGACCCCTTGTTAATTCTGCTTTGTAATGTCTTTTTCAATTTAATATGCTGCGTAAGACATACAATATGCTTCCCCAGTGATGTCAGTTTCTTCCAATTGTTGTCTTATTTAAGTGTCAAGTTATTTAATTGTGTTATGCATAATTAAACTTCAATGCTTCCTAATGTAGAAGTGCCTTATTTGTAAATATAATTTTTTTGTAGAGACTAGCATTGTCCATCCAAGCACATACTGTAGAAGTGCCTTAAGTGTATATATTAATTTCATAGCCTTAGAGTCTGAGTAGAGTTGGTCCATTTTATTCACTGGAATTGACAGTTTTGATTAACAATCAAGTTTTATGCACTTTCTTTTAGATATTTATACTGTATGGCATAGTATTTTATTAAACGATTTTATGTATAATACAGCGTTTTGTTATCTGTGTGACTTCTTGAAACCCAGAATCACGATAAAGTCTGCATGCGTCCCTGAATTTACGTCTAATGCCATTTGTACTGTGTGCTGGTATTGTGTATATTTGCATTTCAAATGTAATACAATGTACCAGTATGGGAAGCAAATCCTCCTATTATGGCTTTTTATATGTTACAGTTTCTTGCTAGTCACATGAACAACTGTAAGACGTCTCACTCACTTATAGAAACACAACTTTATCTTAAAACAGGTCCTCATCCGAGTACAGTAGAACACGGATATAACGAACATGGATATAGCAAACAAACGGACACAACGAACTGTTAAAAAATCCCCGATTTATCGCCTATATAATATCATATTAAATTTACATATAATATATTTATAATATAACGAACTCTCTACAGCGAACTAACGGATACAGCGAACTGATATCTGATCACCGACAAGCCCCTCTATCACTAATTAGCAACGTGTATAATGAACTGAGAAATCCACTCAGTGTCAAGTGTCACTGACAATTGGCTGTACGCAATCAGTGGCAAATCAACACAATGGCGGCGAAAACTGGCCTGTTTTATAAACTGACACCCCAGAGAACTCTTCATCTAAAACCTGAGAAATGTAGTGTAGTATGTTATGTGTTTAATGTTATTAAATGAATGTTATAAATTGTTAACCATTGAATGATCACTGCTAATACAAATCAATGCTGCAATTATGTGTATTGTGTTTTGTCTTATCCAAGATGGCAGACGTTTCCGAGCGAAAAACGTCTATAACGAACAACGGATATAACGAACTGATTTCTCTGGTCCCTTGTAGTTCATTATATCCGTGTTCTACTGTATATACAATGTCTATGTTGGTGGGGAGTTGGGGGGTGGGGTGGGGATGTTAGGGACCTTATTGCCTAGATCAGAAATGTTTCAGCTTCATGGGCCTCATGGTTTCAGGAGACGATTCAGATGTAAAAGATTAGGGAAAATACACCAGCATATCAGACTGGAGGTGATCAAATCTGATTCGGGACTACAATGGATTGTTTATTGTGCTTTCAGTTTCTTTACAAAACAAAACACCAGATCTGTCGTTTCTTGCTCCCAACATATACCTGTAGGTTGTTTTGTGAGAGAATATTCTGGGCATGCTGTTTGTTACGAAATGAAACATCACAGCATGTATTACTAAATCTCATTGTTTATTTACAAAATATACAAAACACTGCCTGTCATATGTCCAACCACTCCTTCATGTAGACGCATGTCTGTGGGGAGACAATTCCTCCATCGTGACACTGCTCAAACACCTGGAATACAGAAATAGACAGCAAGTTTAAAATTCATAAAATCTTTATCATGTTTATCTAAATATATTACAAACACATCCTTATCACAATAACAAAAGGAACACTTCCTGCTTACTTCATTTTGTTTAGTTGTAGCTTTTAAATTCAATATGTGCTTTTTGATTTCACCAAAGCGGTAAAACTTTGTATCCTACAAAAGTTGCACTTATTCTCTCCCATAAACTCCTTTTTATCCATTGAAACCATACATGAGAACCCTGCTATATGCCAAGTGGATCCAATGTGTTAATCCTCACTCGACAGCCGTGGAGGATGGCAGATAGCAACTCACTGGACATGTTCCACAGGGTATCCTCACAAGTCCTGTGGGTTGGATGACCGGTTTAACAGCTCGGTACAATCTCAGTTGACCGCTGTCCCCTGTTGTCCCTTGTCCAGCCACTATAGTACGTTCCACCTTGCCGTCATAAATAAGAGTGTCAAGAATCGTCTCAATGTCCTCCACAGACAGTTGGACCTAGGTGAGAAAAATAGAGTGAGTATTATTTTATGCCACTTTGAGCAATATTTGAGCAATATTACGACAGGGATACCAAAAATGGGCTTCACATATTGTACCCATGTCAGGAATCGAACCCGGGTCATTGGCGTGACGAGACCGCTTAACCACTCGGCTACCTGACTTCCCCGAGAAAATAGAAAATCGATGAGTCAGCAAACACACAGTCTTTGAAATTCACGTTAGTCCACTAGTCCAAGACTACTAAATTGTGCTGAGGAAACATTAAAAAACCAATGTTGGTAGTCCTCATTGAAGAGTGACTAGGGCTGTAATTCTGAACAAGGTCTCAATGCTTCAACCTTGCTACAAATTTGAACAAAATAAAACTTGACAGACGATGTAAAACAAAGTAAACATTTTGATCTCGTTCAAGCAGGACTAGCTACAAACTCGAGGATAAGTGAAATTAGGTTTCCACTTGTCCTCAAGACTTGTCTAGAAAGACTGGACGTAGCTGCAATTTTGAGGCTGTCACCCATTCTACATCCTCTATTATCCTGTATATTATATCTCAATTCTATTATGGAATAACGGTACCCTGGACCAACAATGTCCTGCAGAGAATGTGAGCTTGAAATCAAGAACCAATTAAAATGCCACTTCTCAAGCAGGTTGAGCATAGATCTTATTAATCACATCCTCAATACCGTATTCGACGTAATAAGCGCCCAGGGCGCTCTCAAAATTAGAAATAGGGGGCTCTTATTAGAATATTATTTTGGTGGAAAAAAAACAGTTGAAAGATACATTTCAGGGTTAATGCTGACATGCCTGAAATGTTTATGTACGACATATATTTTTCCAGAATTTAATTGCCCACAAGTAAGGGTGCATATAACACACGAGTGCGTAATATATGCGAATAAATAAGTCTTGAGTACATTGATCCATCAGAAGAGGTGCTAATTGGGATTGTTCACTAGCCAATATATTAGCAAATATCGCCGTGGGCACTTATTACGTTGAATATGGTATATTGAATAGAATAGACACATAAATGAACTTTCAGCTAGAAATGAAGAAGAGTCCTTCTACAAAATGCGCCCCTCATTGTTTATTCTCCCTGCAGTCTTTTATTGTACGATAAACAACTCCCACTCATTTATTCAATATCATGCTCTGATATCTATATCTATCATAATGGATGTGGTATGTTTGTCGCAGATCTCAAACTTAGGTCATGATGCTTGTCAAGAAAAGTATTCATCCACAGTGAAACATCCAGGAGATATCTAAACTTTGAATCCCATTTAACAACATTTTTCAACAAATCTGATTGCAGCATACACTCCCATTCATTTTGCAACACAGACTAACATATTAAACATGCACTTAGGACAACAGCCAAGAAGCAACAATGACTATTCCCTGACATAATGAATGTAGTACATCTTACTTTGCTTATTCCAAGTTCCGATATGAACTTCCAAACATCTTTAGAGGGAGCAAAGGCACCATTTTTCTGAGCTATAGGGTCAATCTGAGATTCTCTAGCTTGGGCCGCCTGCAAGACAAATCACACACACTTAACATCACTGATTATTTCATGTTGACAAACAATGATCAAACAACTGTTTAGGTAGATACTCATTTCTTCATCACGTGTACCCCATTCAGTGTTCCAAACTAACCATAAAAGGCAAGGGTACGTTGTCATAACCCCTATGTTGAATGTTGAAAAATTTAGGGTCCCACGATTGAAATACTGTTGAATAACCTTTAAGGTCCCTCTTAGTCCTGAACACTGCACTTCTACCTTGGTCGGAATACTGCATGACAAGACATTCTTAAACTACTTAAGGTCACAAGGAAAACTGTTACTAAAGTAGAATGTGTTACACACCTGATAATTTAAAAACACAATTTTGTAGAATTTTCCTATTCGGAATATTCTATAAGTAATATGTTATCACTGTTATACCGAGGCTGTTGTCTCCCACAACTGCTCTTATAGCGAAATCTTCCACAGACATCTCAATTACCTCATGCAGCACGTGCGTAGCCACCTGAGCTGCCATGTGACACCCTTCACTCTTGTCTCTTGCAAGAGCAAGTGCTCGGGGGACAGTTGGGCGGGCATCAGCCAAGTGGTAATGTATTACTTATAGAATATTCCAAATAGGAAAATTCTACGAATTACATTAAGTAATACGTTACCACTGTTATCCCGAGGCTGATTACCACAGTAGGCGGTGGGGAGCACCTACAACCTCAAACCTGAATGCTCGTTGTTCCTTTTCCGACCAGTGGAAGTGAACAAGGCAGAAGCACTCGATGCGCATGCTCCCAGCTTGGAGTTACCCTATAGGAATATCAAAGCACTGACAAGTGCATACCGTAAGGCTCAATCGTCTTTGCCAAACGATTGGTGACTCCAAACGCCTCACTGGATAGGTATTTCATCGCCGCAGCGGATGAGAACCCAGTACCCATGTGAGCTGAATCTTAGATCAGGTTAAACAGTCTGGAAGAGGGAAATTAATTTCATCCAGACCGTATATCCCAAGAGCAAGCCTACTTAAAGTATGCGTTAGGCACGTGACCTAATTCCTGTATTTGTAAGCATGCATTACAAGGTTGGAACACATGACGGACAATTAAATACAAAATTGTCAAAAATACAAATAAGGACAAAACACACAAAAAGCTGCCTCACCTATGGTGTGAGAGGGCTGGTTTGCGGGACCTCCACTCCTGTTACCCACTGCGGTGGGAACCAAGTGCATCCTGGGGGGCACTCAACTTAGGAGCGCCACCCAGGCATCGATGCAAGGACCCAACAAGATCCAGCGTGTGCCGAGAGGCCTCAGCGGACGCAGCAGCCTGTTGTTCTTTCAGAACGCCAGGCATCTTGTTGTTAAACAGGGTCCGTGCAGACCAAGGCTGCGAAAGGAACACTTCCTGGTTGGCAGCGTCCAACCCCGAGGCGGCAAAGTACGCTTGCCGTCTGAGGAAGTGGCACGTGCCGGAAATAAAGGCTGAAGCCCCGGCGACATACTCAAGCGAAGTATTTAAACCGATTAAACAGTTGTAAATGCGCTGGTCTCGGTCTGTGGGAGAACCTTCGACCAGACTGGCCGCTGCTGCTAAGAAGGTATCCCCCTGCGACATAGCGAGCATGGAGCGACTAGCGAGGGTGTCCAGCTGCTGCAAGGTAGCCTGTGGCACCGTAGCAGCCAGTGGGGCACAAACACCCAAACACTCGACGGAAAGGCTTTCACCAGGGAAGGCTTAATACCGCGCAACAAGGTTGAAGCGGGGAAAGCCTTGTCGGACGACTCCTCGTAGACCTCGGCGGAACCGTAAATGAGTAGTAAGTATTAGCAAGCAGCAAGTGTATCATCTTGTATCGATACAGACAAAAACACTGGGGGGTCATTAAATGAGTACGGTAGTAAGTATTAGCAAGCAGCAAGTGTATCATCTTGTATTGATACAGACAAAAACACTGGGGGGTCATTAAATGAGTACGGTAGTAAGTATTAGCAAGCAGCAAGTGTATCATCTTGTATTGATACAGACAAAAACACTGGAGGGTCATTAAACGAGTAGTAAGGAATAGCATGCAGCAAGTGTATCATCTTGTATCGATACAGACAAAAACACTGGGGGGGGTCATTAAATGAGTATGGTAGTAAGTATCAGCAAGCAGCAAGTGTATCATCTTGTATCGATACAGACAAAAACGTAACATGTATCATATCGATGCACCGATGTAGAGAGTAATTTTAACTTCTCCTTTTACTTTACAAAGGAACCAAGTTATTTGATCAATTGATGAACACAAGGGCCGCCTATCTTCTGATCCAGTTATTTGATCAATTGATGAACACAAGGACCTCCTACCTTCTGATCCAGTTATTTGATCAATTGATGAACACAAGGACCGCCTACCTTCTGATCCAGTTATTTGATCAATTGATGAACACAAGGACCTCCTACCTTCTGATCCAGTTATTTGATCAATTGATGAACACAAGGACCGCCTACCTTCTGATCCAGTTATTTGATCAATTGATGAACACAAGGACCGCCTACCTTCTGATCCAGTTATTTGATCAATTGATGAACACAAGGACCTCCTACCTTCTGATCCAGATATTTGTAACACTGTTGGTTGAGGACCTCCACAAACTCGGCCTCGAAGTCCTGATCACTGTACCACGCCCCACCAGTCACTGTCCGGTCTGGTTCCAGGTTGTAGAGCATGTACACCTTCTTCTTGGAGGCCTGCGTTACACAATAGTGGCATCATATTCAACTGTCCAAGTAACCAACCAATCAGACAGATCACTAGCATTGTAGGTGAGCTGAGGTGAAATTGGGTTTAACGTCGCGTCCAAGATTATTGCAATTATATAGCGACGTGTATGTATGTGTGTGGCTGCTTGTACTAGTCCGGACTGATGCCGATTTATAGTGCTAGCTCACTGAGATACCATGCCGCAGTTTAACATGAATACCCCACTCAGACACAGTATACTGACTCCGAGCCAACCAGTCCTTGTTTTAGCCCCTTAATGCAGAGCGCCAGACAGGGTAACAACAAGTACCATCTTTTAACGTCTTTTGGTATGAGGCGGTCGGGGATCGAACCCCAGACCTTCCTCTCTCAGGGCAGAAGCTCTACCATTAGACCATGGAGGCGGTCACTAGCATTGTAATAAAAATGTCATCATAGCAGGACAAGTTTTTATCTTGTACAGGTGTTTTGTACACAGGAAAGTTTGAATACAGGCCACTTCAGAATCAAGGAGAAAACAAATCAATCCAAAGTTACAAAGAGATCCAGGTCTTTTTTGGACAGACGGGTCACTATTAAGATGATTAACCATGTTAGAATATAACTACTGACATCTATAGTGGTAGAGTTAAAAAATTGAACATTAAAAAACAAGAAAGGAAACTGATCTGGTTTCATTGGAAAAAAAACAACCTGCTAACCAGAATGAGAGATCAACATATCACCATGGAAATGAATGTCTGGTCATGTATAAAATGCACCAATTTTATCTTTCACTTTTTTTTTCATTTAGGTCCCAAGTACTCCAAGATGAGAAGCATCTCCTGTTTCCAATATGAATTTTTAAAATAATTTTAAAGAGTCTGAGCTATATTCTTCCCTGGTGTGTTCCAAATGCATGAAAACCTCTGGAAACAATGTTTCAAGTTATAATTAATTTTGTTCGTTTGTTTGGTGAAGGTTATGTGGTCTGTTATTTACATGATATTATAATATATGGAGACTGCTCCAGTTTAAAGTACTCCATGCTTGCTGGAGTGAGTGAGTGAGTTTGGTTTTACGCCACTTTTAGCAATATTCCAGCAATATCACGGCGGGGGAAACCAGAAATGGGCTCCACACATTGTACCCATGTCAGGATTCGAACCCGGGTCTTCGGCGTGATGAGCGAACGCTTTAACCACTAGGCTACCTGACCGCCCCCTATGCTTGCTGGAGTGAGTGAGGGCTCCATGTGTGACCAGACATATTGTGTGTAATAGATTGTTGTATGTGCTTTCATATGTAGGGATTCTGGTATGGAATTGGCCCCCGTTACCTATGCTTGTCGAAAGCGGCAACTGAAATGGATCTGCTGGACAAGCACCATCTTCCTGAGGCAAGGGAGTAAACTGACTACCACACACTATTGCTGACTACCACACACAACCTCACATTTAGTGATAGAGCTATGATATCAATAATTTATACAAACATTCACTCATTTCTGCTTCATGGTCAATAGGGGCAGTGGGGGAGTCTAGTTGTTAAAACATTCACTCATCATGCCGAAGACCTTGGTTCAATTCCCCACACGGGTAAAATGTATGAAGCCCATTTCTGGTGTTCCTGGACGTGATATTGCTGAAATATTGCTGTAAAAGGGGAAAACACTCACTCACTCACTCACTCACTCACTCACTCACTCACAGTCACTAACCCAAGTACCTTCGGAAACATTTGTCGGGCAGCAAGGATCTATCATGCTTTCGAAAAATATCTTGCCTCTCAAAGGCCTTTTCAACGATAACTTTCTAGGGTTAACTTTGCAGTACAATCGATGATGGTGATTTACTTACTGCTACAGACTTGACAGCTTTGATCACCTTTTTGCTTTCTAAGTTTTTTAGGATTTTGTTGAGTTGGGTCATTAACAGATTGCTCTTGTATCGGATATCCCTGATCCATATTCCTGCAAAATACAAGACATGTAGTGGTGCAGTGACACAAACATCAGTAGTTGGCTGCTCTTAGTCATGCATCATATACACAGAGTTGACTCTTAACCAACATCGGAGTCTTAAGAAGGCTCTAAATGTGTTGGTCTCAAAAAAGGGTCAGATGTTATCATTTGAAGAAAAATGCTTTAAACAAAACCTTGAAAGTGTGTCTAAACTGACATTGATCCAAGGAGGCATACTCCATTATACACACATCATATGGGCCAATAGGCTAAATTTTTTAACCAAACATGTTTTTGACATAAAGCCAGTGATGAGTGTATGAGTCAACTTGACAAACCCAATGATAAATAAACACATGAACACGCTTAAATAACAGCATGAATCACAAAATGTGGACTCAGAAATTTAAAAGTGTATTATCAATCACAATGAACAGCAAGGGGGCAAACTTTCTCAATTACCGCTTACTATTTCGCTTGTGGTTAAAATGAATTTCCCTAGTTTCAAGATGAATTAAAAGTATTCTCATTGTTGGTATATATGGCACACTTGAATAAAGCAACAGTTCTATCTTGCAATGTATAATGGCAAGTCACCTTTGTTTCCGGCCTCCTTGATGATTTGGTAGACCAGCTTCTCCTGGTGGTCTGCGCCTTTCACCTGACTGCGACAAGCAGAGTGAGTGAGTGAATGAGTGTGGTTTTACGCCGTTTTTAGCAATATTCCAGCAATATCGCAGCAGGGGACACCAGAAATGGGCTTCACACATTGTACCCATGTCGGGAATCGAACCCGGGTCTTCGGCGTGACGAGCAAACGCTTTAACCACTAGGCTACCCGACCGCCCCTGCGACAAGCAGAACACACTATCATTCACTGTTCTGTGTTCATTCGTTTGTTTGTTTGTTGTTTAACGCCGCCCTCAGCAATATTCCAGCTACATGATAGCGGTCTGTAAGTAATCGAGTCTGAACCTGGCAATCCAGTGATTCACATCATGAGCATAGATCTACACAATTATAATACGATGATATGCATCAAACAAGTCAGCGAGCCTGACCACCCGATCCCCTTAGTCACCTTTTGCGACCCGGTTGCTGCACTGTCCTGTGACGATCCAAGCTAGAATTGGTCTTCAGCAACCCATGCTTGTCGTAAGTGGGGACAAACGGGATTGGGTGGTCAGGCTCACTGACATGTCATCATATCCAGGTATCACTTCATGAAACCATCATATACAGGTATCACTTCATGAAGCCTTAGGTTTATCTCAAAACATCAAATGGAATGAGTGGTGTTTAGTTTTTAATTGGAATTTTCTCTGCTCAAAAATAAATTGCATGCATCTGAAGTACAGATGTTGGCAGATCTGTTTAACAAAAAATATTGTATATCTGTATTTATCTAATTCTTAAATTCTTTAGGCTTTTATGTAATATAAAAGAGCCTTGGGTCTCAAAGGAATTCTAGAATGCATGTAAGCTTGATAGTAAAAATTCACTATTTTCTAAACAAAATAAAGACTTGAAAATACATGGCTAGTGTTTGGATGACTGAAAAGCATGGCCTAGGAGGAACTTACAAATGTTGAGTGACTTTGAGTGAAACCTCAATAAATAGGACACTACATGCATACACACCAAGGTCTGAAATATTCACGTTCATAAAAGGTGAATGATTTATTCTATTACATCTTTGTATCTCATAATACAGATGGAAATTTTCTTTGCATATTCTGTAACATTTTTTTACATATTTGCACTCAGATTTATTCCTACAGGCCCGTTAATGGTACTGTTTGCATAATGACACCTCAACTCCTGGGGATTCTTGTTGTGATCTGTTTCCATGAATCTATTTCAGTCAATACCTATGCTGGAAGTCCCTCATATCTTAACATAGTGCCAGGTATGAAATATCATATTTAAGGATTTGTTTCAAGTTATCAAATAAAACTCAAAATATGAAATATATAAAAATGAATAATGTATCTTCAACAACAATTGTTGTTACCAACATCATCATGATTATGACATAGAAAAAATGATATCTCGGAGTTGGGAAAACGCTGTCATTTCAGATAAGGAATGTACTCACTTAGCAGCTTCTGGATCTTTCAACCTGTATACTAACTTCGAACCACTCTTCAGCAAGTCAATGCGTCCCTGCATGAGAGACAAGTATATTTTCTTTTTATAAACAGTGAAAGAAGGTTGAGGACATAAAATGTTGTCTTTTAGCAATAAACATTAAGCAATAAATCATATTATACATAAAAGTCTTTGAAAAATATTGACTAGTATCATGCTTCAAGACATCTTAATGAAATACCAATACGGGAAGTTAGGTGATGACTAGATCCCTGGTACCCCAGTGCTTGTCATAAGATCATCTTAATGAAATGCCCATATGGGAAGTTAGGGGATGACTAGATCCCTGGTACCCCAGTGCTTGTCATAAGATCATCTTAATGAAATACCTATATGGGAAGTCAGGGGAAGTCAGGGGAAGACTAGATCCCTGGTACTCCAGTGCTTTTCATAAGATCATCTTAATGAAATGCCCATATGGGAAGTTAGGGGATGACTAGATCCCTGGTACCCCAGTGCTTGTCATAAGATCATCTTAATGAAATATCCATACAGGAAGTCAGGGGAAGACTAGATCCCTGGCACCCCAGTGCTTGTCATAAGATCATCTTAATGAAATACCTATATGGGAAGTCAGGGGACGACTAGATCCCTGGTACCCCAGTGCTTGTCATAAGATCATCTTAATGAAATACCCATATGGGAAGTCAGGGGAGGACTAGATCCCTGGCACCCCAGTGCTTGTCATAAGATCATCTTAATGAAATACCAATACGGGAAGTTAGGGGAAGACTAGATCCCTGGTACCCCAGTGCTTGTCATAAGATCATCTTAATGAAATACCCATATGGGAAGTCAGGGGAGGACTAGATCCCTGGCACCCCAGTGCTTGTCATAAGATCATCTTAATGAAATACCCATATGGGAAGTCAGGGGAGGACTAGATCCCTGGCACCCCAGTGCTTGTCATAAGATCATCTTAATGAAATACCAATACGGGAAGTTAGGTGATGACTAGATCCCTGGTACCCCAGTGCTTGTCATAAGATCATCTTAATGAAATGCCCATATGGGAAGTTAGGGGATGACTAGATCCCTGGTACCCCAGTGCTTGTCATAAGATCATCTTAATGAAATACCTATATGGGAAGTCAGGGGAAGTCAGGGGAAGACTAGATCCCTGGTACTCCAGTGCTTTTCATAAGATCATCTTAATGAAATGCCCATATGGGAAGTTAGGGGATGACTAGATCCCTGGTACCCCAGTGCTTGTCATAAGATCATCTTAATGAAATACCCATACAGGAAGTCAGGGGAAGACTAGATCCCTGGTACTCCAGTGCTTGTCATAAGATCATCTTAATGAAATACCCATACAGGAAGTCAGGGGAAGACTAGATCCCTGGTACTCCAGTGCTTGTCATAAGATCATCTTAATGAAATACCTATATGGGAAATCAGGGGACGACTAGATCCCTGGCACCCCAGTGCTTGTCATAAGATCATCTTAATGAAATACCCATATGGGAAGTCAGGGGAAGACTAGATCCCTGGCACCCCAGTGCTTGTCATAAGATCGTCTTAATGAAATACCTATATGGGAAGTCAGGGGACGACTAGATCCCTGGTACCCCAGTGCTTGTCATATGATCATCTTAATGAAATACCCATATGGGAAGTCAGGGGAAGACTAGATCCCTGGCACCCCAGTGCTTGTCATAAGACCATCTTAATGAAATACCCATACAGGAAGTCAGGGGAAGACTAGATCCCTGGTACTCCAGTGCTTGTCATAAGACCATCTTAATGAAATACCCATACAGGAAGTCAGGGGAAGACTAGATCCCTGGTACTCCAGTGCTTGTCATAAGATCATCTTAATGAAATACCCATACAGGAAGTCAGGGGACGACTAGATCCCTGGTACTCCAGTGCTTGTCATAAGATCATCTTAATGAAATACCCATATGGGAAGTCAGGGGACGACTAGATCCCTGGTACTCCAGTGCTTGTCATAAGATCATCTTAATGAAAAACCCATATGGGAAGTCAGGGGAGGACTAGATCCCTGGTACTCCAGTGCTTGTCATAAGATCATCTTAATGAAATATCCATACAGGAAGTCAGGGGAAGACTAGATCCCTGGCACCCCAGTGCTTGTCATAAGATCGTCTTAATGAAATACCTATATGGGAAGTCAGGGGACGACTAGATCCCTGGTACCCCAGTGCTTGTCATATGATCATCTTAATGAAATACCCATATGGGAAGTCAGGGGAAGACTAGATCCCTGGCACCCCAGTGCTTGTCATAAGACCATCTTAATGAAATACCCATACAGGAAGTCAGGGGAAGACTAGATCCCTGGTACTCCAGTGCTTGTCATAAGATCATCTTAATGAAATACCCATACAGGAAGTCAGGGGACGACTAGATCCCTGGTACTCCAGTGCTTGTCATAAGATCATCTTAATGAAATACCCATATGGGAAGTCAGGGGAAGACTAGATCCCTGGTACTCCAGTGCTTGTCATAAGATCATCTTAATGAAATACCCATATGGGAAGTCAGGGGAAGACTAGATCCCTGGCACTCCAGTGCTTGTCATAAGATCATCTTAATGAAATACCCATACAGGGAGTCAGGGGAAGACTAGATCCCTGGTACTCCAGTGCTTGTCATAAGATCATCTTAATGAAATACCCATACAGGAAGTCAGGGGAAGACTAGATCCCTGGTACTCCAGTGCTTGTCATAAGATCATCTTAATGAAATACCTATATGGGAAGTCAGGGGAGGACTAGATCCCTGGTACTCCAGTGCTTGTCATAAGATCATCTTAATGAAATACCCATATGGGAAGTCAGGGGACGACTAGATCCCTGGTACTCCAGTGCTTGTCATAAGATCATCTTAATGAAATATCCATACAGGAAGTCAGGGGAAGACTAGATCCCTGGTACTCCAGTGCTTGTCATAAGATCATCTTAATGAAATACCCATACAGGAAGTCAGGGGAAGACTAGATCCCTGGCACCCCAGTGCTTGTCATAAGATCATCTTAATGAAATACCCATACAGGAAGTTAGGGGATGACTAGATCCCTGGTACCCCAGTACTTATCATAAGATCATCTTAATGAAATACCCATATGGGAAGTCAGGGGAGGACTAGATCCCTGGCACCCCAGTGCTTGTCATAAGACCATCTTAATGAAATACCCATACAGGAAGTCAGGGGAGGACTAGATCCCTGGTACTCCAGTGCTTGTCATAAGATCATCTTAATGAAATACCCATATGGGAAGTCAGGGGACGACTAGATCCCTAGAACCCCAGTGCTAGTCATAAGAACATCTTGACTGGTGGCCACAGTGTGTGATGTGATAGAGTGTGTGTCACCATACCCTGATGACAGGTAGCACTGCTCAAGCACATGTTTCTCCGACTTGATAATTTACAGGCCGACCTGATATATGCCCTGTTTCTTTCTATCTTTTGGGCCTCATCTTTGTTTTATCACTGGCAAACCTGACCTCGTACTTACAGTTGACAGCAGCCGGTTGATGGCTGTGACTCTCTGCTTCACCTCAAACTGAGGCATGTCAGCCTGAATTGTTGCATCATCAATTCCTTCAGGGTGAGACTGACAGAGAAGAAGGATCCTGAAAACATATCAGGTTACCATGGTGGTTGAGCTGCTCAGTCAAAAGTGCATTACAGATATCACGAAAATACCAAGTCAGTCAGTTACCTCAGAACATAGGAGACAAAAGTCAGTCACAATTCAATGACAAATCTAACATGGGACTTTTGGACATTTTAACTTTTGCATTGGCACAGCTGTTACTGTAATGGTTATAAGCACTATTGCAAATGTTGTACCTCAGTCACCTTCTGTTCAGGCACATCAGAGGTTTCAGCTTCCCATAATGGGGCTAGTCAAAATTGCAAATATATATTTTTCTATGAAAAGAATATCAATATGATTGCACTGTAACAATACAATAAAGACTAATCATCTTAGCCAGACATATAGCCAGACAACATAAATGGCAAACTTGCCAATCTTTGGACATTGGTAACGGAATCCATATGCATGCGATGAGGGGTCCTTTTTTTGAAGATTGTTTTCCGGGTTTCAGGGGTATCTGAAGGGAAACAACTCTCCAGCTTTGTAAGTATTGAAATATGGATCAGCTTTTTCTTCAAGGATTAAAAGTTTTCTTATCATGAACTATAATCTTGACTGGTTTGACTTGTGTTCGGCACTATTGTCGCTGTACTGCACAAAGCGACAGCTATCGGAGAGCTATGGGTGGCCATTCGGTAAAAAAATACAAAGTTGAAATAAAGGCAAAAGTATGCAATAATAGTCAAATGTTATGAATAAAGAATTAAATGTTACTAATGAAGGTCAAAATACAAAACAAATGGATGCTGGTCAAAAAATATGAAGCTAGTATACAACCTTAAACAAACACTCATTTGACGCTTAACTAGGATTATTCTTCAATGGACCAATTAACTGTTCATGCTTGGTGCAACTCGAGGGTGTTATGATGCCGAGTTATATTTCGGAAGCACATTTTCATTACATCTGAAAAGTGAACGCTGTGAGAGAATTGCACTTTAGTGGCACTGTGTCAACCTCAGACTATAATTTTTATAAAATGACGCAGAGATGTAAAATGTTCAATTTTCTGTCTGATGATGTGGTGTAAATGTAACTGCAAATATTAAACCGATTTGAAAAGGAGACACTGCTAAGTCTTGTCCAAGATTTTGTTGAGCGTAAAAAAAAAAAAAATGTCGCCACATATTATCCTACACCGATATAAGTACTGTTTTATTTAAAAGCTTTTTGGAAACTGTGTGCAAACAACATGCTGCCTTATATCTGAACGATAAAAAGATATTTGGTTATGGAAACACATTTGGAAGTAATATAGTATGTATAACGTTATACATTCGATAGAAAAAATAGCTTGCCAAAAATGAAGAAAACAGATTTTCCTCTATGATGTCGGAGTTCATTTTGACACCTGATTCATTTTGCTTGTTTTCATCTCGACCATTAATATTCGTGACAAAGACAAGTTGTAAGTTGATGTTAAATTGTATGCGTAATTCAGGGATGTATGTATTGCAGCTGTGTGTGAAATATATGTGATGTAGGTTCTACTTCACCAAATCAGAACCAGTTTGGACAGTGCGGTTTTCGTAGGGAGCCTTCAGTGCAGATCGAGAGATATCTGCAGGCTGTGATTGGAGGATATTCTGTAAGATTTTTACGTCTTTCAAATGTACATCCATCCAGTTATTAAAACTGACCATGTTTTTCTATATTTAGTACTGTCTTTTTCAACATGATGACTTATGCTGAATGTGACAACAGCTATTTTCAAGTAGGTGACATTTGGTGCGAAACTGGGGGTGGTGTGTTTAGCTTCCTGTACTCAGAAAAGGAGCTGGCTAAGCTGGTTATTTTTTATTTTTTTTATTGCTGCTCTAAGGCCAAACTGTGCACACACGTACAGGTAATAGCTGTTGAATGCTTAGTTATTTTAAAAAAAAATATAACGTTACTATAGAAGTCTATGGGAAAACATTTGGTTGTGTGTAACCTGTAATAGGTGTTTCATGACTCAACCCACATCTGCTCTTTGAGTCTATTGCTGTGCTGCCACATGCATATGACATAACATGTAATACATTCACAATATCAGACTGGGATTTATAACCCAGTCTTAAAATGTTAAATTAAATAATTACCCCAGACACAAGAAATGTAAAATGCAAACCACTGATTGCTATATATCCTTGAATCCCTCACATGCATGTGAGTTATCTTTGCATAGTTTTTGTCAGGTAATCTGAGTTGTTCTGGCACTAATTATACTTATAATAAAGTCATTAACTGAGCATCAAGTGAATGATGACAATTACAGAGGTATAGGGTTTATGCCATGAAACATGCATGCTGGGACTAGCAATTGTTGTATTTATGCAATTTGCCTGAAAAGTAGGGGTGGTGGTTGCAATTTGAGTGTATGAACTGAACTTCATTGTCACAAAAGAATACGACGTACACGTATTTGCTGTATCCTAAACAACGTAATTGTACATACACATTTACACACGCAGACGAATCTGCAGGTTGAAGGGTTTTAGTAAGCATCATTCAATCAAGTGCGAGGACTCATGGGTATTTTCTCATTTCTATCCATGCTTGCCTAGCGCAAACCAGCTGCTTACTATATCAACAACCGACAACAAAACAAAATAAATTAATACCTTGTCTCTAAATCAATTTCTTCTACTGGTTCTTGTTTCACCGCCGACGCCATGTGTCATTTAATGTAAAATAAATCACGAAATGGCAAAACCTTCTTTGGTAGTTGCACGCAAGAGCTTGAACCGGTGAGGAAATTCCGGAAGTTTATGTCTGCTGTTCATATCGGAACAAATCATGACCTAATTGCTATTGGTTATATATAAGCTGGATGACTATCACTTATTTCTATAAATAGATCCAATATATTTTTATTATGTGCTTGGATCTATCATGAAATTTCAATAGATATTTCTTTCTAAAAGAGTTTTATAGCCTCTTTGTTTCGTTGTTTGAAATTCAGTGCGAGGCTAATCATGACGATTATGGCGGAAGCACAGGTACGTTTGTGAGAAGTTCTGCGTAAATTTCAGTTAAAAGGTATGTTTATCATGAATTTCTTGGGATTGACGAAAAGAGTACATTGTTTGTCTTTCATTCTTTGCAGCCTGAGATAACTGAGGGTTGCAGATTGCCCGTGCTTCTAAAAAACGGCGATGGTTGGCGTAAGTAAAGAGAAAGTAATACCGAGCGCCACCTGCTGGCATTTCACCACACCAAGATGGGGATACCGGTTAATTCATTTTGTTAATTTAATTGCTGTCATGTTGAATGGAGATATTCCTTTAGGGTAGTTTTAATATTATTTTGATAGAGAGTAGGTGCATTATTTATTGTATGTTTAAAGTGGAGCTGGAATGTGTGTACAAGATATTTATTAACTCCCTTTATTATCAGGGGAAGCAACTCTCATCTTTCAGTACAAGTTACCTGTCAACAGATAGACTTCTATTTTCACTTCTTGACTATATTGTTGATGTCATAGTATTTGACATGAATATCTAATCATGTTATTTTGCAGATATTGCAGAAATCCTCAGTAAAAAAGATGTCCAGGGAAAACCTTTGTACTACATTCACTATGAAGATTGTAAGTATTTTTGATACTGTCAGTCAATTTCTTTAGTTTTATTAATTTTCTGTTTGCTATTCATTAAGAATGAACAAAATGCTTATAATCATAGTTTTGTGTTTATATTTAATTCTCATTCTCTTTGTTTAGTTAATAAACGACTTGATGAGTGGGTGCCAGAAGAGAGGATGGACATCAGTAAGTTGGAACAACCGAAGAAAGATGCCAAAACACCTAAGAAGGATTTCCAAAAACTGGCCAATGGTGGATCTCGCCCCAGTAGCCCAGAGCGGGACGTTGTCACTCCTGTTGTAAGTACATTAGTTTTATGGACTTCCTTATTCATATTTTCTAATAAATAACACAAAATAAATTCACTTTATCACTTTTCCTTGAAAAAAGGATAATTTAAGTTATATTTTGTCTCTTCAGATGATGACAAACTAAATGCATTTAGATAACAGAATTGAATGATTTTGTTATATCTCACCCCAGGTACAAAATGGTACCTCAAACAGTGGTGGGCTTGGTGGCGGGTTAGGTGGTCTGGGTGCTGGCCTGGGTGCTGGATTAGGAGGGATGACTGGACTGACGATCAACATGGCAGTTCCGTCTCCTAGTGGTGCAATGTGCAGCACGGGTGGCATGAAAAAAACACAAGCAGCAACAGCAGCCAGAAAGAGAAAGGCTGAAGAAGATGCACTAGTAATTCTTTCATACTCGAACATTAATTTTATTCAATTTTGTCAAATGTATGCATTACAAAATGATAGTCTTGAAAAAATAACACTTCAGAAATAATTATTTCCCTACTAGTTACTGTCAACCATTAATTTGAAATACACTAAATGTAACCACAGGTTTCACTTTTTGTACTTTTTGTAGTTTCAGGTAACCTCAACCATGTTGATAAAAGTAGCATATTTTTAATCAAAACTAAAATGTCTTTGCTAATTCTATTAAAACTAGATTTATGCTATTGATTATATATCAAGTGCACAAATTTGATAACTGCATCAGGAAGAGTACTCACAATATTCAATCACTTAAAAAAGGTGGAGCATAACCAACATGTTGCCAACAATCAGATTTCATATTTGTTAATTTGTCATTTTCCAGCAACCCGACTCACAGGATGCACTCCCAAAGATGCCAAGACAGACAGGCAGCATGGTCGCACATCACGATGATATTGTTACACGGATGAAAAATGTTGATCTTATAGAACTTGGTCGCTACCGCATCAAACCTTGGTACTTTTCTCCATACCCACAGGTACATATTGCCTAGAGCCCAATTTTATCTATCTAGTCAGTGAAATGATGGGGCCGTGCAAGCCTACTAGTTTAAAAAAAGTAGGATCATTTCAAAAATATTAATTTTTAAAAACTATTAGCATCATTAATGTTGTCAAGATTACGAAAATGCATTCCCTATGTTCTTGTTAGTCAATCGTATCAGTGTTTATAAGTGATAAAAGCAATGAAATCTACAAGCTGATGAACTTGTTGACAATTTTGTGTTATTTTGAAGTGAATGTTATTTTTGGAAACCATGTGTCCAAATGTAGCAAAGTGTTTTTTATGAATTCATGTTTTCTTCATTTCACAGGAACTCACACAAACACCTATTGTTTATATCTGTGAATACTGCCTCAAATACTTGAAAAGCAACAAATGTTTAGAAAGACATTTGGTAAGTAGATTAATAAAGAAATAACCAATGAGGAGGGGGAGTTGTTTTTCGTATCATAAAACACTGCAGGGATAATAAACCATGTGGGGCACAAGTTCGATGAAACTACAACCACGAGCGGCTTGTTTCTTATATGAGATATCAACATTATTTACAGCCTCTTTAAGGATATTTACCCATATTTACCGTTATATAATGATGACTCCCAGAATACAATGCGGTCTTGGCAATGTTGGTTAAGTCCTTGTTTTGAGGGGGGGAGGGGTGATAATTTTGGTATTTCCTAAATATTCTTACCAACATAAAAACAGTTGATGCCCATTGTCTACATTTTTTCCCATTATAAAATTCCATATCTCTCCTACTTTTTGATGCGATCATCCAACCATCTGCTGTGCCCACTACATCAAAGGGGAACAAGTCACTCACCTCTCAAAAATAGGATAAAGAAACATTGACTCGCTCATTCACAGAGAATGTCAACACTTGCAAATTATTTCTTATCCTGACGCAGCAAATTGCAATTTCCTTCTTCACTTCAATCATCTTCGACTGGGTGACTAAGATTGTCTCAACAACCTCATGATGGATTGTTGAGCTCTTGTTTATGAATGATGTGACTTGCTCGTGTTGTCAAAAAATATTCTGAGTGATTGTTGGGCTCTTGACTTGAACTTCTGATCTGCCAGGGGTCATGTATCAGAAGCGTCGGAGGTACCTGACCATAAAGCATAGCTCTGCATGTTAGATGAAGGACAGATAACTCTGATTGGTAACAGCCATCAGAGATGAGGAAGAGGCAGGTTTTGTGTTCTGTTATATGATCGAAGTGAAGGAAATTGCATCATGTTGTGTCAGGGTAAGTATACTAACATAATGAATGTCAAAATGAATGTAATTTTGTAATTGCAGGCCAAATGTTTACTTAGGCATCCGCCTGGAAATGAAATTTATAGAAAAGGTGAAATCTCTTTCTTTGAAATAGATGGAAGGAAAAACAAAGTAAGTGTGATATATTTTTCTTAATAAGTCTGATCTAACTGCTTAAAAACTTAACGACAAAGATTGTTAAACACTGTCTTTTTTTATGAAATGGAAACTGTCTTAAATTATTTTCAAATATTAGTACCGGTAAGGTTGGTTCCAAGTACACTGTATTCAGAAAGTGAAAGCTGTGCTTCAAATTGCCATGTGTTGCTAGCTGACTGTATTACTGGTATTAGAAAGACCTATGTTGTAGAGGGTCACTGAGTCATTCTTATTTTCCAGGCATACGCTCAAAATTTGTGTCTCCTGGCCAAGCTGTTCTTAGATCACAAAACATTGTACTATGACACAGATCCATTCCTCTTCTACTGTATGTGTGAGATGGACAACAGGGGCTACCACTTAGTAGGCTACTTCTCCAAGGTGGGTTCTAGCAGTTATGTATTGTTTGTTTGTTGTTTAATGCCGCACTCTGCAGTATTCCAGCCATATGACGGCGGTCTGTAAATAATCTAGTCTGAACCAGACAATCCAGTCAATGACATCATGATCATCGATGGGATACGATGACATACACCAATTCAGCGAGTTTGACGACTCTATCCTGTTATGACAAGAATGGGTTGCTAAAGTAATTTTATATTGAAAGCTGATATTATATACAAGTTAGTTCTCGGCACTATATCAGAAATATATCCATGCCCCTGAAACATCACATTAGTGTTTTATTCTGCTTTGAGACAAAATGACAATTCTACAGCAATGTAGCCAACTTTCTTTATTAGTAAAGAATGGCTGCCCTCTCACACCAACTTTTGAAAGGTTGTGGACAGAATATTTTATAGAATAGTATCTTCTGAAAAAAGCATTCTTATTAAATACTTCAAGCAAATAGAAAAGACATTAAAAGATGGTGCTCCTTGTTATCATCACATCACATGAATAGAAATCATACCATGTCATGTGAATTATTTGACATGTTACTACTTTATTTTACAGGAGAAAGAATCCACAGAAGATTATAATGTAGCTTGTATTCTCACATTACCACCTTATCAGAGGAAAGGGTACGGAAAACTGCTGATAGAATTTAGTAAGTACTTTACTGTGAAAAGCAGCAGAATACCACAAATTTTATTCCTTCATTTGATCAAGTGAGTGAGTGAGTATGGTTTTTTATGCCGCTTTTAGCAATATTCCAGCAATATCACGGCGGGGGACACCAGAAATGGGTTTCACAAATTGGGTCTTCGGCGTGTCTCATTTGATAAAGATGAAATATTACTGATTATGTTATAAAATGTCTTTCACTTGACCATTACTTTATTATATTTTATTTTCTATTGTTATAGTTATACCTAGGAATTCTGCCCTTCCGAGGACTTTCTCTTACTTAGAATTTCTTGACTTAATTATTTGTGCGACCTAGGAATTAAAAAACTACTGCATGAATTCTTTTCAAATTGGGGTTAAAATTTCTATACCAATAGAAGAGGTGCAGTGCAAAGTTTGTCTTCAATATTTGGATTTTCTGAACATATACAGCTATTTTTCTAAATGAGAGTTTTTAACTGAAGCATTTGTGCGACCTATAACTAGAAACCTATTTCATGGATTCTTTCAAATTATTACCTTTTTCATGTTTTTCAACTTAGAAATATGTTGGAGTCGAAGTCGGGGGTATTAGTGAGACCTGCTCACTTTTTGCCTTGTTATTTGATAATTAAAGAAGCTGCCAACCTTATGTTCATAAAAGAAAATGAGAGAGGTCACACATGCATGGCAAATAATTTGTGATTTGGGAAACATTGTCAACAGCACTGATAAAATGCTCAATATGATGTTCAACTTTCCATGCCAAGACAATCAGTTCTTGTTGACAGTTTGCAAACAAATAGTGATAAAAAAACAACTTCAACAGTACATAGGTTGACGTAATTTGTAACCAGATCCTCACAGGGCTCATTTTAATTTTGTTATCAAGTTGATCTGGGTTTGGTCTGGTTGGTGACAAGTTGTCCATAATCAATTAAATGAAGGCTGTGATGTTTTTATATTTTTCGTCATCCATATTCAATTGTGTGAGGAAAAAAATTGTTCTGAGCCTTCTTCTTCAAGTCTACAAGTACCGGTATTTAAGGTATCCTGTTTTACAGCATGATTTAACAAGATTTTGAAAGGTCTGGTTCTGTGATATGATCTGTGAAAGTGTTATTGTCTGTTTACAGGTTATGAACTCTCTAAAGGTGAGGGCAAAACGGGTTCCCCAGAGAAGCCTCTCTCTGACTTAGGCCTTCTGTCATATCGCAGCTATTGGTCACAGACCATTCTGGAAATACTGCTGAATCTCAAACCGAATGAAACTGGCGAGAGACCTCTCATTACCATCAAGTAAGTTGCTGTACTCATTGTCTCAGGTGCTATGATGCATGCTTTTGTTTTGATAGTACAATGGTGTTTCAAACTAAAAATATCCTGATAGTGAGATATTCCTTTCTTCCATTGAAATTAGTCTTTCAGAGAAATGTACAAAAGAAATCCTACACTTACATTTTCATTATGAAAAGAGGCTATGAATCATTGCACATGATACTATTACCCGGTCAGTTTATTGTTTAGTTAGGTTTTCGCATGTACCCATGGTTAGTCATGTGATAAATCGTTTAATGAAACTCCATGGGTACACTAAAGGTCACTAATGTTTGCATTTCTTTCTGACTTTTGTATGTTTGAATAAAGATGAAGCTTCAGTCAACTTCAGTTTGTGCATGAAAAAAATCGTTTGATATGTGTATCTAAATAAATCTTGCCAGGGCTACGGTCAAAATATTCCCAATCGGACATTTTGTACCCACAGTGGGTACCCGGGTATGTTCGGGTAATAGGGGGTAGGGTACCCGGGTAATAAATTTGGACTTGTTCTAGCCCTAGTGAGCACCACTTAAACAGCAGTGACCTTGCTGATACATGTCATAATGCGCCACGGGTTTGTTTGGTCCAGTACTTCCACAATTGGTTCAGTGGTCTAATGTGCGGTAATTTGATGTGATCTGTTGCATCCCTTAGTCATGCCAGGATTAGCTGTGGATTCAGATTCCGGATTTAGTTATTAGTTTCCAAGGTTTGTTTGAACCATATCATCTTCCCAAAGCAAGGGAGTTAACTGACAATAAAAGTCCAGTTTCCACCCTGGCCGAAATAGGCTGGATTTTATTGGCTATTACGAGTTATGTCCTTTCTATGTCCCTCCTATTGACCAATGAGATTCCACCTCTCATCTCATTGGCATTAAACAAAATGACTGCGTCCAGTCAAGACGATCTGATCGATAATCAAGATCGATGTAATAAAACAGGTTTTACCTTGCGAAGTGAATCAAATCATTTGATCACCTTGATTAAAAACATGAAAAGACTTGGAAAATGTCTGTCGACGCTCAGTCGACGGAAATCTGCACTTGTAATCCATGTTGGTTGGTTGGTTGTGTTACGACGCACTCGGCAATATTCCAGCTATATGACGGCGGTCTGTAAATAATCGAGTCTGGAACAGACAATCCAGTGATTGATATCATGAGCATCAAGACTCGTTAGTCAAGCCAACTCAGGAAACTCAGGAATTCCAGCCTAGTTCGGCAAGGTTGGAAACTGGACTTTTATAGTCTGTAAAGATCCTTGCCTCAGGAAGATGAAACCATATCTGTTAATGGTTCCAAAGTGGAAAATGTAGATTAACCTCCAATACTCCAGGGCTTTCCTCCCACTTCATGCCGTGGTGTAACTGAAAGACTGTTGTAAGTGGCTGCAAACCTGTCTTAAAGTCGTTATGATAAGTGCAATACACTGACCAATGAAAAACACTCGATCTGTCAGTGAGATAGTCTGATCAATGCATGATGTATATATGTATTGTTGCAAGCAACAACTCGCTCACCCACCCACTTACTCATCCACCCACTCACTCACTCTTCATCCGTCTGATAACATCGTGTCTTGTTTATTACAGCAAATATGCTTGTCGTAAGAGGCGACTAACAGGATCAGGTGATCAAACTCGCTGACTTGGTTGATGCATATCATCGATTCCAATTGCGTGGATCGATGCTCATGATGTCAATCCCTGGTTTGTCTTGTCTTGTCGATTTAGCTGGAATATTGCTGAGTGTGGCATTAAACAACAAACAAACAAACTAACACATCTTACTGTGAGTGTTCGTCACTCACTCACTACTCACTCACTCACTCACTCACTCTGATAACATCCTGTTTTGTTTTTTACAGTGAAATTTCGGAAATGACCAGCATCAAGAAAGAAGATGTTATATCAACACTCCAACATTTGAATCTCATCAACTATTACAAAGGACAGTATATCATCACAATATCAAATGAACTAATGGACTCTCATAATCGTGCAATGGCTCGTAGAAAGATCCGTATTGACTCAAAATGCCTCCACTGGCAGCCCAAAGACTGGAGTAAACGAGGGAAGTGGTGACTATAGGAAGAGATAGACTATCAAATAACCCATCCTTCTAGCAGTCTAGTTACTTGAGAGTACTTAAACCAGCCTCTTCCAGAAGGCAACTTATACCATGAATACGTGTCCAAAAGTCAAGAATACCAACGACAGAGAGATGAGTCCAATATGCTGCTCACATGGTCACCTTCTCAGCAAACCTTCATCAATAGATCCTGGTGTGTTGCAGCCAATGCCATGGACAATTGCTTGATGATTCAGATTGGAATTGTGTGGGAAAACTCAGTTCAATGAACAAGTGCTTCTTTTTGTTTTTCTTAAAATTTTCTTTTCTCTTTTTTCAGCAATAGTCTGTGATACAAACTTTTTTCTACCATTTTCATTCTGACTTTTTTGGGGGTTAATATGTGTCTGTCATCTCATTCCAATATCATGTAGTTTGATATATATTCAGGTCATACCCGTTCAGAGGAATTACTGGTACACCATTGTCATTTTACAAGTGGCTCTCACTACTTTGTTCCAGTAGCGCCAGTTAGGTTAGAAGCAACTATACACTTGTCACACATCGACAGGACACAGGCAAACACTTGATGACATTTAGTGGCAACCCTCGAAACAAGCGCGAAACCCGAGCGAGCCTCCCAAGACAGGCGAGCCACCAAGGGGAGCTAACTCTGCTTACATTAATACATGCCAAGCAAACCTGCATTGGCGTACGGTTTACCAGTAAGTTGCTGGTCTTAATTCAAGTCTTATTTCACACATTTACATTTTTTTCTTCTTAAATTTTATGGACCTCAAACATTTTTAAAGTGTGCTTATGGTTTCCTAATAATTGTTTTACAAAAAATTGTTTAACCTTAACCTGTTTGTTGTTTACAAAAGATGGTGTAGTATACCATTGTACAAAATAGTTAACTGTATCAAACTTTCATAACCATAATAATATACTATATTATATAAATATACATGCTAGCAGTTTTATTTATTGTTAGTTAGGGTTTACTTTTAAGGATTTTTGTTGCATTTGTCTCTTGATTGGCATGATCCATGAGTGAGACCAAACAGGAGAATTGGTGAGTTTGTGATCAGATGAACTTTCGTCATATCAGTCCATACCATAAGTATTTAAAATTGTCCCTCTTTATGCAGTGCATTTAAGTGTGCAGGTGAATATGCTGTACAAGCATGTCTCAACTTGCAATCATATTAATTTAAAGATTATTTTACTGAACTCCCTTTTTATTGGAAACTACCTGGTACCCATTTTTTCCACTGGAACGTTAGTACTTCAGATAGATTGATTCAGATAGATTCAATGATAAAACCACTTTTAAGTTGCTTCCCTAATTTATAGCTTCAGTTCTGGTGGTCAGACTCGCTTACTTGGTTGATGCATGTCATTGTATCCCAGTTGCGTCCATCAATATACAGTGTCAAGCACTGGATTGTCTGGGCCAGATTTGATTATTTAGCTGGAATATTGCTGAGTGTGAAGCTAAACAACAAACAGACAAATATTAATTTCAGCTCCCTTATAATGCACAAACAGTCGAGCCAATTTGAATTGAGCGTTCAAAGTGCTTATCTATTTTCAAAATGGCAGGTCTTCCTTTTCCTCACCAATGACCATGAATTGTTTTTAAGATTTCTTACTGATCACCTCATGAATCTAAATGTTTAGCACAGTATCATCAATGAAAAAGTAAATGTGTTCATTTATAAACAACCAATATGGTTTTTTTACGTTAGAAAGCATTTTTTGTAACAACCATTTTGGGAGGTTGATATATGACAGGGCCAGCGGGTGTTAAAACAAATGTCACTTTTTTAGAGTTATTGGCAAGAAACATGGATATATTTTCACCTGCTTTGTTGTATGTGGTACTTGCCCAGTTATTTTATGGCTGAATCTCTTCATTAGTGTATTACAACAAGATTAAACTCGGCAGATAAGATTCTCTATGTATACCACTCAAAAGAAGTAAGGGACCACCCAATTCTTTCATATTGCTATAGTTGATCTGTCATACCATGACAGATTAATTATAGTAATGTGAAATAATCAGGTGTTGATCATAATTCGCTGTGCAGAGTTGTGTCCCTTGGGCATGCCAGAAACCTATGATTGTGGGTTCGAATCCCGGTTCGCCCCAATTATGTTTCTAGGTTTGTCAGCACCATACCCGTGCTCGTGGGTTTCACCGAAGTGGTAAACGTCTGAAACCTGCATCACTTCGGGCTTTCCTCCCACATTAAGCTGACACGCCGCAATATGACTGAAATAATGTTAAAAGCGGCGTTAAACCCAACTCACTCACTCACTCACTCACTCTTATCTTCTTTGAGTTGTATACTTAGCTGTATCATGTTAATGGCCAGAGTGCACTGTTTGAAACATGTTTGCATTCACAAGACTTCCTAAGCGTTTATTCTGAGGTTTGGGGGAAAGTGCTTGTAAAGTCCTTGAATTTCATTGACAAGTCTTCTTTAGTGCATACATTTCATGAAAATGGCACCGCCATGTTAAAGGGAGTAATTAGAAGCAGAAAGCTTGCCGGTGTTCTTTTGTTACTAACCAGGATTTTACTTTGCAAATTGCTTTAGTTAGTACATAGATTAAATGTTTTAAATTTGATGCATCGTTATTCTGCAGATTGATGCTGTGGTGTATTCTTGGTCTTAAATACGGGTGCTTGAAACACTGGATAATGTCTACGATCTGCATAAACCCTAGACTCTTGATCTACCAAATGTGTATCCAAAGTTATTAACATTTCAAATTGAATTACTGATAAAGGATCCACTGACTGATGGGGTCGACACTCAGGTCAGGCATTTCGGGTTGATTTTAAGTACAATCGTCAATCTCATGTATTATTGTTGTCTTGAAGTTACAGGACACTGACATTTGGTACTAAAGTACTGTTGGAAATGCTAGAAAAATGTTTGATGAATAAGATTTATAGGAAATGAAAAATATGTCAAAATAAAGCAAATCTACCTAATCTAGCCTTTCGTATTGAAAACGAGTATTCTTAAAATATATTTACAGGTAAAATATAAGTCCTGTTTGTGACTTGTTTTTGAGCCAAGCTGTAACTAGAGGTGATTAACTAACACCTGTCCCGACCCATCATAGGAGTGTTTGGCGATTGTGTATATTTCTTATTATGAACACCTAGTATTTTATTTTTGTGAATAAGACATTTAATGAAGTGTAAATTACTACTGAAAATAGGCTGCATTTGCATATTTCCAGTCTTTCAGCTTTCGGTCATTGTTGGACCTCGCCACTTTCTTTTTTTAAATTTTAGTGCAAATTCTTCTCCTGTGAAATTGCAGATAGAATATATTGACAATGAAATAGTTCAAACTTCAGGTAGATTGACTGGTAGTAACTCAACATTTCAGTTGTAAAATGTCTTAAATGCTAGAATTATTTAAATGTCAAAAAGCATTTTTCTAGCATTCCCGACAGTGTTTTGGAAACGGATTCTGTTGGACAGACATGACCTTTGGTTTTCCATTGTTATGGTGAAACTGAAAGGGTTTGTCTCTGTACAAGCTAGCATTTCATGAACAAATTATCTTATGCATTGTATCATGACTGTGTATCGCTCTGGCTGAGATTGACAAAGATATACCTTTTGATCATTGTTGGCAAGCTAAGTTGAATCTGCAAGGTCCAGATTCAACTGATTACTAACAGTTAAATCGTCATGGTTACTAGGTAACAAATTGTATCTTTGTCAGTGACATGTGATGAAGTTATTCGAGGGATGTGGAAGACTGAAACCATGGTGATTCTGTCACGATGCATCATGGTGAAAGGCGAGAAACACAGCAATATTTGGGTGTTGTATTGTAGGTGTGTGTCGTATGTTGTAGCCAAACCAGTTACATGTGAAGCAGCACTAACAGGTTCTATACATCTTTTGTATATTAAAATTGTGATGTACCTCATTCTAGGAACAAATTGCACAACTTCTGCATCTATATGTATAATCTTTTCTTCAGAACAGATTCAGGGGCGGTCGGGTAGCCTGGTGGTTAAAGCGTTCACTCGTCACGCTGAAAACCCGGGTTCGATTCCTGACATGGGTACAATGTGTGAAGCCCATTTCTGGTGTCCCCCGCCGTGATATTGCTGGAATATTGCTAAAAGCGGAGTAAAATCAAACTCACTCACTCAGAACAGATTCTTTAGTAATATGTAGAAAAAAATTGAGGTATCTTTATATTTTGTGTCTCATCAATTTCATTTCTAATTCATAAACTGCAATGTCCTACCATTTGTAAGTGGACGTTATGCAGTCAGTAAACATTCAAATCATTACACCCTAAATGGTGCTGGGATGAAAACTGTAGCCTTTTATCCTCGTTCTTTTTTTATATATCTCTGAGCCCCATGACCAAAGAGTTAAGTAATTATTTGTTGTAACTATGGTAACCTGAACCAGCTGATATTTGCTCAAAGCATCTCACCCACTTATGCATAAGGAGTGAATGTGTCAGTTTTAAAAATGGTTCAGTTTTCTTGTCCATTATTCAAAAACATTTTCAATGTGTTGTCTTAGAATGTGATTGGCTTCACTGTTGCTTCCCAACTCACAACATTAACGGATAGATGCTGTTGTTTTGACTGCTGTATTAAGGTAGACCATTCAGACAACCTCCCATATATTTTCATCAACGAAGTATTCTCCATTGTATGCACTCAGAATTAACACAGTTAAAATAATTCTCTAAAGATTCTGAGATATACTCTACTGGCAATATGTCTGCAGTTTCCGCTTGGAATATCCCAGATGTCTTATCTACAACCACTTTCTGACTAGAGTTGTGACCATTATATATACTACTCAAAAGAAGTTAAGGATCACCCGATTCTTTCATAATGGAAAAGTTAATGTCATGACATGATAGATTAACTATAGTAATATGAAAGAACCAGGTGATCCTTAACTTCTTTTGAGTAGTATATAAGACTGCATGAATGTATTGATAGGCCAAGGTAACTAAATATTAACCCAACCTTCTGCTAAAGGTTTGGTTGCTTTAAGTACCAATAACAATTGAAAGTTACAACTCCACATATGTTGTAACCCTGTAGTTCCAAGTTTCTAGCCTTCTAAGGAGGAGCAAGGCTGGCCAAGTGCTGACTATGTAGCTGGACAATGTATAGTCATGGTAGAGCCACCTCAGGAAGTGTTCTGATTGCGTGGTTTGTGTGTGACGTGAGAGCTTGATAGTTGTATCATGAAGAGTGAGAGAGTGATCATTTTTTGTCAACTATCATGTCAAATAAAACTGTCTTAACAGTTACTCAGCCGTTTTGTTATACATTGGTTATTTTGGATGAGAACAAACCATGTGTCACGGACATCTTGTGCTTTCAGTTAAATGCAGCTTAAGGTTACAGCCTTTTCATCGTATAAGAGTCGAGCTTTAGGCCAATTTTCAAGCACATCAGCAAGGGACACCAGATATGGGCTTCACACACCTTACTCATGCGGGACATTGAACCTGGTCTTCAGCATGGCCAGCCCAACACTTTAGCCACTAGGCTACCCAACCAACACATGTTAACTTTGATAACAAAACAAGTAAAACCTTATGAAAAAGACATCTTTTGAAAAGCCTAAAGGAACAATTTCTTCCCTTATTATGTATAGAGTGAAGGAGTTCCGTGATCCTTTACACCAAACAGTTGACACACTTATCTAACAGAAAACATGGTTTTCTATTACTGTAATCAAAACAAAAGCATAAGATGGCAACAATAATTTATTTAGAACCTCTCTGCCGACCTGGAAGCAACACTCCTCATCTGGCCATAAACTTTGGATGGAGGACTCCCTGCAAACAGAGGAAAGGTACAAGCTGTAGATTTTCACTCCGATGCATGCAAATGTGGACAAACGTCACACCAACACTTGAACTTAAAGACATGGAACTTTTTATGGATAACCACTTCTTTATTGTTTGTCATGTTTCAGGACTACTTAGTGACCATTTAATTGTTCAGGTGATGAAAGTGGTTCCCCCATGAGACCAGCATGGGGTACCAGGAACCTATTCACCAACCAGGAGACCAGCATAGGGTAACCAGGGACCTATTCACCCACCAGGAGACCAGCATGAGGTACCAGGGACCTATTCACCCCCCAGGGAGTCCAGCATGGGGTACCAGGGACCTATTCATCCCCAAGGGAGTCCAGCATGGGGTACCAGGGACCTGTTCATCTCCCAAGGAGACCAGCATGGGGTACCAGGGACCTATTCACCCACCAGGAGACCAGCATAGGTAACCAGGGACCTATTCACCCACCAGGAGACCAGCATAGGTAACCAGGGACCTATTCATCCCCCAGGAGACCAGCATGGGGTACCAGGGACCTATTCACCCACCAGGAGACCAGCAAGGGGTACCAGGTACCCTATTTTTACTGCTGATCTTCAGTGTGAGAGTGAGTTATTCCTGTTATATCATGGTGTATCAGCTTAATGTGGGAGGAAAGCCCAAAGTGATGCAGGTCTCAGATGTTTACCACTTTGGTGCAACCCACAAGCATGGGTATGATGCGGACAAACCTAGAATCAGGATTAAAACCCATGATCATACGTTTCTGTTGTGGCCAAGGGACACATCTCTGAATAGCGACTGGGACACCAGTGCCCCTGTGAACTACAGGGTCATGGCACGGTTGAGAGAATATCTTGAACACGTTAACAAAGTTAATGGCATAAACATGTACAGAACATACCCAATATGAGATTGCATATTGCTCTTCTTGCAACCTGGATATTTTGATAGGAACCAAGGATATTCACTTTCCTGTAAAAGTAAAAATAGCATTGATTAAATTAATGAGTAAAACCTCCATCAGATATATTATCTGACCTAAAAAACACCAACATAATTCAAACATATTTATTATGAACAAGTCAGAAGAATCATATTCCAGCATCTTTGATGAAATTTCTTACATTTCAAAAGTATATCACACTCTGGTTAACAAAGATGTCAAAACTTACGTATCAGCTAGGACAATCCTAGTTTTTGTGACATTCTCAATTGTGAATTTTGTCTTGCCATTTTTCCCTGCCAGTCTTCCTATAGCCCTGGCAAGATGGTCACCCTTCAAGGGTTTTACTGAAAAAACAAACACATTATGACATTTAATAAGAATCAAATTTGAAAGACAAACATTTAAGTTGTCAAGAAAACATTTCAGACACACATCATTTACCGAATATGACCGAATATGTATCATCTGAGGTTTGACCAAAATTTATCTGTTACTTAGTTTACAGAATTCTTCTTCAATGCATGCACAACTTTCCAATTATTTTGGAATACTGATATCACGCTCAATATTTTGTCTCTTGCGCTTTCACACTTAACTGAAAGCATGTGAAATACATAAGAATTCTAATTTCATATATTTTTCAGTGTTGTTTCAGATTGGTGCTGGTTTTACATCTTCATTAAACTAGAGCTGTTTGCATTTACTTACACAAACAGAAGCAGCCCTGTCACTGCCATTTACTCAAAGCCTAGAAGTTTTAATGTACCAACATGTACATCCAGTCCAAAAACATTACTTCCAGATCTTGATCTTAACCAAGACAACTTCTTTAAGATCCCCAAAATACCCAAGTCTCAAGAAGTAAAATGGCAACAGTGTAAAAAATGCAAAAGTCCACAATTGACGGACAACTGGATGGACGAAGGACTAAGTGGCAAGACATGAGCTTAATTGACTGTCAGTAGTGGTCAAATTCTAAGAAATACTGTAAGCAGTCCTATTTCATGGGGCGGCTTTTGATATCTTATAAAATAAAACATATTCTTACCATCTGTTACAGAAAATGACTCTAGATACAAATCATCCAGCCTCACAAGAGCAAGGGAATCCTGAAACGATGGGAACATTTATTGAGACCATTTTAAAACATCTTCAATTGCGACATTAATAGAAACCTCAGACAATGCTCATTAAGGGCATACTGTTAACATAATAACATGTACACTGACACATGAAAACAGTATTTATCAACATCATAATAACCTTATTCCAACAATAGTGCCTCATGGGGAAACATGAACTAAACAAATTATATTTACATCTTAAATTTGTCACTGAAATGCATGGTATTTAACTACAAATTCATTAAAAACTTATTAAAGATATAAGTTAACACTTACATCTACTTCAAATCCCAGGGCAAATGCCTTTACAAAGTCTGCAGCTTTCTGGAGAGCACCTATATCTTTTGTTTCCTTGCAAGTCTGTAAAGTTTAGAACATGACATAATTTCAAATGTATATAAGGAGGATACATTAACTCAGGGCTTTACCTTGACTTACGAAAGTGGGGGTCCTCTGGACCCCCAATAACTAATTTTAAGGGTCGTTGCAGGCAATATGAGGGTCCTGGAAAGTAACAAAATGGTGTAGCAACTGTACATCTTAATAATTACTTTAAAGCCTGGAATGAATCAAAGATCATATGGACAGTGGTTATGATTGATGAATGAAATGACAGACATCCATAACTGCTCTTGATGTGCTGTAAGTACAATGAATATTATTGTGTGTCCTTCGGGGTGCAGTATATTCTTTTTTTTCTGAGGCCATTCTCAACATTTGTGTGTACTGGACTCACATTTGTGAGTCACGGAAAACCCTGTTCACTTATTCATTTCAAACTTATTTCAAACAAAGCATAATGATCATGCTAAAAGTGAAACAAGTTTTACTTTTAGGACAATACATGGAACTCCCATTGTTTTGTAACAAATGTAAAAATAACATAAAACTTCAGTTTTGGTTTTGTTCACTTACCTTTATTTCAACATTTCGTGACTTCAAGTTGAACCTGATCTGTAGGTGTAGGTGTTCAACCACTGGTGTAAATATTTTCATCCAGTTTTCCTTGAGTGGAGTATATCTGTTTTGTGGGATGGGAATCTTCCTCATTTCTGTTGAACCACCCTGAAATAGATCCATCACAATGCATATATGTGCTGACTCTTCTGAGCAAACATTCTACTGAGATTAGCAAACCACAGAACTAGTTCTTTAACACAAAGACACTTTATATAAAATGCTACTAATTATCTTAATTACGCTACAGGAGACAGCTAACTTGGTACTGCATACAGATCTACATATCTTACATCAGACAAATCAGGTGTACAGTTAAACCCTGCTAATCTGGATGGTACCATTCCCAGTGAAATCATCTGGATTAACCAATTTCTAGGCCCACAAATCATAGGAAGGCATGACACTTGAACAACTAAGTATGGCACTTCCCAACATTAAAGGCCTGGAAAACAGGGTTTTCCAGATTAACAAGATTTTATGACAGAATGGATAAGGCCAAATCAGGTAACATCAATCTGGTCATGATGGTATCTCCTGTAGCCATGATGGCCCACACCAGCTTATGCACAAGTTACATGATACCATTTGATAAAATGGTGAATTAATGGGTGCCACTCAAAACGGACCACTACCACATACATCATTCTTATCGTTATTAAAAATAGAGGTGCCGATTTCGCAGAGAAATCTGTGCCGTTTTGTTGAGTGCCGTCTTAGCCTGCACCCACTTTCGCCAGTTAAATTCACGGTGCCTTTATGAGACGGTTGGCTATGCTTGGCATTCTGTGTAGGCTGAATCTCCCATCGACATCGAATGTACAAGGGGCGGATACAATACATGTATCAAATTTTAAGATTAAAAATTGTATAACATCATTTTCAATGAAGAGGTTGTCAATGATATTACCATCAATTTATCACTGCTAATGGGAGGAAAACTAGGACGTTTGGGGGCTGACTCTGAAGTATCCATTTCACGTTCTTCTTTTGAATCATCTTCCTTCATCTTTCGTTTCCTTGTTTTTCTTCTCGCTGGTATGAAACTGTCTTCTTGTGGCGTTTGTGACGATTCCATTGAGGAGGTCTGTGATGTTTGTGTATCTGCCATTTTCACGTGTGTTGTAAGAGGAAGTTGATTACTGAGCATGCGCCAACTGAAAGATTTGGAGTCGATTATCCAGACAATTAAAATTACGTGGCACTGGATAAACGAATAGAACAGGTGCCCGTTGACCACGGTAGATTACTCTGATCCATTACAGTAAGAGAATGGGCGACAGAGGTTGGAGGTGGACTGATGCTCATTTTTGCAGCCTCCCCTCGCAGACTAATGTTTATGGATTGACAAGAATAACAGACAGTGAAGGAAATAACAAGTTATTAGTTGCATCTCTTGATGGGAAGGTCATTGCAGTCGAATATCAGACATTCAATAACAGGCTGACGCCATGCACCAAGGAGATTCAGTTCACCTACATTCCAGGTATAGAGGAGTTTGATGTATTTTAGATTTTTTACACATTGTTATATACTATATAGACTGATAGACAGTTAGCCTTTAAATTTTCGTGTACAGTTTTGCCTTAGTTTAGGCCAATTAATAAATCATCTCGTGACCTTTTTCAAAACTAACTGTAGGGAGCAGAGACCATATACCGTATTCAACATAATAAGCGCCCAGGGCGCTCTCAAAATTAGAAATAGGGGGCCCTTATTAGAATATTACTTTGGTGAAAAACAACAGGGTTAAAAGATCGTAAATTTCGTGGTTTATGCTGACAGCCTGAAATGTTTATATACGACAGATATATTTTTCCAGAATCTAATTTCCCACAATTAAGGATGCATATAACACACGTATTATACACGAATAAATAAGTCTTGTGTACATTGATCAAACAGAAGGGGTGCTAATTGGGATTGTTCACTAGCCAATATATTAGCAAATATCTCCGGGGGCGCTTATTATGTCGAATACGGTATATATTATGTGGTCTCTGATAGGGAGGGAGTGTTTTAATAACAGATATTTATTTATTTATTTAGTGGATTATAAATCCATAAAAATATACTTGACTCTACTCATGCTAATATGTCACTTGACCTCTTTCCTGCCATGGCCCCGAAGGGTCAAAGTATGATGAGATTGCCCTGAAGCCATTGTGTCCCCTGCAAATCTGACACTATGAATGGCATGGCATGCAATTGTATGATTCATATTTATCTCTATGCTGTCATGGCAGAATAACAGATGAATATGACAACTGACTAACTCTCTAACAAGCATAATAATGGAATAAGAAATGTCTGAATCTAAATTCTAGAAAGGGAATTTGAAAGAACTGCAAAGATGAAATACTCACTTGCATGTTGATGTTAAGATATCTTATCAGTCATAATCAAATATTCTACATAGTCTTTTAAAAGTATGATTTCATTTAAGGTGATGCTGAAATAGTGTCTGTTGATGTCCTGCGAAGATGTCAAGGAAACAATGGAATCATTGTAGGCATTACCTTTTTAAAGGTGAGATATGACAACATGTACTAAGTTCGCTTGGTATTAGGAATTTCAGTTAGTAACATAAATAACAACAAACATCAATAGCTAAGAGACAAAATGTGCTTAAAGAATGGCAATTAGTAAAATGTTACATACATGCTTTTAGCCATTCATTGATAAATGATATCTTCAGGAAATCAAATTCAAAGTTTTCAGATAGATCTTTAATTGTCCCCCGCCGCGCGAAGCGCGAAGCGGGGGATATAGTATTCACGACCGTCCGTACGTACATCCGTCCGTACGTCCCACCTGTTTGTTGCCGCAATATCTCAAGAACTAAACACTGGATTGTCTTCATATTTGGAACTATGGTGTATATACAGACTCCGCAGACACCAGTCGGTTTTGGTGACCTTGACCCCATTTTCAAGGTCACAGCAGGCAAATCTGCTTTTGGAGTTGGAAAACGGTGTTGCCGCGATATCTCAAGAACTAAACACTGGATTGTCTTCATATTTGGAACTTTGGTGTATATACAGACTCCGCAGACACCAGTCGGTTTTGGTGACCTTGACCCCATTTTCAAGGTCACAGCAGGTAAATCTGCTTTTGGAGTTGGAAAACAGTGTTGCCACGATATCTCAAGCACTAATCGCAGGATTGTCTTCATGTTTGGAACTATGGTGTATATACAGACACCGCAGACACCAGTCGGTTTTGGTGACCTTGACCCCATTTTCAAGGTCTCAGCAGGCAAATCTGCTTTTGGAGTTTGAAAACAGAGTTGCCGCGATATCTCAAGAACTAAACACTGGATTGTTTTCATATTTGGAACTATGGTGTATATACAGACTTCGCAGACACCAGTCGGTTTTGGTGACCTTGACCCTATTTTCAAGGTCACAGCAGGCATATCTGCTTTTGGAGTTGGAAAACGGTGTTGCCGCGATATCTCAAGAACTAATCGCTGGATTGTCTTCATATTTGGTATTTTGGTGTATATACAGGCGGGGGACATTTCGTCACTTCTGTGACAAATACTTGTTAATGTTGTGTTTAAAATATTAATTGTGTCTTAGTTGATAGGATACTTGCAATGGTTATCTTTGTATTCCGGTGAAGAATAGATAATTAAGGCAGTGATGTGTGAGTGTTTTCCTGATAATAGTTTACCATATATTTGATGGTCACATGATGCAGTTGATGGGGATTTCTTACAGCTGCAAGAGGATGAGAAGGAATGTAAGCCAGCCTCTCAGTTCCTCAACCTGTACTCAGCCAGTGAAGTCGGGGACGAGGCCAACTTGGATATTGTTGCTCGTAAGTTGGAGGGTTTCAATTTGATCAAGAAAACAAGCCAAATCACATCACATTATACCATGTGACGGTGTAGGGTATTCCTTCCCTTATCTGCTTATAATGCTTACATAGAGATTATGAGCTGAGTGTGTTTTCATGTTGTAAATGTCATATATTGGGAATAGGAAATGTATAATACTGTAGCGAGCATAAGACATATTTTCCTGGTTTCTGAAGGGCACACTTCAGATGATACCCTGTGATGATGGTTATTACACGAAGCCAGTGATAAATGAACTTGCACACAAATGGACAAATACATGGAAAATTATTATATTAAAATGCATATGCACAATATGATTCACAAAATTGACCTAGGGATTCTGAAACTGAACAGGTATTATCAATCTTAGTGAAAAGGAAAGAGGAAAACTTCCTTATGTTCAACTGCTTATCATCCAGCTCAAGGAGAAATGGCATTTTCAAAGTTCAAAGATGGATCAAGGTTTTTATTTTCTGATGTACACTTAAATTCACCAGGCACACCTCAACATCTTTATGAGCACCCTGGAACACTGGGAGCCAAATACATGTCTATGCCTGAGTGTTAATGTTTATAAGACATGTTAGATGGGTGTGGTGGGTGATTAAACATAGTCATAGTCACTGTGTATTAACTTTGTATACTACACAAAAGAAGTAAAATAACACTCAATTCTTTCATATTAATATAGTTGATCTGTCATACCATGACAGATTAACTATAGTAATATAAAAGAATTGAGTGTTCTTTAACTTCTTTTAGACTTTGATATTAGTGTGTGTGAAAATATATGACAATTTATCTTTTCAGAGGGATGTTTGAGCTTAGAACTGAATTTCATTCCCTACCAGCTTTTACATACTGAGTGAGTTGGTTCTTGATTCTCAAATGTTATGGTTCATTTTGAATTGGCTGTGACTTAACTGTTAGTGCTTTGAAATATATGCTTATAATGTGAAGTTGGTGTCTGACCTGTTGCACAATGTTCAATCTCATTAAAATCAGATCTTAGTTCTCGCTACCGCTAAACAAAGATCTGAAGACATCCCATTAGAGGTCACATTAGAATGACCTTTCATCCGACCAATCAGAGTGTCACGTCCCAGATCATGAAAGTGACAGTCGAAATGTGATTTCTAATCATACAATCTCGAAAACATTAACACAGGATATTCAGAACGATAGATACGGGTTTAACGACTGAATCCATACAATCTAGACCATCTATTAGCCATTCCAGAATGTTCTTTTGTTCAGGTTTCAAATTTGTAATCGAGAATTTGTCAAAATATGTTTCAAAGCGTAGTCGCCATTTTGAAATTAGTGCCGTAAAGCACGAGAAAGCTGCCTTCTGATTGGTCATTCCATTGGTCGATCAAAGTTCGCGCAAGGTTGGTCTGACGTGACCCGTAATTGGATGTCCTCAGATCTTTGTTTAGCGGTTGCGAGAACTAAGATCTGATTTTAATGAGATTGCACAATGTTTGAAGTATGTACAGATATATTATTAGTCATCACTTGAATTCCTACCCAACCATTGTACAAATTATTATGTCATTTGAATAGCTTAGATGTGAAGTTTTTAATTGTTATATCTAGCGGTCAACCATAAACAAAGCCAGGAAGACTATTTTAATTTTCTATTTAATATAGACATGATGGAGTATGGTTTTCTTGGCAAGTGAATTATATAGTGGGCCAGTTATTCTCAACATCTCATGTGGATTTTATCTCATTTAAAACCAGACTTCTTGATGACGATTCTAAAGAAATGGTATTTCTACTCAGTGGAGGAGACAATAAGATCCACATGTATCGAGAGGTATGTATAGATGTAAATGGCTTCTTGTGAACTCTATGACAGAGCTGTTCCCCTGTGACCCGTTCTGGACCTTATTGTTATTGTGGATGGTTGAAACAGTTGCTGAATCTTGTAATTGCTTCCCTTGGATTCCTCAATCAAGACTGCAGCTTACTTGATATAGTCAGACACTATACCTCCAAGCATGGGTAGACTTCAGCTCCGACATTTATTGGTTTGCCTGATACCCATTCTTCAACATTGGTCAGGGGCGGTCGAGTAGCCTAGTGGTTAAAGCGTTTGCTCGTCATGCCGAAGACCCGGGTTCGATTCCCGACATGGGTACAATGTGTGAAGCCCATTTCTGGTGTCCCCCGCCGTGATATTGCTGGATTATTGCTAAAAGCAGCGTAAAACGATACTCACTCACTCACTCACTCACTCAACATTGGTCGGGTCCACAGTCACAAGGTGATAAATAGATAATGTATATACATGTAGGTTGTTTAATCTTTTATTTGTAAGATTGATGCCATTTTTTTAATGGTTAAGTATTTTTTGTCTGGTTTGATACCTCTAATGTGTGGAGCCAGTTAATAATTCACTTCAATATTTTTTGCATTTATGGGTTATAAACATGAAAACTGGTGTACACCTCTTAGCGGATTTACACAAGGCATGCACACTGGTGTTTGTTTATGTTGTTTGTTGTTGTTTGTTTAACGCCGCACTCAGCAATATTCTAGCTATATGACGGCGGTCCGTAAATAATCAAGTCTGAACCAGACAATCCAGTGATTGACATCATGAGCATCCACACAAATGGGATCAATGACATGCATCAACCAAGTCAGCGAACCTGACCACCTGATCCCGTTAGTCACCTCTGACGACAAGCAGAGTCGCTTGTTTATGTTTATAACTCCATGAACACAAAAACATATTGAAGTCAATTCTTATGATAACTTCACAGACTGCTTATTCATTCAATAACACAAAAAACCATGGAGACAACAATATGAAATCAGCCTCATTCTTCGGTGCAATAAGACAACGCAAGCCCCACTCAATCTGTTATCAGCCAATCAGGAAACTGCAGCCCGTTAGAGGTGTGGCTTTATTGTTTTTTGATTTATGGAAAAGTAAATGCAAGAGTAATTGCTTTCTTAACCAATTAAAGCCACAGAATCACTTGCTTGTTGGAATGATAGAGCTCATCGGCATATTCTTTCTTCTGACTCATCCTGGAGGCAATTGTTTTTTTCATATATTCACGATAGTACACACTTAAGTCACTGAAGACATTATGTAAACCAAAGTTCCATGTATTGTTTTTAAGTCTTTCAAGTCACATGGATTTCAAGAAACACCATCTGAGGAATTCTTTCCAGAGTTTAATAATATTCCAAGCAGGTCAGTATATTCAAAATAACATGCCATGTGATAAGGGTTTCTTTACATCAAATTGTTCACTTTATAAATTTTAATTTATTCATTTTCAATTCATATTCATATTCATTTTTTGCAAAGCTTTTCAAAAGATATCAAGAATATATGATAAGAATTACGGAATGACGACGCATTGTTTGGAGTTGTCTCATTTATTAGACGATTGTTCATTTTGTTGCAAGTGTACTGCAGCTGAGTATTAGTTATCTGGACAACTACAAGAGACGGCTCACTGTGATGGGACATCAGAATGGCCTTGTCCAAGTAGCTTATGTCAATGTTACAGCCAAAGGTAGGTAACTCTGTCAGTATGTCAATGTTACAGCCAAAAAGGTTTTTAACTCAATATTCCTCTGTTAAAAGCAAAGGTAAGTCTGTCAGTGTATTGTGTCATGTGTAGGCAATCCTCCTAGGAATTTCTTTGTTTATCTTCATCATAACGCTGATATTCTCTAATGACTCTTCACTAAAGTAGTTACCACTTCTTGTGTGATGATCTCTGTAGATGACACAATAATTTTTGATTGCTGTACAGAGTATCCCATAGACATACCAGAATTCTCTCGTTCTTCTGACGGGAGCACGGGTGGCCCAGTCGTCTAAGGCGCCGCGATTCGCTGTGCAGAGTTGCGTCCCTTGGGCACGCCAGAAGCCTATGATTGTGGGTTCTAATCCCGGTTCGCCCCATTTATGTTTCTAGGTTTGTCAGCACCATACCCGTGCTCGTGGGTTTCACCAAAGTGGTAAACGTCTAAGACCTGCATCACTTCTGGCTTTCCTCCCACATTAAACTGACACGCCGTGATATAACTGGAATACTGTTAAAAGCGGCGTTAAACCCAACTCACTCACTCGTTCTTCTGACACTGACAATCTGTGATCAGTGAGTGATTCGTGAGTTGTTAAGGCATGCCAGAAACCTGCATATCTTTGGCTTTCTTCCAACATCAACATGATCAAGCTGACATGCAGTGATATAACTGGAATACAGTTCAGAGCAGCATTAAACCCAACTCGCTCACTTACATCTGATCACATCTATGAAAAATGTGCATCAAAGTTATTTCTCACTCTGTTTTCTTGTCAGAGGTACTTATTTCCTGGTCAACAGAGCATGACAGCCCCATCACCAGTATCAGGCTCTTCACAGCCAAGAACCACGTCGCCTGTCCTTCCTTCCTCGACTTCTTCAATGGTAATATTCAAAATGTTTCTGATATTCTTTCAGGTTTTCAGTGAGACATTAGGTAGCCCCATGGTTCAAGTGTTTGACTAAAATGGTTAAAGCATGGTGTTATTCATTCACATGGGTATAGTTTGTTAAGCCTGTTTTTGACTTCTTTTGTGATGATGAAGCTACTTAAAGGTGTGAACGTATTCATTAACTAAACTAAGGCCTGTCTGTCATAAAGAACAAACGCATAGGATAATTTTAGTTGCATTCTGACCAGAAACTGATGGCCCTTGACTCTCGTAATATTTGAATACTTAATTTCGAAACCTTTGTACTGTGACAAAGCCACACAGTGTTTAATGGATAAAACCTATGCCACTTTTATTAACATAAAATAGCTTCAAAAATAGAGAGGGGCGGTCAGGTAGCCTAGTGGTTAAAGCGTTCGCTTGTCATGCCAAAGACCCAGGTTCAATTCCCGACATGGGTACAATGTGTGAAGCCCATTTCTGGTGTCCCCCGCCGTGATATTGCTGGAATATTGCTAAAAGCGGCGTAAAACCATACTCACTCACTCAAAAGTAGAGAGCTATATAATGATCATTTGAAACGTAAATATTTTCATCCATTGTGTCATGCTTGACACTGCCATCTGTAAATTGTCAGTGTGCCAAGTATTTTCTGTGGAAAAGATGGCTTATTCATCACAGATAAGAGCACATCGTATATGATGTATCATGATATGTATCGGATTGTGAGCAAGGTCTCGTGATACGTATCGGATCGCACAGTTGGTGTATCGTCCCAGCCTTGGTACAAGGTAATGGGTTGTTCCCCGGAACTCCTTGTTATGACCCCTAAGATGTTCAGACAGGATGGCACTCAGCTCCAGGGAATAATCTATCAGTGTTACTTTCACTTTGTGTGTCTTTATTTGATAACGTGCAATTTGTTCGTCTGTCTTCAGAAGAAAGTGCGCGTGAAGAAGAAGAACAGTTGGCCAACTACAACCTGTTGGTTACCAGTGCTCTTGAGCCTGCAGTAGTGTACAGGTAACTTGTACTCACAGTCCTACACAGAGATACTTGGTGTCAGGGAGTTGGCTTATATGCTACATTGAACAGTATTTCAGCTACTGTATTCACCATCATAAGGGCCTTGGGGAATTAGAAAATTGATAAAGAGGGAAGCTACGGTATATATATTTGTTGGCAGTAATATGGTAGTAGGGGGCATTTATATAGAATGTACTTTAAAGAGAGAACTATGTAAATGCCACATTGAACAGTATTTCAGCTACTGTATTCACCATCATAAGGGCCTTGGGGAATTATAAAATTGATAAAGAGGGAAGCTACCGAATATTGTAGTAGGGGGCATTTATATAGAATGTACTTTAAAGAGAAAACTATGTAAATGCTACATTGAACAGTATTTCAGCAACCATATTCACCATCATAAGGGCCTTGGGGAATTAGAAAATTGATAAAGAGGGAAGCTACGGTATATATATTTGTTGGCAATAATATGGTAGTAGGGGGCATTAATATAGAATGTACTTTAAAGAGAGAACTATGTAAATGCCACATTGAACAGTATTTCAGCTACCGTATTCGCCATCATAAGGGCCTTGGGGAATTATAAAATTGATAAAGAGGGAAGCTACGGTATATATATTTGTTGGCAGTAATATGGTAGTAGGGGGCATTTATATAGAATGTAATTTAAAGAGAGAACTATGTAAATGCTACATTGAACAGTATTTCAACTACCGTATTCACCATAATAAGGGCCTTGGGGAATTAGAAAATTGATAAAGAGGGAAGCTACGGTATATATATTTGTTGTCAGTTAAATGGTAGTAGGGCGCATTTATATAGAATGTAATTTAAAGAGAGAACTATGTAAATGCCACATTGAACAGTATTTCAACTACCGTATTCACCATAATGAGGGCCTTGGGGAATTATAAAATTGATAAAGAGGGAAGCTACGGTATATATATTTGTTGGCAGTAATGAGGCAGTAGGGGGCCTTTTTATAGAATGTACTTTCAAAATGTTTGTGAGGGGGTGCTTACTTGCTTGCTTGAGCAGGGCTCATGATACAGTGTATCAAGGTATGTCCGTTTAATGTGGAGGAAAGTCACAATAGGTTGTACTACACCTTGTAGATACCGTCGGGATACAATGTTAGAATTTGTCCCCAGTAATCTATGCTGGTCGTAGCAGGCAACTTAATCATGTTAATGGATCGGGTGATCAAGCTCAGTGAATTGGTGAATGGAGTATCAGAAATAGCTGGTGTTAAGTAATATTAAACCACGCACGCATGCATGCCGCACGCACACACGCACGGCCTTATGTGAAGCAGATTACAGTAGAGAGAAGTTTGTGTCTCCTCACAAAAATATTTCTTTATCTTAATATGCAAGGCTCAGCAATAGGAAAGAACATCTATTTCAGGAATGTCCTGATCACTGGCTTTGAAGACATCTTGTCACTCCCCAACAGTGAGAAGTTTGACAGCACACTTTGTTCTTGTGTAGTGGACATAGACTTCGACGGGGAGAACGAGCTGCTTGTAGGAACATATGGACAGGTAGGCTACACGATATCAGAACATTGTCATGACAGAAGAGTGAGAGTGTGTTGTCAATCAGCTGCTCTTTTGTTTGTAAACCTTTTGATGTTAGGGAAGAGAATTTTATGGATGTCAACTTCTTTATTAGAAGGAACACAACATTTCAGAGTATAAACTTATTAAATCATCAGGTGAAATATATACTCCAAAATGTTTGGTTCCTCATAATAAAGAAGTTGACATCCATAAAATTCTCTTCCTTATGTGTATCACTTCTCAATGCCTTTCAAAGACTTTTGATGTTATAGTCTTTTAGGAAGTGTGCTAAGACAACACAATTCAATGTGGGTTCGAATCCCGGATGGCCCTGATTATGTTTCTAGGTTTGTCAGTACCAGTAAGCAAGTCACAAAGGTAGAGGTGTTTGTTGATACTGGGATGACCTTACCTGTATGTCATGAGTCATGCATTCTATATCCTCACAAAATAAGTAAAGACCACCCACTGTTGGAAGGCAGTGTGATGCAATACCCACCAGCCATGACAGATTAGCTAAAGTCATATGAAACTAATCATGTGTTCTTTAACTTCTTTTGAACAGTATATATTCACAATCAACTTTCTGTTTAATTACAACAGGAACTTCTAGCATACAAGTATTTTGAAGAAAACCAGCACTTTGACACTGACAGAAAATACAGCCTATCAGATATCACCATTAAGGCTGGAAGCAGCCAATCAAATACTCCGTCACATACATCATCCACACCAGAGAGGACTCTGAACCAATTAGAGGAGTTAAACAAACAGAGGCACAGATCGGATGAATCTAACTCCCAAGCTACCAGTGTGAAGGATGCTCAGCCAACCAGGAAGGCAAAGTCGCAGGAGGATCTGTTTGTGTCTGGGCATGGTGTGAAGGAAGAACAGGTTCAACTGGAAGAAGACGTCCAGCCTCCATTTAACCCTGCAGGTTTTCAGTTACTTTGGCAACGGAGTTTTCCAGGGCCTGTGGTTGGGTTGGATAGACTGGACATCATGGGGGACGGCATGGATGACCTTGTAGTGGTCACTCTGAAGGGGATGCATATACTGCAGGTGGGTTTCATACTGAAGTAAGGGTGAAACGATACACCGATATTCTGATCACGATACTTGACCCACGATATATCGATACGCCACGCAAAAGTATAGTGTTCCCTCGCTATTGCACCCTTCAATATAGTGCAATATAGCGCAGGGTAACACATCACTGCCAAAACTCACATACATTTTTTATAAGCTCAAGTTTTACCCTGACACAATGTTTTTCCTCATCTCAAAAATCATTATCAGCTGTTCACCACGAGCAGGTAACACCTGAAATACCAGTCAACAAATCCGACTAAAGTACGCAATTCAGTCCCATTATTATACTATCTGGTTATAAAAATTTGTTCATTGTATATCTGGACTTATATTTGTAATATATTTTATTATACCTGCTCGTTCACCTGAATTCTCTGAAGGAATACAATGTGGTTTTTTTTAGGCACATAACACTCGATAAATACTTTTTTAACTATGAATCATAAACCACTACTATTCTTATCTTTTTTCAAACTCTGAAACGTACATTATAGATCGTATTAGGCAGAGCATGTACTGTTGTGTTGGTCATCTGCACCCTCCGTCGTACATCCTTGACATATATTGGATCAGCAACAGCATACTGCAACAATGGTGGACTGTTGTACATGGTAGATATATATTGTATCAGCAACAGCATACTGCAACAATGGTGGACTGTTGTACATGGTAGATATATATTGGATCAGCAACAGCATACTGCAACAATGGTGGACTGTTGTACATGGTAGATATATATTGTATCAGCAACAGTGTACTGCAACAATGGTGGACTGTTGTACATGCTAGATATATATTGTATCAGCAACAGCATACTGCAACAATGGTGGACTGTTGTACATGGTAGATATATATTGTATCAGCAACAGCGTACTGCAACAATGGTGGACTGTTGTACATGGTAGATATATATTGTATCAGCAACAGTGTACTGCAACAATGGTGGACTGTTGTACATGGTAGATATATATTGTATCAGCAACAGTGTACTGCAACAATGGTGGACTGTTGTACATGGTAGATATATATTGTATCAGCAACAGCATACTGCAACAATGGTGGACTGTTGTACATGGTAGATATATATATTGTATCAGCAACAGCATACTGCAACAATGGTGGACTGTTGTACATGGTAGATATATATTGTATCAGCAACAGTGTATTGCAACAATGGTGGACTGTTGTACATCCTGGTAGATATATATTGTATCAGCAACAGCGTATTGCAACAATGATGGACTGTTGAACATACAGATAGATAGATATATTGTATCAGCAACAGCATACTGCAACAATGGTGGATATAGATATCATATAGACCAACTGTAAGACTTTGATAACTGTATGTTGCAGCCCGATCTAGGGGAAGTGGCGGAGGTGTGTCGAGAACGACTGCGTGGCTTGTGTGACTCCAGCTCCGAGCCTGATGATGCCTACCACAATCTACAAAAGGAGACTTTCGGAAGGTGACAGTGACTACCAGGGAGATGTCAACAAGTTTCCGTTTTCAATTAACAATTTGTAAATACATCACCAAACGTCAAATCTAAGGCATTGTATGTGCGTTCCTTGCCAAGCACAATGCTATACTGATAAGTTAGGATCATTCTAGTCATGTTTGTGTTATGTCTGAGACAAGTAGAAAGGGTTTCTATCATGTAAATATGTATATATGTAGAATCATGTAAATATGTATACATGTAAAATCATGTGAATATGTGCTTATGTGCTTATGTAGAGAAAAATGTGATCAAAGATTAACGGGAGATGAGGCCCCTCAATTTGCTGTCTGTATGTCTAGATGTTACTGGTAGATTGATCAAGATGAAACTTGAGGTACCAGGCAGGTACAGTGTCTTTAAGAGACTTGGGTTGAACTGCGGGGACTTCTGATTGAGCAAAGTTTCATGTAAAAGCAGAAAAAAGAGGTTCTCTGGTCCGTGTATTTTATTGATATTGAAGACAGTAGACCTGAACACCCCAACTACCTTGGTTACATCAGTAGACAACCGGAATGGGCTTCTTTGCCTAGTAAGAAGTAATTGTTTAAAAGTTAGTTAGAGCTGGACAAGTACAATGTGCTGTGCGGTGTAACAACATGCTCAGCTGGCTGGCTAGGTAAAACAATGGAAATAAATCAATCTTATTAGGATATGGTTACCATGGTTACAGTAAAGTGACGTATAAAAATACTTCTTAATCATGAATGTTTACAAACTTTCTCAAACACAGATGGAAACTGCTGAAGATAATATAAGTAAAAGTGGGCGTCTGACAGCTACTACACTCCCCTGCTTACATGTTGACAAAACGTCAATACAATGCGAATTCATGGTAAACATGAAACATATACAATAATGTTTCCCAAAATATGTACATAGAAAAATGTATGATTATAACTGTAAATTATGAGCACCACTGTTCATCAAATGAAATTCCATCTCAGATTTCATCACTTCTGGACAGACTCTGATAGCTGATGAACCAGAAGTAACTGTATCCTAGTGATGTTGGCGATCAGAGATGGATCCAACTGCTTTGTTGTGCTGCTGCTATAAGCAGGAGAAGTGACCTTGGTGAGTTAAGAGGGTTGGGTGTTTTCCAGCTGTTGTCCTGGTGGATCTCCATGTTGTCTCCAACTCAGAAGCTTCTGCCGCTTTTCCTCCCCTGCTTCATATGAAGCATTACTCTCAGACTCTTTATCATCTTGAAGTTCCGGTGATGTGTCTTCTTCACCAAGAGGAGTGGTCGGGTAGCCTAGTGGTTAAAGCGTTCGCTCGTCACGTCGAAGACCCGGGTTTGATTCCCGACATGGGTAAAATTTTTGAAGGCCATTTCTGGTATCCCCAGCCATGATATTGATGGAATATTGCTAAAAGCGGCTTAAAACCATACTCACACACTCGCTCACTCACTCTCTTCACCAAGAACGTCTAAAGCTGGAGCTTCATCCAGACCCACAGACTCTACATCATCTGTGTTCTGTTGCACTTTCCCGCTCTTGGTTTGTTTCGACACCAAGGATTTTACTAAAGATATGTATATCATATTCACTTTCAATTTCATCATTGTCTTCTTCGCTGCTCAGCTCCACGTGATCAGGGCACAGTTGTACAAACTGATCTTAGTGCCAAGGTGATCGTAACTCCCATACATAACATAGACTTACAACAACCGTAGCGCTAAGGTTGTTTTGTACAACGGCACCCTGGTAGTTAACTGACACCGTTCCTGTTCATGTTCTCTGTGGATGTCATCCACTGGCGTTAGTGATCCAGGAACTCTTTTCCGTGTACATCTTCCTGAGGCAAGGAAGTTAAGTAACTATAAAAGTCCCGTTTTAAACCCTTGCCGAACTGGGTTGGAATTCTGTGCAATTCGTAGCAACAACAGTGGCTACTACGAGTTATATCCCTTTCATGTCCCTCCTACTGGCCAATCAGATTCCACCTCTCATATCACTTGCATTTTCTTCAAACAAAATGGTGCCGCCAAGTCAATACAATCTGATTAATAATCAAGATCTATATTGTAATAAAAGGGGTCTTACCTTGCGAAGTGCATCAAATTACTGGAGAACCTTGATTGAAAACATAAAAAGATTTGAAAAATATCTCAACTTCCTACACATGCTTAGCTAATCCTGCAATTGACTGAAATCTGCACTGCAGTTTGCAAACCAAATGTCGATTTCGTTACATGATTTTGATTGCATAGATTTGTTAGTCCAGCCAAAATATTACTCCATAATTCCAGCCTTGTTCAGCAAGGATGGAAACTGGACTTGTATAGTTAACCCCTTGCTTTGGGAAGATGTTCTGTGTATTGTTTTCTGACTTCCTCCCCTTGTAGTGGCTGAATGACATTTTCATTGAGTATTTTCTTTACCACTACTTTGTATGATGTTTGGCTCCATACATCTTGAATCTTGTTCCGGCCTTTGGGGTGGTTTCTGAGGAAGACTCTTGCTCCTATGGTGAGTTCTTTGTCCTTGGAACTCCATACTGTACTTGACCAACGTACAATCTACCCTGGCTATAACATCAACATTTGTCCGGGAAGATTTGGGTGTTATAACCTGGGTGGCAAATTAACCAGGGAAGCCATTATAATCAGTCAAAACCAAGTCATATATGAATACATGTACATTTAATAACTCAGTGTAGTGTAGGGAGATCTTTATTCATTCAACAAGTACATACATATGTAATAGAAAATAAATAAGTTTTAGTCTGTTTTCAGTCGTACAAATGGGTATCTCTCATACTCTCACGTCTAGTCGCACGTTTAAAAGGAAGCCAGAAGCTGGAATGTAAACATTAAACTTGTTTCTGTCCAGTTGCGCATGGACCTGCCTATGATATGTCACAAATCTCGAAGAATAAGCCATCAAGCAGGACTGGACTGGATTACTTCCCTGTGGGGATGGCTGAGTGGGAAAGTATGACTGAAAACAGACCAATAAAACATTGTTTTTAATCTGAAAAACCCATTATTCATATTATGTGTGCACTAGATGAACACTGTGATGCTACTGTCATCCTGGCATTCGTTGTGGCTCAAAGAAGTGACACGTTGTTGTTTGTTGGCAGGTGATAAGAAAGTAAGTGTGTCAATAATATCTGCACACATTTTCATATTACAGGAAACCACGAAAGTATGTGGCCACTTGGTGAATTGAAAAAATGGCGGGAAACAACAATACGCCTGTAAATTAATGTGACTAGAGCCATAAACAAGAGATAAACATTACCAATTATGAATGGGAAGACCCCCAAGGTAACAAACCATAAACAAAATAGCAGCATACGATGAATGTAGAAACACACAAAGTATAGAACAAAGTGCTTTAATTTTCAAAGTATGTCCGTCTGTGGAGATGACAAAGCAGTTATGTGTTTTGATGTGACGTCACAACTTTTTGTCTTATGCCAACTTGGCAAGGGTGCTTCTTCTTCTGGTTGGAACAACTTTTCTTCAGCAGCTGGATCTCGCACAGTTCGTCTTTCTGTCAAAAAACTGCAATAAATGCAGGATAGGTATACAAATGTACAAAATATTCAGATTTGACTAAATCTCTTGCCATAAAGGGCCACATACACCTACTGTGCAACGAGGAAAATGTCCTAGTAGAACACTGATGTCCATGGTCATCATGCACTGACTTCTACACCTTTGTCTTCAAGCAATCGCGTAGTAAGAGCTGCTTGACTACTGTTGCCTTTTCCTGTATCTGTCAATACAGGACATCTTTGCCCTCCGCTATCTGATTCCAGAACTGGACCAATCCCCATGTCCCAGAGTGTTCTCTGAGAAGTTGATGCTTAGATAGCTTTAAGTCTTTGTCCCGGTAATTTCTAATTTTGCCAATGTAGTTTTCCTCCATCTGTAATTTGGATATATCCTCCAGTGACAGTGAGGGCATGTGAGTGGCCATCATAGGAACTTCTCTCATCATTGTCTGGAATACTCCTACCCACATTTCAGTGATGATTTGTGCAGAAGACATTAAGTCACCCAGGAGTTGTGCGGAGGTATTTTTCTGCTGAGGGGTCTCTATTCTTGTTTTGTTTTCCAGAACGATGACGGATAGTGAGGTTAAATTGTGCCAGTTCTCCAACCCATCTGATCTCTGTATCTCCAAGCTTGGCAGTTGTTTGTATGTAAGCTGAGAGGGTCATAGTCTGTCAGCAACAGGCATTCTGTTCCAAGCAAGAGATCTCTGTATGTTTTACCTTACCTGATGCTATACCTATAGCACTGTGTAGCACTGTGCAGCGTCAGGTTAGAATAAATACATTGCATGCTCATGTTTTACCTTACCTGACGCTACACCTATAGCACTGTGTAGCACTGTGCAGCATCAGGTAAGAATAAATACATTGCATTCTCATGTTTTTCCTTACCTGATGCTACCTAGTGCTACACAGTGCTATAGGTGTAGCGTATAAAAGTATCAATTTCCTATCAATTTCTCCCTTGGCAACTGGAATATGGTTGAAACCATGTGCCAGGTCCAGGCTGCAAAAGTCCTTTGCATCTTTCAATAGATCTAATTCTTCTTCATTCCTGGGCAGAGGATAGGCATCTTTGTGTGTCTTCGCATTTAATTAGAAATGCTCATTTTTCTGAGACAGCCCATTTGAGTGCTAATAATTCCTACTTCTTGCTGTAAATGTTCAGCTGACTGACCCACTCCTCTACTGGACCGTCAGGGGCGGCCACCTTCGTCAGTTGTCTACAAGAAGGACATGGAATGGACTTGTCTTGTATTGCATCAGACTGTGTGTTGGTCTATTTCAGCAGACAGGAGTTACAGAATGTTTGATTACACTGAAGTGTGGCAGGATCTGTGAACACCTGTACAGATGACACAGGTGAGGTGATTGTCTGTCAGTTTCTTAGCGGTCGCCATCTGAGGTAAAGCCATAAACCTAGGTGAGGTGGTTGTCTGTCAGTTTCTTAGCGATCGCCATCTGAAGTAAAGCCATAAACTTAGGTGAGGTGGTTGTCTGTCAGTTTCTTAGCGATCGCCATCTGAAGTAAAGCCATAAACTTAGGTGAGGTGATTGTCTGTCAGTTTCTTAGCGATCGCCACCTGAAGTAAAGCCATAAACTTAGGTGAGGTGGTTGTCTGTCAGTTTCTTAGCGATCGCCACCTGAAGTAAAGCCATAAACTTAGGTGAGGTGGTTGTCTGTCAGTTTCTTAGCGATCGCCACCTGAAGTAAAGCCATAAACTTAGATGAGGTGGTTGTCTGTCAGTTTCTTAGCGATCGCCATCTGAAGTAAAGCCATAAACTTAGGTGAGGTGGTTGTCTGTCAGTTTCTTAGCGATCGCCACCTGAAGTAAAGCCATAAACTTAGGTGAGGTGGTTGTCTGTCAGTTTCTTAGCGATCGCCATCTGAAGTAAAGCCATAAACTTTCCCTTGTTCTTGTTCTTTTGAAAGGGCAGTTCCTATCCCAGAAAGCCGGCATCCACCTCCAAAATATATTGCCTCGTAAAGTCTAAGTCAGGCGCTGAAGTGAGAATGGTTTTCAGTTCCTAAAAGGCTTTGTCGCAGGAGGCATCCCATTCACTGATCCCAAGTCTTAAAGTTTATTTACTTTCTCCTCTTCCCATGTCTTTTAAAGTTTATGCCTTGCAGGAGTGCATGTAGTGATGCAGCTATAGTGGTGAAATCCCACACAAACCTCCTATAGTAAGCTGCCAATCCAAGAAATCCTCTTACTTTTTTTCGGCTATTTGTTAATAGATTATTAATGCTAAGGCCCAAATGGCAGAAACGTCACTACCCAACCACAGCTGCGGGTCTAAATGGGAGCGAACGCCGCCAGGCCAAATTTAATTATTAATATATACTTAATGCTACGGCCCAAATGACGGAAACGACGCAACCCGACCAACGCTGCGGGTCTAAATGGGAGCGAACGCCGCCAGGCCCAGCTATGTTACTAGATTCCCGAGTGAAAACCCGGGAAAGACTGGGTTCCAAATGGTAAGAAGGTAACCCAGCCTGGGTTCCCGCTGGAAAGCAGGTAACCGGAAACCCTAATTAGTATATATATCAATATAAATTATGATGATATAGGAGGTAGCCCAGAAGAACCACGCCACTTAGCACCAAAGTGCTACCCCACACCCCACGGCCGCGGATGATGATACGCATGCCCGCCATGATTGCCTCATAAATAAGATGTCTTACCTTCATAATTACCTACTTGCAAATTGGGACCAAGGCACTATCGATATCCTTGACGAAAGCTTGAATCCCTTTAAAACTAAGGTGGATTCCCTCCCACTGGAACCAGGATTGGTCAGTGGCCACTATTTTGGGATGGGAGATAAATGAGAATTTAGGAAGGTCGCGGAGACGATTGGCTAACCTTACGTGGGTCGCGTGCGGAGTGCCAGTATCTACGTTGTAGGATGCTGGAAAAACAGACATGGGTATCTGGTAGGTGCGCCTGGATCCGCATGATCGAGGTCTCCATATTGAGGAGGAGCTGGCTGGTCTTTGTGGAGCCCAAGTCGTTAGATCCCAGGTGTATTACCACAGCTGAAGGGCTGCGCCGCGTTGCCTCCACCTGAGCATTGATTGTTGCCTGTGCGCCGGTCAGTCCAAAGGGCTTCCTTGTCTATTCCTAAAGTCTGCTTGTACCTATCCAAAGAATAGTCTTTCTCCCTCGGCAACTGGAATATGGTTTAAACCATGTGCCAGGTCCAGGCTACGTGTCATCTTTGCATGTTTTCGCTTTTAAAGCGCAGTCGTCGTACCAGATTACCATTACTCTTGCCGACAAGGACCACTGGCGAGGCATTAGGACTTGAAGATGCCCTTATGATCCCAGACTCTTGTACCTTTGCGAGATATTCTTTGACTTACAGGGTTACATTCTTGTGCCTAACTGCATCGCAAAATCCGATGACTTCATCGCAAAAGCTAAAAGTGTTGTGATGTTTGAAAACAACTTCAAGCAAATTTCATGATACTGGTTGCTGATGTTCTTGTCCAGATCCATCTTTTACATGATATGGGTGGCAAAATATATTATTCCATATCCTGTACACAGATGAACCGGTACAAGCTAAAATAAATAAACAATAACACTCATAAGTAAAAGTGTAAACAAACAAACAAAACAATAACAAATAAATCAAATTAACAAAAAATAAACTTACCTTTAAATTATCAATGTAATAGTGAAAATGCACCTTTAAATTACACCACCGTCCCCGTTACCCCCAGATCATTTGTACTTACCCCTCGCATGCCAGTAAAGCTCTGAGAAGTATCTTGGGCCATCCGTTAGCCTAGCATATCCAGTATGTTGTTGAGTTGGCTCGATATAGCTAGCATCGACCAAAACGGGCGACACTACTTGTTGGGGCTCTTCGATGTTGTCTCCGTGATCGACTCGCTGGAGAACGTTTGAATTGTCCGAATCATCTGCTTCAACTAGCAAATTAGCGGCTATTTGTACATTTGGCAAGGGGGTCCATGCAATGGAGATCTAGCTGATCTCCGTGACTTACCAGTAGCCGATGGGACCAAGGCATTATCGATATCCTTGACGAAAACTTGAATCCCTTTAAAACTAAGGTGGATTCCCTCCCACTGGAACCAGGATTGGTCAGTGGCCACTATTTTGGGATGGGAGATAAATGAGAATTTAGGAAGGTCGCGGAGACGATTGGCTAACCTTACGTGGGTCGCGTTCGGAGTGCCAGTATCTACGTTGTAGGATGCCGGAAAAACAGACATGGGTATCTGGTAGGTGCGCCTGGATCCGCATGATCGAGGTCTCCATATTGAGGAGGAGCTGGCTGGTCTTTGTGGAGCCCAAGTCGTTAGATCCCAGGTGTATTACCACAGCTGAAGGGCTGCACCGCGTTGCCTTCACCTGAGCATTGATTGTTGCCTGTGCGCCGGTCAGTCCAAAGGGCTATTCCTAAAGTCTGCTTGTACCTATCCAAAGAATAGTCTTTCTCCCTCGGCAACTGGAATATGGTTTAAACCATGTGCCAGGTCCAGGCTACGTGTCATCTTTGCATGTCTTCGCATTTAAAGCGCAGTAGTCGTACCAGATTACCATTACTCTTGCCGACAAGGACCACTGGCGAGGCATTAGGACTTGAAGATGCCCTTATGATCCCAGACTCTTGTACCTTTGCGAGATATTCTTTGACTTACAGGGTTATAATCTTGTGCCTAACTGTATCGCAAAATCCGATGACTTCATCGCAAAAGCTAAAAGTGTTGTGATGTTTGAAAACAACTTCAAACAAATTTCATGATACTGGTTGCTGATGTTCTTGTCCAGATCCATCTTTTACATGATATGGGTGGTAAATACTTTATTCCATATCCTGTACACAGATGAACCGGTACAAGCTAAAATAAATAAACAATAACACTCATAAGTAAAAGTGTAAACAAACAAACAAAACAATAACAAATAAATCAAATTAACAAAAAATAAACTTACCTTTAAATTATCAATGTAATAGTGAAAATGCACCACCGTCCCCGTTACCCCCAGATCATTTGTACTTACCCCTCGCATGCCAGTAAAGCTCTGAGAAGTATCATGGGCCATCCGTTTGCCTAGCATATCCAGTATGTTGTTGAGTTGGCTCGATATAGCTAGCATCGACGGAATGGGCGACACTACTTGTTGGGGCTCTTCGATATTGTCTCCGTGATCGACTCGTGGGAGAACGTTTGAATTGTCCGAATCATCTGCTTCAACTAGCAAATTAGCGGCTATTTGTACACTTGGCAAGGGGGTCTGTGCAATGGAGATCTGGCTGATCTCCGTGATTTACCAGTAGCAGATGTCGCTTGCTGGACACTTGGTTCCCCCCTGGATATTTTCCCGCTCCTTACGAGGCGGTGATTTAAGGCGGCCCGTCTTTTTGGTGGCATTCTTAATGGTAATTGCAACAAACTATAGATGAATGCGGGAATAGAACTATGTGTTGTACGGCTGAAAGCTGGAGAACAAGTGCTACGTGAGCTGATGTCACGCTACAAAAGGTCATAGAAAATATAAACAAACGCTCCTATACCGGACGTGCCAAGAGCGGATCTAGGCCAGAGATGATGGCACCATGCAAAACAGCACGTAGCCGCACTGAATGAAGGTATTTAGCTGTAATAATATTAGCAACTGTGCGAAGCCTGACATAAAGGCATTTAGTTCTAATCACTAATTTATACCAAAATATTATACCTTGTACATTTAAATATACAAACAAAATTACAAATACTCCATCGCCATAAGTAATAAATCCTTTGTGATTCCTTTTAAAATCTTCCATGATTTCTTGGAATATTTCAGATTTCAACACATGTCTTCTTTAGAGAACATGCAGTATTGAATGACAGGAAGTAACTTTAAAATCAGGAAGATACCCTGAGCATTTTGACAGGGATGTTTAACCAGGAAAAATAACAAAAATACCGAAAATATAGTAAAAAGAACAAAAGTTGAATATTTATAATACCAAACTGAAGTGAATGAATTTCTTTGAATAAAAAATTAAAATACCAAAAATTCAAATGTCAAAATAGAAGTAACATTCACTCTTGTCATGCAACAGGAAACTTTGACCCTGGAACCGCTGTTTGTTGTTGATTAGCTCCTCTGCGGTATTCCAATGTGAAGCATGATTTGCTGGATTGTTTTGTGATTCAACATGTCTCCAGGATTCTGGCGATGAAGCATCTTATATCTGGGCTACTCTCTTAGCAACAAAGGTTTGATATCTGACAGAGTCATTCTTCACATAATGTTGGACAATCATACTATCTGTCCAGAATGTAGATTCGTCAATGTTGATCCTGAGCTCTTTACATAGCACCTGGCCCAGCTTCACACTTAGCACTGCAGCACTGAGTTCCAGTCATGGAATTGTAATGCTTTTGATTGGAGCAAGTCTTCATTTCCCGATGAGGAACACACAGTGTAACTGTCCATTGATGTCAGTCATCCTCAGATACAAAACAGCAGGGTATGAAACTCCCAAAATTTTCAGCCAGACCACAGGACTGGCTAGCTGAAATACTTGCCAGCCCTGACCAAAACCTGCCTGCCCACTATAATCATATGTTTCTGAGGATAATTTAATTAAAACTTTAAATCGAATTCATTGAACATGAAGTGATGCAAGAAAAGAAATAGCAAACACTTTTTAGGTCAGATTTGTATTTGATATCCTAGAATACATCCTGTAAATGATGCTTATCATCAGGAAATATTTAGAATATTTTTACATATGAAATGTAACCCGACCGTCGGGCAGGGGGATTTGAAAATCTGGCAGCCCGAGTTGAAATTAACCCGTCTTGGACGGTCGGGCAGGCAGGTATTTCGAACACTGAAAACAGCACCGTATTCAGCTGAAGATGCATCAGTAAAGTGATGTAGCTCTGCTGATATCACATTGTCATCAGGCACAACACATCTTGGTATAGCAAGTCTCTGAAATGATGACAACTCTGATAGCCATGGTCTCCATCTCAAGAGATTCACAGGTTCCAGAAGAATATCCCAGCCTTTCTGAAGTCCACTTTCATCTTGGAATATCAGCTTGGCTTTCAGGATCAGAGGAGATAGGAAGCGATTGGATCGAACACTGAAGTGAATATACTGATCATGCCCCTGTTTGTTGCTGGCTTGTTCTTTGGAATGCACTTGAATTCAAACTGATCACTTTCAGTGTTCCATATTACAAACTTGGAATTTCTATGTTTAATCTTCTTAGTTCCTCCTTCCATCCTTCATCATTGACAGTGTCTGCAGAGCGTCCCTTCGGGTGTCTCCTCTTCTTTCTTTGAGTGTTGGATCCAACTCAACCAATCGATCAAACAGTTCAACCATATTGTGAGGGAACAGGTGACAATGTCATCATACATGACTTCTGACATATTCAATCCAGTCAGAGACCGATGGATCGCCTGATTTCTCTGGCCACCCCTAAATCTGCCAGAAGTCTGCCTGAAACCATCAAGATAGTCTTCGGTCAGGCCCCATGATTTCAGATGCAGGCATTTCAGTCCTTTAGTCTTGTTCGCAGCTGCAGCACCTCGTTAGCTAATTCAGCCACTTTCTCCTCTGGGGTTTTCATTGTCTCCTGGCTGTAACTAATGTATGACAATCTGTTAATGCAATGGAACAACTTAATATGGGACAACAAAACTGTTGATAGGACAGATAACAGATTCTTTATTTGGAACATCACAATCCCATTGATACCATTTCTTAGTTCTCGCTACCACTAAACAAAGATATGAGGACATCCCATTACGGGTCACGTCAGACCGACCTTGCATGAACTTTGACCGACCAATGGATTGACCAATCAGAAGGGAGCTTTCTCATTCTTAACAGCACTAATTTCAAATTGGCGACTACACTTTGAAACATATTTTGACAAATTCTCGATTACAAATTTGACACCTGAACAAAAGAACATTCTGGAATGGCTAATAGATGGTCTAGATTGAAGGGATTCAGTACTTAAACCCATAACTATCGTTCGGAATTTTCATGATTAGAAATCACATTCTGACTGTCACTTTCATAATCTGGTAAGCGATGCTCTGATTAGTCGGATGAAAGGTCGTTCTGACGTGACCCCTAATGGGATGTCTTCAGATCTTTGTTTAGCGGTAACGAGAACTAAGATTTGATTTTAATGAGATCAGGAACATTATGATGTTCATCTTCACAGTTCATGTAAGGTTCACCAACACCGCCACAGGTAAAGGTCACAGTTACAGTCACTGCACATCCGGTACTTGAGACACTCTTCCTTGAACTTGAAACGGGTCCTCTGGAATGCGTTCACAGAGTGTACATAAATCCAATCCAACCTCTCCAGCAGCTGGGGATCCTCCTAGAGTGTTCATCCCTCTTCTGACACCATGTAAAAAAAAAAAAAAAAAAGATGTTCTGGTCCATGTATTTGAATAATACTGAAGACAGTAGACCTGAAAACCCCAACTACCTTGGTTAAATCAGTAGAAACTGGAATGGGCTTGTTTATATGGGGTAAGTTGGCTAATTAGAGCTGGAACAATGTGCTTTGTGGTTGGCTGGCTGGCTGGCTGGCTGGCTGGGTAAAACAATTGGTTCAACCTTGGCGAGAAATTAAATGATAAGCAGGTGTCTTGGGACATCTCACAGCAATTAACTGAGGCCAGATACTTATTTAAGAACTTGAAGGAAATATACCAATATCAACAGGATATGGTTACAGTAAAGTGACAAATAAAAATATTTCTTAATTATGAATGTTTACAGACTTTTCAAACACAGACGGAAAGATACTGTCAGCATCAGCATGTGTCTGGCAGCTGCTTTACATTGATGTAGTTCCTTGTATATTTAACTGCAGTGAGTGAGCTAGTCCTGCGCCATGATTGTGGAATATATTTATTTTATGAATAAAAAAAAAAAAATCTAGATATGTATACAAAATCAAGTCTAGCCAGCTCTAGCTAGCTCTATTCCACATATGAAATCAGCATTGGGGGATATAATTTGTTTAATTTTAGAGTCGAGAAGTGTATTGTGTAATATAAGATTTCATAGACTACTTGTTAGTCTAGGAGTGATCTTTTGACTGATGAAGGTTAAAAAGGAAAAAGGGGTTGATGCTACCACCATTCATAGGCCAGTTGATGGTGTAAAACTCTTTCTTGTGGTTCCGGTGATGGTTGTAAAACCCCATTAATGGGGGACATCAATTGGACGATCATTTTATTAGGCAGTGACCAGAATTTGTGTTTGGCCTCAAGGACTAGCAGAAATATAATTAACTTTCTGTCAGACAGAGTATCAATTTGTATTTAAACATTTAAAACACTGCCCAACCTTACACTTGTAATATATTCATTCTGACAATCTTGGTTTTGAGTGTGACAGTTT